AGAGCCACCTGCTGACGTCCTTCGTTTGCCAGTTCAAACTCATCAACGAAGCGTACCAAATCCTGTCCGACGAGGGAAAGAGAGAGATGTACGACAAGTTCGGAAAGGTGAGTCTCCGCGCCCAACCGAAGAAGGCGTGTTTGTGCAGCTCTCCTTTTCCCTAATGTCACGTGCGTTGGTCGTTCCTCCAGGACTACGTCTCTGGCCAAGGCGGCGAGGTGGACATATCGTTCGCGTTCAAGTACCACCGCCCTCGCTCGCTTCAGAGCTTTTGTTATAGTCCTTCTCGTCCTTTTCTTTTGCTGAACATTGTGCCACCACCTTCACCAAAGGATGCTGTTCGGTGCTGGCAAGTTCGACGACGTGATCGGAGAAATGAACCTCTTCTCCTCGGTACGCGCCCACTACACGAACCACAGCTTCTTTCGTTGTCGCCCCATTGTGCTGACCGATCTTCGTTCAACAACCTTGCAACTGCGGCTTTGTGTTTGGGCGAGCAGTTCATGGCCGACGAGCAATCGGAGTCTGCCAAGGCGGAGCAGGAGAAGGCGCAGCGGGAGAGGATCGAAAAGCTGGCCACCACCCTGCATTTCATCAAACTCGAGCCCTACACCGCTGGCAACACCAAAGGTGCGCAGCAGTTTCCGCAATCCACGCGCACGGAGCTGCGTTGTGCTCCCGGTGCTCATTACATGACATGCACGCGACACACGACACAAATTCTAGAATGGGTCGTTCTCATGGAGCAGGACATCGAAGAGAAGCTGGAGGTTCCCGGCGGCGCGTCGCTTCTCCTCCACATCGGCTATATTTATATACAGGTACGGCCCTTGTTCGCCGATCGGGTGGGGCGTCGCTCTTCTCATATACTTTTTATAATGTGCACAACAACAGGAAGCAAAGCAACACGATAACCGCTGGTTTGGTCTCGAGAGCTTCGTTTCCGAGCTCTCGGAGAAGGGCCACATCGTATCCGAGGCTCTCTCCCTCGTCAGGTGAGATGCACAGCCCCCTTGAATGCGACTTACCCCACCGCGTACTGACTCTTGACACTGCAACCACAACGTAAACGCAGCGAGGCACGCAAGCTGCAGTTGGTGCAGCAGCAGCTGGAGGGATCGCAAGACACCGATGTTCAGATGAAGGCTCTCAACCAGGGCATCAACCTGGTGTGGAAGCTCGGTAAGCTTGAGGTAAAGACCCCTTCAAACCACGCGTCGCGCTGAGTCCTCGTTGCTCAACACCTGCACCTGTCGCTCCTTCCTCCTCTCCAGATTGAGCAGGTGCTGCGGCAAGCGTGCGAAAAGATGTTCAAGGACTGTAAGGACAAGAAGACCAGAAAGAAGCTCGTGGATGGACTGCGCAAGCTTGGCGAGGTACAACCACACATCGTCATCATCATCATCAGATGTGCAACACGATCGCTGCTCATACGTGCGATCGTCATCTTTTCGTCGTTTTTTTCTTTTTCTCTGTTCTTGTACCCCAGATGTACCAGAAGGCGGCGAAGAAGGTGGGCGTGGCCCGACGAGCGGCGCCCACCATCAACGACTTTGGCGAACACTTTGGAGGCGTGCCGCCGACTGAACAGCAGCAGCAGGATGGTACCGCCATCGGCGGAAACGAGGGCAAGAAGGCCAAGGGTAAGGACGGCAAGTGGGTGTAGCAACGTAATGTGTGGACCTCTTTGCTTGACTTGCCCCTTCCCTGAGCCGTTCTTCGAAGTCTTTGGGGCGGAAAATTGAAAAGAATGGGAATATTCCTTTGTCGACAAATAAGAGGGAAAAAAAAACATCAACCAAGCGATAGATCGATTCAATCGCAACAAAGAAGAGATGGAGGTGGCGACAGCTTCACGTAGCAGCGCCGTTGAAGAAGATGCTTCGCGTAAGAGGAAGCGATACGGCAGGAGAGAAGAACCGGAAGAGGGTCGCACGGGGAGCGATGCGAACAACGGAAATGGCGAAGACGACGAGGGCGAGGGGGTGGAGAAGTGGGTCCCCTTGAAGCAGAGGAAGAAGATGCTGAGAGAGAAGCTGGATCTCAGGCGGAAGAGGAAGACGGGCGCGAACGTGGAGGAAGAGGAGCAGGTGGTGGAGGAGATTCCCACGGCCGGGCCGCGTGCGATGCGATCGCTGCTCGATGAGAAGGTGGAGATGTTGCAGCAAGGTGAAGGCGAGCCGCTCGATCCGAAGCAGGAAATTCAGATAGAGGAGGCCGAGATGCTGGACGACACGGCCAAGGAAGCCAAGATCCTCATTCCTGTCGGCCAGAGGGCCAAGGATATCACTTTCTCAGACTCGATCGAGACCAGCTGGCGGCCGCCTCGTTGGGTGCGCGAGATGTCGGAAGAGGATTGCCAGGAAATTCGCGACGAGTGGCACATCCTGGTCGAGGGAGAGCGCGTGCCCAACCCCATCAAGCGATTCGAGGACATGAAGTTCCCGCGCCCCATCATCGAGTCTCTGCGCGACAAGGGCATCAAGAAGCCGACGCCCATCCAGATCCAGGGCCTGCCGGTCATCCTTAGCGGCCGCGACATGATCGGTCTCGCCTTCACCGGTTCCGGCAAGACGCTCGTGTTCTCGCTACCACTCATCATGCTCGCACTCGAAGAGGAGAAGAAGATGCCCATCACCAGCGGCGAGGGACCGTTCGGCATCATCGTCTGTCCGTCGCGCGAACTGGCCAAGCAGACGCACTCGGTGATCAGCCGCATCTGCGATTACCTGGCCCGCGCTGGTAACCCGCAGCTGCGCACCTTGCTGTGCATCGGCGGCGTGCCGTTCAAGGAGCAGGCCGACCTCGTGCGCCGCGGCATTCACATGATCGTCGCCACGCCCGGCCGTCTGCTCGACTTCCTCAAGAAGAAGAAGTTCACGCTCAACCTGTGCAAGTACCTGGCCCTCGATGAGGCCGACAGGCTCGTGGACATGGGCTTCGAGGAGGACCTCTCCGGCGTGGTCGACTTCTTCACCAACCAGCGCCAGACGCTGCTCTTCTCCGCCACCAGACCAAGAAGATCCAGGACTTCGCCAAGAAGGCCCTCGTCCAGCCCGTCGTCGTGAACGTCGGTCGTGCCGGTGCAGCCAATCTCGACGTCATCCAGGAGGTCGAGTATGTCAAGCAGGAGGCTAAGATCGTGTATCTCCTCGAGTGCCTCCAGAAGACGCCACCGCCCGTGCTCATCTTCTGCGAGAGCAAAACCGACGTGGACGACATCCACGAGTACGTTCCCTCTTCTTTTTTCCTCTTCTTCTGTGGTGCGCCCCTGGTGCTTATCGGCTAACAGTGCGCCTTTCCAAACAGATATCTGTTGCTCAAGGGCGTGGAAGCCGTGGCCGTGCACGGTGGCAAGGACCAGGAGGAGCGAGAGTACGCCATGTCCTCCTTCAGGGAGGGAAAGAAGGACGTCCTCGTCGCCACAGACGTCGCGTCCAAGGGTCTCGATTTCCCCGACATCCAGCACGTCATCAACTACGACATGCCCAAGGAGATCGAAAACTATGTACACAGGTACATATGACCGACGCCTTCACCCTTTACCCTTCATTCTCGTCGTTCCTTCTTTTTCCACCGCCATCAACCATCAACCATCACCCATCATCTAACCTTCTCTCGTTTCAATCGCTGCGTAGAATCGGTCGTACGGGTCGTTGTGGTAAGACGGGTATCGCGACGACGTTCATCAACAAGAACTGCGAGGAGACCATCCTGCTCGATCTCAAGCATCTGCTGCTCGAGGCCAAGCAGCGCGTGCCGGCCGTGTTGTCGTCGCTCACGGGCGAGGACGTCGCGGTGGAGGAGATCGGCGGCGTCAAGGGCTGCGCGTTCTGCGGCGGTCTCGGCCATCGCATAGCCAACTGTCCCAAGAGGGCGCACGCCACCCAGAAGCAGGCTGCCGGCACCTCGTCCAGAGAGGTCCTCACCGGAGGCGACTACTAATAAGGAGAGACCGAGACTCACCTCCCCTTCTTCCTCATGTAAAGCTGCAACCACCCAAAAAAACGGAATATTTATTCATCGGAGAAAAGAAAAAGTAACAACTCCGAAAATATTTTCCCGCATAAAGGAATGACAGGAATGTTTCGAGGAACGTTTTTGCAGCGAAGCAGCACCTTCTCTCTTCTTGTCTTGCGGCATTACCAGAACACCACACAGCACAACAGCAAGATGAGCCGTCAGAAGAAGCAAAAGGAAGAGGAGGCGGTCGTCGAGGCTGTGGAGGAGGAGGAATGCGGACCCATTCCTATCACCAAGCTCGAGGTACGCTTACTCAGTGTTCGAGAATTGAAAGGCCAAATCTCATGCGGAACTAACTCTTTTCATTTACGTACAGCAACATGGCATCAGTGCTGTTGATGTGAAGAAGCTTCAGGGTGCTGGCTTCTACACCGTCGAATCGGTGGCTTTTTCGACCAAGAAGGCCTTGATCGCGGTGAAGGGTGTATCCGACACTAAGGCAGACAAGATCCTCGCTGAGGGTACGTGTCTTCATGATAATGCGCGCCTCTCCAAGCTTAAGGCCGAAGCAAAAGGGCATTAACATCTAATCGATTCGACGTCCGTTCCTGCAGCCGCCAAGCTGGTGCCGATGGGCTTCACCACGGCCACTGAATTCCAGAAGCAAAGAGCCGAAATCATTCAAGTCACAACCGGATCAAAGGAGCTCGACAAGCTGCTTGAGAGTAAGTTCCCCGCGCCGCCTTCGAGAGATGTGCGATGCGCAGGGTTCCTAATGTTAATAATCTCTCTTCTTGCAGATGGCATCGAGACCGGCTCGATCACGGAAATCTTCGGCGAGTTCAGGACGGGCAAGACTCAGCTCTGCCACCAGCTGTGCGTCACCTGCCAGCTTCCGTTGGATCAGGGCGGCGGTGAGGGCAAGGCTCTGTACGTCGATACCGAGGGCACCTTCCGTCCGCAGAGGCTTCTTGCCATCGCTGAGCGGTACGTGCGCTGTGCCTTCGCTTTGCTCGAGCTGAAGTTTCGAAACAGCAGCTCACACACCACGGGTGTCCTTTAGATATGGCCTGAACGGAGACGATGTGCTGGACAATGTAGCCTACGCGCGAGCCTACAACTCGGACCACCAGATGCAGCTGCTGGCGCAGGCCTCGGCCATGATGTCCGAGTCGCGGTACGCCATGCTCATCGTCGACAGTGCCACGGCGCTCTACCGTACGGACTACTCGGGTCGTGGCGAGTTGTCGGCCCGTCAGATGCACCTGGCGCGCTTCCTCCGCACGCTCCAGCGACTGGCCGACGAGTTCGGCGTGGCCGTCGTCATCACCAACCAGGTGGTGGCCCAGGTCGACGGTAACGCGGCCATGTTCGGCGCCGACCCCAAGAAGCCCATCGGCGGTAACATTATGGCCCACGCCTCGACCACTCGCCTCTACCTCAGGAAGGGCCGCGCCGAGACCCGAATCTGCAAGATCTACGACTCGCCCTGCTTGCCCGAGGCCGAGGCCGTCTTTGCCATCAACGCCGACGGTATCGGTGATCCCAAGGAGTAAGTAGGTCTTCTTCCTCCGACAAACGTACATCATGAAGGGGACAACGACCACCACCGTCAAGGCACTAATCACCATCAACTCTCAACACTCTTTCACCCCTTCTTATGTACATCACCCACTCTTCTTGTCAAATACAAGCTCCTTTTCGTTTACAATCAAATTGCTCTCAACCGGTGGCTATCACCGGCTTTCTTGTTGGGGTGTTGCCTTCTCAACTTCGGCGGCCTCTTCATCGCGACTGCTTCGGCGGCGTCCTTCTTCCATCTCCTCGAGCGGCAGTGGCGGAGGCCCTTCCTCCTCCTCTTCTCGCTCCTCTTCCTTCTTCACCTTCTCCGCTTCTGCGCCTCTTCGTCGTCCGCGTCGTCTTCGTCGGCTGAGTCGCGTGGAGGAGACCATCTTGCGGTAGCGTCGCGCGGTGAAGCCCTGGTGTCGTTGGTTGAGCCAGCAGTAGGCCAGGCAGCCCAGCCCGCAGCACAACAGGCACGTGCCCAGCACGAACAGGCTCAGCAACACCATGATCACGATCGCCTTGTGTGTTGGGTCTGTGGTCGACAGCACACGCACGCACAGAACGGGATCAGACGTCGAAGCTCGAAGCAAAGAGCAAACACGGAGATGATGGGCACGCACGGCAACGAGACGACTCGCAATGGACGAGCAAGCAGTGGCACTCGTACTGCGTGGCGGAAGAGATAAGAAGGGTGGAGATGAGATGAGATGAGAATGGCGACAGAGTGCGTGGTGGTGGAAGAAGGAGAAGGTGGTAGTACGCTGCAGAAGAAGTTGTCGTTGCGTCCGATGATGCACTCGCAGAACTCCTTGCTCTTCATGCGGTACTGGGCCGCGCACACCTCCGGCCTTTCGCCTCTCCGCGCCATCTGCTTTGCGTCTGTGCCAGAGAAGAAACAACAAATAATAAACAACCAAAACCGACAAAAAGATTGAAGAGATGGTAAGTTGAGGTTGAAGTTGATTACCTCCGACTTCCTCTTGAAGAAGAGTAGGCGGGGGCCGGTCGTGAGGTGCCGGCGGAAGATTGTCATAGGGGGTAGTATCGTCGTGCTGTCCGCTATCGTACGGAAGGGACATGGGTCCGAGCAATAGCCCGAGCCCAACGAAGAACGACAGAATGGCCGCCCCCTCCATCTTCTTCGAGGCGGGTCTCGCTTGAGCTGGAGAGGTTCTGTATGATGAAGTTTTGTTGTGTGGCCCTCAAGCTTCGTCGTCTGGCACGGCTCAACACCAAAAGTAAAGGTGGTGTGCTGTTTCCTAAATGAACGTAGAACTCCTCCATTGCGGAGTTCTTCCCCTCTTGTCGAGTTCGTCGGCCAGCGCGCCAGACGATGGTGGTGACCATCACCACCTCCGACGTCGTTGCACCTCTATTGATCTTTAGCTTTATTGTTATGTACAGAGGCAAGGAAGGGGCTCGCGGCGTAGAGCACATCATGTGGCCATCGGCTCAGCAGAGGAAGGAGAGGATGGAGCAGGAGAAGGTGAAGCGGTGCGTTGAGCTGCAGCTTCTGCCTTGACGCCGTGCGCTGGGAGAGTCCTCGTGGTGCCAGGCTTGAGGGGAAACGCGATGGCCGCCTTCTGGCACGAGCGCACGCTCCCTGCAGCACGCGCGGCGGCGTTACAGCGTCAAAACAAAGGCCGACTTGTGCCATCAGGGCCGGCGGGCGGTGGCCAGGTCACAGTACCTCCGAGATGAACCAAGCGGAAGAGCACGGATCGCTGGTTGAGCGTGTTGATCATCGTGACGGCAGCCCACACCATCTTGTAGTAGTCTCGAGCGCAACGGATGATGCACAGGTTCGTCAAGTGATTCCAATATTTAACTGACGACAGAGGAGATGAGACGAAAAATGAGCGAATGAGATGAAGATGAAAGGCGCATAAGGTGCCTAGGGAGATGATGGGAAGCGCGAGCGTACCTTGCAGGGTCGCTTGGATGAGCCCGACGCCAAAATCGCCGAAATTGAGTTGAATTTGATGTTTCACTTCGCGCTTCAGAGTTTCGGCGGAGATGGAGGAGTCCACCATTCCATCACCCCACACCAACTCGACCAAGAGGTAGCGATTCTTGAATCGCACCATCTCGCACGCGTCCCAGACCAAGAAAAAGTGCAGAGCGAAAAGAAAAGTAATCAAAAATAAAATATTAAATGACCAAAAAGGCGCGAACGTTTTAATTTCGAAGTACGAAAGATACGTTGGCGCGGCATCAACACCATCGAGATACGTGGCTGATCGATCCTACGAACGAGGCATGGCATCGCGGCGCCAAGTAGGCGAAGATGGACCCGATCAGCCATCGCGCCGATTAAAGAGAAGAATCACTGAGGATGAACTGGAGGATGAGGCTACGAACGGTGGACAAAAGGAGAACGGGAATACTCATCGTTCTTCATCGGCCAAAGATAAGCGTCGGAAAATCGTAGAAGAGGAGCCAGAAGATGAGCGATCCGATGGCAATGACGATGCTGCGGATGAGGAGGAAGACGAGGAAGAGGTCAACAGCACCCAGGGCAATGGCTTCTCCATGTCTCAGTTGTCGCAATACCCAGCCTCCACCCCCAACGGCAACAACAAGTACGCTCCCCCTCACTACTCAGCCTTTTCTCTCGGCCTTCTTCGCGACCAGTGGCCTGACGCTTGCAACAGAGGAGGCTCGAATGCAGAGGGATACAAGCGAGGCTCCATCGTGCGCATACGCATGATCAACTTTGTGACCTACACCGACTGCGAGGTACGTGCTACGTGCTGTGGCGTGATGGCGAAGGCTCTCTTCTCTCTTCTGGTTCAAGAACCGCACCGCCCCGACCATCATCATGACCATCGTCGTCATCATCATCGTCCGCCACCTCTCTTTGTCGCCTCGCAGGTCCGTCCCGGTCCTCGGCTAAACGTGGTCATGGGACCCAACGGCAGCGGGAAATCGACCATCGTGTGCGGTCTCGCCCTCGGACTCGGCGGCGCACCCACTGTATGTCTCTACTCTCGGCTGTTGTGTGTGTGTGTGTGTGTGTGTGTGTGTCGGTAACTCACTGTGCTCGCTCCTCCACCCAGATCCTCGGAAGAGCCAAGGAGGTGCGCGAGTTCATCAAGCACGGGAAGGACAAGGCCACGATCGAGATCGAGCTCTGCAACACCAAGGGAAGGAATGTCGTCGTGCAGCGCACGATTCTACAGGACAACAAATCCCAGTGGAAGTTGAACGGCCACGGCGTGGGCAAGGCCAGGGTCATGGACGTCATGAAGAAGCTGAACGTGCAGGTGGACAACCTGTGCCAGTTCCTGCCGCAGGACAGGTACGCACCACCTTGGCCACGCCTTTTCCTGGGAAGCAAAACACTGATAGCGAGCTCGTGTGTGTTGTGTGTCGTGTGTCCCCGACAGAGTGTGCAACTTTGCGGCCCTCACTCCGCCCCAGCTGCTGCGCGAGACGGAAAAGGCTGTGGGGTCGGAGGAAATGATCAATAAGCACGACAGGTACTGTGCACCACATAGCGCTGGTCGCTCCAGCGGCTGATTCTCACCTCTCATCGATTTGTTCACGTTCAGGTTGATCGAGCTGAGGACGAATTCGAAGGTATTGGAGCGCACGGTACTCGAGCACGGCACCCACTTGGACAATCTCAAGAAGGCCAACCAAAGCCTCGAGCGAGACGTCCTACGATTCAGGTACGCACACGCCTACGTGCACTCAAGGCTTCGCTCCCCACGGTGACGGACGCTGCAACACTTCTCACTCACACCGCTCATGGCGTATGTGCACATGGTGCAGGGAGTACGAAAAGCACGTGAAAACGGCAAAAGAGCTGACGATGAAGAAGCCCTGGCTTGAGTTCGAGGTAATAATATCTGCTTTGGAGTGTGCTCGCTTCGTGTTGTTGTTGGGCGGCGTAAGCTTGCTGACCGTGTCCTCCCTCCCCCACAAAGGCCGAACGCAAAGCGGCCCTCACCTTAAAGGGACGAATGGACGAAGTCAAGGAACAAATCAAGGAAAAAGAGAAAGCGATGCGGCCGCTCAAGCAGAAGCTCGAGTGCGTCTCTCCACTCCACTCCTCTTTCTCCTTGCTGTCATCATCTGCGAATCGCAGGGAACGCTCACACGCCTGGTTTGCAGAGAGTACGAAGCGAAGATCAAGCAGTTCGACGTGAAGAAGCAAAAAGGAGCCGAAGAGCTGGTCAGGCTAGACAGGCAGAGGAAGAACATAGGTATGTACACAGGCGCGCACGCAACTAAACATATGGGGCACACCCACCACAGCACGCGCACACGCACCACGGCACGCGCACACGCACCACTGCACGCGCACGTGCTAACACGTGTGTGCGCACAGGCGAGCAGAGCGAAAAGTATGCGGAGGAGTGCAGCGCGCTGGAGGAAGAGCTCGAGAAGCTGCTGACGCGCGCCGAGGAGAACAAGCGCAAGGCGCAGCAGGTGGCCGCAGAGATCCAGCGGCTCGAGGACGAGCTCGCGCAGCTCGGCGAGGCCCAGGAGGAGGCCTCGCAACAGACCGCGCAGATGAACGAGCGCTTCCGGCAACTCACCGACGACATCACCTCGGCCCAGTCCGTCGAAGTGGAACGCAAAGCAGACCGAGCACGGTACAGCAAAGCCCCGCCCCCGCCCACGTTTTGCGTATTTTACTCACCACGTGGTGTACTATGTAGGGCGATGGAGGCGGCCCAGCAGTTGCAGCGACAGCTCAAGGAGTTGGACGACCTTCGCGCGCAAAAGGTGGAGAACCTCCGAAAGTGGAACAAGTACCACCAACCTTTGCACGCGTGCTGGACTCTGTGTGTGTGTGTGTGTGTGTGTGTGTGTGTGTGTGTGTGTGTGTGTGTGTGTGTGTCGTGCATTGACACTCTCTGATAAACCTTCTATCAGGGATGCCCACAATGGATACCTGTGGCTGCGCGAGAACGAAAATAAGTTCGAGAAGAAGGTCTACGGCCCGGTTGCCCTCGAGGTATACACCATCCCACCACCGACTCATCATCGAGGGATACAATTGGTCGGAGAAACGGATGGTGCTGACGTCACCCTTGCGCCATTAAGGTGACGGTGCCGAATCCGCTGCATGCGCGCTACCTTGAGATGGTCACGCCCGGGTGGGTCATAACCGCCTTTATCTGTCAGACCTGTACGACCCCTCTTCCTTCTCTCGTGCTGTGCCGTGTGTGTGTGTGTGTGTGTGTGTGTGTTGTGGGCCAGTGCGCGTTGTGTGCCACCATGATCTCGCCTGACGTCACTGATTCTGTCGACAGCAAAGGACCATGACACCTTGCTGCAGGAGCTCTACGATAAGCAGAAACTTAGGATCAGCGGTACGTAGTGCATACTAAGCTCACACTTATTTTTTTGTGGTTGTGTGGGCGCTGCTAGCCTGCCTGACCTTCGCTTTCCGCCAGCCCTGTACAACGAACCCTACGACCCGCGGCGCAACCCCAACCCGTGTCCTCTCGAAGAGTTGACCAACTACGGCGTCTCGCATTTTATGGACCAGGTACCCACCACCGCCGCCGCCGCCGCCACCACCTCGACGTGCGGCTTACGTACCACCGGGTGTGGGCAGGTATTTGAGGCGCCACCGGTGGTGAAGGCCGCCCTGTGCGGGCAGGGCAACGCACACCTGTGGGCCGCGGGCACGCATGAATCAATCAAGCACGTCGAACAAATCATGAGCCATGTACGCGTCTCCAGCTGCTCCCCCTTCTCTTTTGACCAGCTGCTGCTGAGCCTCAACACCGACTTACCGTTTCCCCCCCCTCTCTCTGTTGTCGGCACAACCATGCAGCAAAGGCTCAAGTATTTCTTCACCCCCGAGTCGCAGTACGCCAAGAACGAATCGCGCTACGGCGGCGGCTCATCGGTTTCCGTAATGTCCGTGAGGGACGGTGCGCGTACCCTCGTATTCTATTTGTTGACCCCCAGCATCGCTTTCTCTCTCTGTTTTCTTTCTGTTCTGACGCCCGCGATCTATTCTTTATATTTTGTAGGCCGTTGGTTCTCGGGAGTCAACGTGCAGAAGAAGGAGGAGCTCGAGAGGGAGTACGCGGAAGCGCGCAGGAGCCAGCAGCTTTACGAACAGGAGATCAACAAGGTGCGCCCTCCCCCCGTCAGCTGGGTTCAGCACAGGCCGACTGCTCACTGCCCCCCCCCCAACCACCACCACGGCCAACAGTGCAAGGAGATCGAGAACAACGCGCGAAGGCAACAGCAGGAGATCACGAGAGAAAAAGAGGTCCTAACCGCTTCTTTTCCCTCTATCGTGTGTGTGTCGTGTGTGTCGTGTCACTCACCATCACACTGCGTGTCGTGTCGTGTCGTGCGTTGATTCTTGGACAAGAGCAGAAATTGCGAAAGGTGGGGGACCAGATCAAGTCGGTGCGCCTAAGGATCCATTCGCGGAAGACCACGCTGCAGCAGCTCGAGCAGGAGGAGGACACGACGGCCGAAAAGGAGCGGATCCGGACCACCATCAAGGAGACCCTCACGGCCCGCTACCGCTGCATTCTCAAGACCCGCGAGCTCCTCGAGCGGATCATCGCCATCACCATCGAGCAGGACAAGCTCGTCCTCCAGCGCTCGCAGTTTGAAACGCTGGTGCACGAGCTCAAGACGCAGTCCATGCAAGCCGACCACGAGGCCAAGCAGCTCCAAGTCGAATTCGCCCACGCCAAGCGGGAATTCGATGAAACCAGGGTACGCCCACAGCCCTCACGCGCGTTCACTTCATTTCGTCGTTTTGTCGTCGTCGTCGTCGTCGTCGTCTTACACTTTTCCGAGTGTGCAGGCGAAAGCGGTGGAGCTGAAGGCCAACGCCGAGCGGCTGACGGGCGTGCTCACCGACGAGCTGAAGGAGATGTTCAAGGACATGCCCAACACGCTGGACGAGCTCCACGAGGCCATCGAGGAGGCGCGGGCGCGGGCGGAGCTGTCCTACCAGACCAACCCGAAGGTGATCACTGAGTACGAGACGCGGTGCGAGGAGATCAACGCGCTCGAGGAGAAGCTGGTGGCCGAACAGGAGCAGCTCAAGTCCGAGCAGGCCGAGATCGAGAAGATCAAGGCACCACACACACACACAACACACACACACACCACACACACCACACACAACACACACAACACAACACACACACACACACACACACACAACACACACAACACACACAACACAGAGGTACTAATGCGCGCATGTGTTCTGTACAGAGCCAATGGGTTCCGCCGCTCGAAGAACTGGTGGAGCGGATCAACGGCTCGTTCAGCAAATACTTCGAAGCCATCGGGTGCGCCGGCAAGATTCAACTCGGTACCTCCCTTCACCCAACTTCTCGCAATTCCAGAAATGTGACGGAGCATGGCCGTGTTTCTAATCAACCGACGCCTCCTGGGAGCAGACCAACACGAGGACTTTGACAAGTGGGGCATCACCATTCATGTCAAGTTCCGCCAGCAGGACTCCCTCCACCAACTCAACGCCCAGACCCAGTCCGGCGGAGTGCGCACTCCTTCTTCCCCATTTCGCTCGCACACGCACGCACTCATCGATCATGTTGTTGTCCGGCCATCCATCCACCCACCCACCCACCCAGGAGCGCTCGGTGTCGACGATGCTGTATCTGATATCGCTGCAGGACATCACCGACTGCCCCTTCCGTCTGGTGGACGAGATCAACCAGGGCATGGACCCGAGGAACGAGCGCATGATCTTCCAGCAGGTCGTCAACTGCGCCTGTCGGCCTGGACTCCCCCAGTACCTCGCCCCCCCCCTCCAGAACACACACACCGCACACATACACGACACACACCGCACACACCGCACACACCGCACACACGACACCACACTGACCACGTTTTGTTGGGCCATGGCAGATATTTCCTGATCACGCCCAAGCTGCTGCCGGATCTTCACTTCACGCCCGAGATCACAGTGTTGTGCGTGTTCAACGGACCCTGGCAGCTTCCCCAGGCCGGTACGGTCCCCATTCTCCTCGAGGTCTCTTGGGCTCTTTTGGGTCCCTTTGGCGCGCATTAGCTCACCTCTCTCTCTCTGCACGCGCGCCGCACGACACGACACGATATACGACCAACGACACGCAACACTACAGAATGGAAGGTGGATCGCTTCTTGGAGCGGGCATTCAAGAAGCAATGAACAGACACGTGCGTCGATCACAATTACATAAGTACACTCATCGTCTGTCACTCTTCTTCGCCTTCTTCTTCTTCTGCCTTGTCTGCCGGCCGCTGCCGTCGGGAGGAGCGCAGGATGCGACGCACGGCCTCCACGCTGATGCCGTACTGTTGGGCCAGCTGCGGGAGCGGCGTTCTGGCCTGTGCGCGTGCGAGGAGGATCTGTGAGTGGATGGATGCACTCTCTGAGAGAGTGGGGATGAGCTGGGCTGGCGTACCGCAGCGTGTGTCGCGCGCAGCTCTTGCATCTTTGCGGTGGAGATGCGTTTGCTTGGCTTCCAGCCCCCACGCTCTCGCCAGAAGTGTTTCTCCTTTATCCTGCATCCAACCACCATCATGAGATTGTGAGCGCAGATTAGATGAAATGCAGATGGTGATGTGGAGATGGAGATCTACCTGGCAATGATAGCCGGGGCGTGCTCTTGGCCATACTTGCTGATGATGTGGGACTTTAATGCTGGCGAGAGGGCCTGTTGCGTTGGCTTTGATGGATCTTGTGCTCCATCTTCTTGGCCCCGGCTTCGCGTGTTGTAGAAGCCCCAATCGATAATCCCTCGGCTCGTGGCAAGTGCCCGGCTGTGCCCCCCGTAAGATTGTCGCACAGATGTTGGCCCCATCTTCGCCACTGCTGCTGCCCGCCGGTGCATCTCGATAAAATTGAAATGGTAGTAAATTTCAAATCGAGAAGAAAAGATGGAGTTTTGTTTGTACACGACGCCAGCCAGCGCTATGGGACGTCAGCGGGGAGACATCGACAAAGAATGCAGTCCCACCACAGGGGATGTGGCGATCGTCGGTAGTCCACACTCGTTCGCTCTTCAGCCGTTGTGCACAAGTCAGTGCGTGTGCGTGTGCGTGTGCGTGTGCGTGTGCGTGTGCGTGAGGACGTTGCGGACCTAGTTCTACGAGGGTCAAGTGCAGCATGCGCGCAAAGAGGACCACCGTCGGTGGCACGGTCTTGCTGTCCGCCAGCTCCTTGAGCCCCTCGATTGCCAGCCCATCTGATGCACGCATCAGGGAAAGCACACAACAGGTGAGATCGACGACCCACCAGCGCAAGGTGGGAGTGCGATGGGCACCTGTCAAACAGCCGCTGTGTTGTGGGGTCAGGTGGTCACCGATCAGGTTGCAGGCGTGCGAGTACCGAAGCAGCGTGCTCAACGCCTCTTCCTCCTCCTGGTCGACCAGCCCCATCAGACACTCGCCATAGCTGCCGCGTGCGTGTGCGGTGGTGTGTGTGCGCGTGCGTGTGTGTGTGTGTGTGTGTGTGCGCGATGAACGAGCTGAACGTACGTGGGTCACACCGGGTTCGCGGGAGAGAAGGCAGAGCGTGACTTGCAGGTTGAGGAGGCGAAACACAGCCTCGGCGCGGTGCTGGATCGTGCCGAGCAGGTCCTTGGTCTTCTGCGTCGCCGTCCACTCCCTCTTGGCGTTTTTCGCGTCCTGACCACACTCACACAAGTCTTCTTCAGCTTTTCGTGGTGTGTGCGGTGTGTGCGGTGTGTGCGGTGGACCTCAATGAGGGCCACGGTCTGTCGGAAGGACTCCTGGGCGATGAAGCTCGTTGGTACGACGCTGATGCTGCTGAACGCCTTCTGGATCATTTTCTCGGTGAAGTACAGCCTTGGACGTGTAGTGGACGCACACAGAATGCAAGGAATTGTAAGCTAGCACCGCACGCGCACACGCAGCGTGTGCGGTGGTGTGTGCGTGCGGTGCGGCCACTGTACCTGGCCTTGAAGATGCGATCGATGGCCCCGCCGGAAACGAGGAAGTTGACGAGCGACGCGCAGACGACAGACGTGGAGAGTGCGATGATGCGCACCACCAGCGTGCTGACCACCTCGTGGCGCTGCCATTTTGTGTGGCGTTGTGGGGTCACTATGGGCAGCTGATGGGGGCGGAAAGAAGGGCGTACGGGCAGATCCTCGATGTAGTCTTCGATCGGCTCGTACTCAAACGTCTTCACCTGAAAACCATCGCATGAGTTAAAGTGTGCGTGTGCGTGCGTTGTGCGTGTGGTGTGTGTGTCGTGTGTCGTGTCGTGTGTCGTGTCGTGTCGTGTCGTGTGTCGTGTCGTGTGCGCGCGCGTGCGCACTTGAATGAAGAGAGCGGAGAACAGGCCTCCCGAGATGTCGCCCGGACTGTAGCGCCGCACGACGAGCAACGCGTAGAGCGTGATCGACACCGCTGCCATTTGTGAGAGTGATGAGAAAGAGCTCAAGTCACCAGAGGGGGAGGGAAGGCGTTTGTACCAAGCGGCACTTTGATCCACAGCAACTGCTCGTCTGCTCCAGGCTCCACGTAGACAACGCCCGTCACCAACGTGCCAATCACAGTCCCTGCCGACACAAGGCCCACAGGCGACACACACGACACACACACGACACGACACGACACGACACACACACGCACGCACACAACACACACACCACGCACGTCATTGGAGAATCCGCGGGGGAATCGTGTGTGGGAGTGGGTGGTGGTGGTGGTGGAGAACCGATGAGGTTGGAGAGGAAGAGGTTGTTGCTCATCGTGAATCCGGCGCGGGTCAGGGGCGAGATGCAGAGGTAGGACACGAACACTGAGCTCAGAGTGTCCGGGTTCCGCGTGACCCTGTGAACCACGCCCACCCCCAATTGGGGTGCAACAACAAACTTAAATATGTTCATATTTTTGCCTAAGTCTCCGGAGCATTTAAGGCCACGCACATGTTGACGAGCAGCACCAGCGCGGAGGCCAGTGCGACCTGCATTTAAAAAATAAATAAATAAATAAAGAGCTAAATCAATAATAGAAAAGAAGGTGTGCCTTGAGGATGTCGGCGATGGGGGCGTTGGGCCGGAGCACATTCCGGAGCAGCAGGCGGTCCAGCGTCCTGGCCACCAGCCCGCCACCTCCGCCTTTCTTCATTCTTTTTCTTACAATCAAGCAAGAAAATGGGAAATGCAAACAAGAAATGTGTTAATAATAAAAATAAAAATGGTTGCATATCAACACATATATTCCCTGTTTTTTCCTGTATTCCATTTTCACTTTATCTGACATTTTTGTTTTTTTATGTCCGGCCTTGCTTCTTTTTGCCGTTCGACATCAAAGCTCGCCATGGAGGCGCTGCCGGACGAGCTGGTCCTGGCCGTCCTCCGGCTCATCGAGCCGCTACGCGACACGGCTGCGGTGGTGGCCACCTGCCGCCGGTTGCGATCAATCATGTCCGATCCTCACCTGTGGCCACTCTTCCACCACCAGGTCTTCCCCACCCACTTCACCCTCGTTAACGACCACCACCGGGCCGGCCAAGAGGCCGCCACCGACTTGCAGGCCTTTGTTAAGAAGGCGCGCTGGCTCAAGGAGGCGATGCACAGCGAGGCGCAGGCGCGGCGGTCGCGTTTCGAGGGGCGCGACTGGCGCCTGCTGGCGGCGGCCAGCGTGGGCTGCGCGTCGCTGGTGCGGCGCTACGCCGACGGGGTCGCGGCTTCGCTCTTTCTCAGCCACGACCGCAACACCACCCTGGCCACGGTGGAGACCATGGTCGACAGCCCGAGTCCGGTCAACCTCATCAACGAAGCCCTGCGGCGCGCCTGCGCTGCCGGCTCCGCGCCCACCGCCAAGGTGCGCCACCATCCCTAATTATTATTTTTTTTCTTTTAGGTATTATGTTTTAGCTTTCTTTTAAATTATATTAAAAGACTACATATTTATTTTTCATGTATTTTTTCTTTTTAGTTGCTGTTGGGTTATGGGGCGAGCGTCAGACAAGCAGTTTGTGATGAAGAGGACGGCGCGTACGATCCGGAGAAGAACGAACCGCTGTGTAGCGCGGTCCGAACGGGCAACCGCCAGCTGGCCGAGCTGCTGATGGACCACGGAGCACAGCCGAACGGACCTTGCCGCCTCTCCACCCCGCTGGAGGCACACAATCCCGCTTGCTCACTCGTTGCAGTCACCGTGACCGCGCACCGCGACTAACAAAACGCAACACACAATGCAACACACCACAACCCGAACTCAGATTGCAGCGGAGGAGGGCGATGCGGGCATGCTCGGGCTGCTGCTAGGTAATGGAGCCCGGACCCAAAACAGCAGAGCTGTGTGCAACGCAGCGGCCAAGGGTCATCTCGACGTCGTGCGACTCCTCATCCACCACGGCTGCTTTCACTTGAGGTTCGTACAACATGCAGGACCACTTCTTCACCGACGTGTCAACCCCGCACTGACGCGTGAACACCTGCGGCAGTGACAAGAAGTCTCGACCCCTTCAGCCCGCGGTGCGCTCGGGCAACGTTGAAGTGGTGCGCCTGCTGCTGGAGCACGGAGCCAAGCCCCGGGTTCATCATGTGCGAGACGCCCTGCGTTCAGGTACCTCCTCGCTACAATGCTATGACAGCTGTGCGTTGTTTGTTGTTTGCTTATTCGCGATTGGGGGGGCAGTTAAACCTTCGATGGAAATGTTGAGTCTGCTGGCGCCCGGCATTGGCTCGCGCATCGACGCCGCCCAGTCGTTCGACTTGCTGACCTCGCCGGGCGCATCGAGCGGAGGCGAAGAGGTGTGCCGCCTCCTGGTCAACCGCGGGGTCGACATCAACGCCCAGACCCAAGTGCCGCCCGACCCCAGACCCCAAACGCCTCTCCACTTTGCTGGTATGTAAGGAATGTCGTGTCGTGTCGTGTCGTGTCGTGTCGTGTCGTGTCGTGTCGTGTCGTGTCGTGTCGTGTCGTGTCGTGTCGTGTCGTGTCGTGTCGTGTCGTGTCGTGTCGTGTCGTGTCGTGTCGTGTCGTGTCGTGTCGTTTGGGTTGTGGGTCATAGTAGCTGACTGCTTTCACTGGTCTTTGGGTTGCCAGTGATGACGAACGACATGGGGCTCGCGCGGAGCCTGCTTGCGTGCGGTGCCGCGGCGGATGTTAGGCCGAGGGACAACAAAATGACCGCGCTCGGCCTGGCTCGCCAGCTCGGCCGCCACGAGATCGCGCAGGTGATCGTCAAGCACCAGCTGGCGACCAGGCCCGCAAAGGCCACAGGCCTGCTGGACCTCACCGCGACCGAGACCGCGACCACCAGCGGCAAGCGGAAGAGCAGAGGAGAGGACGATGACGGCGACGACCACGCCAAGGAGCAGAACGTGGAGCCTTCATCCAACAAGAAGGCCAAGAAAAAGAAAAAGAAGAAGAGAAGGAAGAAGACAAAGGCAACTTCATGATGTCACTCCAGAGCAGTGACTGAGAGAGTTACGAGCTGTGGTGCTCATCGCCAAATACGGTGCCGACGTTACGGGCCGCCCACACCATCTGGTCCGTCTTCGGGTTGACCTGTGCGTGTGTGGTGCGCAGCGGTAAATAAAAAGCGTAATGAGCAAAAGGTCATAAACAAAAATGGGTAGGGAAGAGTAAGGTTAGTGTACCTTGCGCTGCTCCCGCATCTCGGCGGTGATGGGCACCTTGACGACCTCGGTGCCCTTGAGCGAGGCCATGTAGCCGTAGGTGCCCTCGATGGCCAGCTTGGCGGCCATGGAGCCGTACTTGGTGGCCAGGATACGATCGTAGGACGTCGGGCTGCCGCCACGCTGCACGTGACCCAAGATCACATACCTGCCACGCCACTCCACGTCAGCGTGCGCACACACGCACGCACGCACACACACCACACACACACCACGCCACGCCACACACACAACACACAATACCTGGTGTCCATGCCGATGTCCTTGGCGATACGGTCGCTCACGTACTTGCCGATGCCGCCCAGCCTGACGGCCTTCTTGGCCTCGTCATCGGCCGTAATCTGCGAGTCCGAGCCCGGGGGCACGCAGCCCTCGGCCACCACCACCAGAGAGTAGCGCTTGCCCTTGTCGGCGGCCCTGGCCTTGAGGGTGGCGAAGATCGACTCCCACTCCCAGCGGATCTCGGGCAGCAGGATCACGTTGGCGCCGCCGGCCACGCCCGAGGCCAGCGCGATCCAGCCGGCGTTGCGGCCCATGACCTCGACCACCATCACGCGGTGGTGCGACGCCGCGGTCGTTTGCAATCGGTCCAGCGCGTCGGTCACCACCGACACCGCAGAGTCAAACCTGCGTTTAACATCCACGTCAGTTCATGTCTGCATATGCGCGGTGTGTGCGGTGTGTGCGATCGTGCGCGTGCGGTTGTACCCGAAGGTGACGTCGGTAGCCATGAGATCGTTGTCGATGGTCTTGGGCACGCCGACCACGTTCACGCCGTGCTGGCTCAGCACGTAGGCGATGGACATCGTGCCATCGCCGCCGATGCAGATCAGGCACTGGAGCCCGAGCTTATTGTAGGTCTCCACGGTACGCTTGATGGTGTCTTCGCTCAGCGGGAGACAGTAGTGACCGATGTTGGTCGTGCCTGCGCGTTGTGTGTGTGTGTGTGTGTGAGTGTTGCTGTCAGCGACCCGGTGGCCTGACGCTACAAGGACCAACAGGAATTGGGCAATGGCGGTGAACATGTACCCAGGATGGTGCCGCCCTCGCCGTAGATGTTGGCCACCTTGTGCGAGTCCAGGATAGTGTAGGCCTCCTCATAGAGACCTGCGCGTGAATAATAAATAATATAAAACGCAACACTCATGCCAGGGAATAAAAAATAATTCAATAACTCTAATAATTATTTATAATTACGCGTGTGGGCAAGAAGAACAAGAGGGCGTACCCTCGAAGCCGTCGTGCAGGCCCACAAGCTCGTAGTCGTGCGAAATGCAGGTGAGGCAGGCTGCCCGGATAACAGCGTTCAGGCCGGGACAGTCTCCGCCACCCGTCAAAATGCCGATCCTCTTCTTCTCTGCAAAGACATAAAGACAATGCGGTGGTGTGTGAGTGGGTCGTGCCTCACAAAGGCGGGGGAAGAGTGGGACTGTGACCCCACTCGAAAATAAATAAATAGATGAATGAATCACTGAAGGATTTATTTATCAATAAATCAACGCTAAGCGACGAGCAGGACGTACGTGCGGTTTCCATTGTGTAGATTGTGTGTTGATGTGGTGTATGGGCAAACCAAGAGCAAAAAGGAGTGTTCTACTTCGCGTCGCAGAAGGCCAACCAATCCAATCGGTCGTGCAATCTAGTTTTCCGTGTGTTCTCTGATGTATTTCCTACAGAAATGCTGGACACACAGCTTTGAAAATGCTCCATTTCCTTTTCCTTTCTCTTTCTCTTCCTTGCCCTGCGTGTGAGGAGCGAGGTGCATCTCATTCGAGTTGATTGATGGACCATCACGATGACCAAGGCCGAGCCATTGTTGACGTTTTGAGTTGGGTTGCTGTGTTGAAACAACAGAGTTTGAGGCAAGGTGTGCGGCACCTTGGCGTCGTGGTCTTGAGTGGCGTATGCCATAAACTGTTGTACAGTCGACGGAAATTCCGGGCCGGTTGTTGGGTGGTAGCGGGAGATAGTGCAATCTGACCCTGCATCACCACCATCTTCGTCCCAACGCCGGCTGGACAAGTTGGGGTGATACACGAACCAGCTACAGGTGCCACGCACGACGACGTCGTGAAGCCTGTGGCGCCACTCGCTCTTCGCTCTCTCGGTCGTGCATCGCTGCGGAAGGAGTTGGCAGTTGTACAAGAGGGAGAAGAGAAGGTGGTTGGAGGTCGTTCTTGGAGCTGCATATTGCAGCAGAACGTTGTGCATCGTTCAAGAAGGAGAAGAAGTAGACGACAGGAAGAAGGAGGTAAAGGTAATCTATCGACGCACTCCCCTACACGAGTTTGAGACGGTAAAATCCGAGTACAAGAAGCGACAATGATGCTCGGGGTGAGCCCTGTGGATGTCATGCCGGCGACGGGGTCATTGCCATCTACCACTTCGCCTCTTGCACTTCCGTCCGATTCATGGGCGGCCGAATCGTTCTTTCGCAGCTTCTTCGACTACAGCCCAGTCATGATGGGAGTCGTGGAGGTGGTTGAAAGCATCCCCCCCAAGAAATCCAAACAATCCAAGAAGCGATCTCCGCCCAGCCCCGGTGATGAAATTCATCCTGCTGGCGATTTGCTCAACGTGCAAGCCAACGCGGCCGTCGGTCGATTCTTCAATCAGGAGCTCAGCAACGTTATCGGTCGCAGGTACACCATTGCCCCAACTTGCGTTGTGTTCTGCTGCGCTTCATTTTGGTCTCCTTCTTTCTTCTGCTTTTCGTTCGCTCGTTCGCTGTGGGCTCCTCCTGCCTGCCACTGTCTTGTCGTCTGTGCTAGTCGCCAAGAACCACTCTCCATCATCAACAAGTGTCAATGACATCAACTCCGACATGTAACAATACTCTCCGTGTATGAGAGCAGGTCGTCAGAGCTAGGCTCGCCCCAGTCGTGCATCAACGAATGGATACGCAAGTGCGAGGAGGCCACCGCGTCGCCTTTGCCCATCTCCTGGGACTTCGCCTCGCCCTGCGGCCTTGGTACGCCTTACCTTCGCGCTTGCCGTTCCGGAGGTGCCTGATGCGTTTTTTGGGCCTCGTTCGCTCACACTTTTCCCCATCTGCGCAGGCTCGGTCCGATGGCTGAACGGCGTCATCTATCCGCTGCCGCACAACCCAACCGACCGGAAGCTGTTCTGCTACATTCTCAAAGATATCACACAAAGCAAGGAGCTCGAGCAGCGACTACGCGACAATGAACGCAAGTTGCGATACGCAGCCAACGTGCGCTTCCTTTTCTTCGATGATGGTCTAACAGTTCAGCGGCTGCGCGCACTCAAAACCTAGGCCTAACACGTTCGTGTCCTGTCGCTCAGGTTCTGCACCATGTCGACTGCATCGTGTGGGAAACAGAAGCGCAGACGGGGCAGGTGACCTACATCAATACACAGAAAACAATGGAGATCCTGGGCAAGGAGGTGGAGATCGGCAAGAGCATCATGCCGCAGATCCTTCCCCTCTTGCAGGGCACCGGCATGTCCGTCCGAGACACGGGTAAGATGCACCTCACCCCCCACGCTGCCCTGTGATCACCGGCCATGCGCTTACTCTCAGAGGCGCGCAGGATTCACGCACACCGAGGGCGACCCACGAACAAAGTACGAGTTCTGCCTCAATGTCGAGGGTTCGAACACCAGGTACGTGGCCTCTGCATGGTCTATGGCGTCGAAGCGAACAGTTCAACGACTGACGTCCCCGACGCCACAGCAAATGGTTACGAAATGTTGTGTCCGAGGTGTGGAACTACACCACGGTACCGCCCAAGATGATGCGGTACATTCGTTCTCTTCAAATTTTCCTCCTCCTCCTTCCGCTACGATCTAAGCCCTCATGACCACAATAAATAGGTGCGGAATCGCGCTGGACATCACGTACGAGAAGATGAACGAGGAGCTGGCGCGCGAGATCACCGACATGACACTCAAGTCCAAGCTGAAGAGCGACTTCTTCGCCACCATGTCACACGAAATCCGTACGTGTCGTGCGTCAACAAGTTGCTTGCGGCTTCAAGCAACCTCTCACACCTCACACCTCTACATCGATAAATACTCCACAGGCACGCCCATGAACGGCATCTTTGGCATGGGGGAGTTGCTGATGGACACCAAGCTGTCCACCGAACAGTCTGAATTTGCCGAGGCGATCATCAACTGTGCTCACTCGGTGCTGTGTATAGTCAACGACATCCTCGATTTCTCCAAGATCGAGGCCGGCAAGCTCGGTGAGTGCTTCTCGGCCACCTTCTTGATCGCTTGCTTCAAATGCCTCTGGCTCACCAAGTGTGTGTCGTGTGTCGTGTCGTGTGCGTGTCGTGTGTGCTGTTCTCGTTGCAGAATTGTACGAGGTACCCTTCAGCCTCCGGTCGGTGATCGACGAGACCATGGAGATCCTGGCAGTCAAGGCCAAGGAGAAGGACGTCGATCTTCACGTGCACTACGCCACCAACGTTGCACACCACTACATTGGCGATGCTGCTCGGTACGTCGTGTCGTTGATTCCTGTGATCTTTGCACTCTTGGCATCCAGTGTTGACACGACCACGACGTGGCCCAAACGCAGTATTCGCCAGGTGCTCACGAATTTGCTCAGCAATTCGGTGAAATTCACCAACTTGGGCTCGGTCGATGTCCACGTCGAGCTGGTGAGCACGGAGGAGGTGGCCACCCCACCGGCGTCGTCGTCATCGCCGACGAAGAGCGGCCGATTCGCCAAAGGCAAACCTGTCGATACGCGCCCGAAGGCCCGCCGTGGCTCAGCCGACACGGCGCCGCGCAAGATGGGCGGCAGTCGCGATGAGATCGAGGTCGTGGACGAAGAGGCCATCCGCGCTGAATACGTCAGCAAACAGCGGCGACGCAACTCTCTGCCCTGGAACTCGAACAAGAAGGTCAACAACCTCCGGCGAATGGGCATGAGCTCGATCGGGTCGAGCTCCGGCAATCTACTGGCCATCGGCCCCGATTCCTGTTACGATGGCGACGTCGACGAGGAAGAGCAGCCTTCGCCTGTGTACGTTGCTCTCTCGCATCCGGACTCGCGCGTCGTGCGCATGCGTGAGTGCGTGTGCGGTGGTGCGTGTGCGTGTGCGTGTGTCCTCAAATTAGCGTTATTATGTTGGCATGTGCAGGCACTGGCTCAAGATCAAGGTCACCGACACGGGCATCGGTATCAGCGAAACACGACTACTGAGCCTGTTCAAGAAATTCGAGCAGGTACCCGATAGCCCCCAACACCAGATGCCAGCGCCCAGACCAACGTTTTGACCACTTTTCCTTTTGATTGGGCTAGGGTGATGCATCGACTGCCGTGACGTTTGGCGGGAGCGGCCTCGGGTTGGCGATCTCGAAAGAGTTGGTGGAGCTCATGGGCGGCAAAATGGGCGTAGCCTCCGCAATCGGTAAGGCCCTCCTGTCCACCTCCACAGTGGTCTGAGCTCATGGACCATGACTGACGCCGGCGACACGCGGCCTGTGGTGCAGGTGTGGGGTCTTGTTTCTACTTCACGCTGCCGCTCCGGCGAGACATGTCGCGTCAGCCGCGCCTGATGTCGCCCATTCCCGGCTCCTCCAAGCTGCAGCCGCTTCTCCACCTTACCACGCCCAGGGTATGGTGCACCAGTAGCACCACGCTCTCGTCGCCTTTTTTCTCACGCAGTCTCAACGGGCGCAGGTACTGGTGGCGGACGACGATCGTATGTTCTGCGAGACCCTCCGCGTTGAGCTGGAGGCCTGGGGCTTCTTCGTGGAGTGCTTTGATTCTGAGGAGGCCGCAGTCACCCGCTTCGTCAACAATTGCCTTGAGCCCCGCCCCCATGGGTACGTTGTGGGACCTGTGCCGTGTGGTGTACACTCTTTCTGTGGAGGGGGAAGCGACTGAGCTGATGACGGCCGATATGGGCCAACAACAGGTTCCGAGTGGCCTTTGTCAATTCAGACTTTGAGGGGCTGATCGCGGCTGTGCGGCAGCGCCGCAACATCAGCCAGACACAGAAATGGGCCTCCGTCTCGCTTGGTACCCTCCTCCCTCAAGCTGTAGCGAAACTGCCTGCGTACCAGAACGGACCACTCATCGCCGCGTGGATGGCCAACAGGAGCTGTGGGCACCGCCCAACGCAAGCAACGAAACGGTCGGCTGAAGGATCAGTTCCACTCCCTCGAGACTGCTCTGCAGCGGAAAGACGACCGTACGGTCATCATATCCCCCCCACACTTACGCGAGGATTGGCTAACGAAAATTTGTGTCGCCCGTCGTCGTCTACAGTCACCCGCGATACGCACCTGGTGCAGGTCTCGCAGATCAAGCGGTTCACCGAGGTCAATGGCGAGGGCATCCTGTTCAAGCCCGTCCGGTACCTTTCCCAGCCGTCGACATCGAACACACCGCACGCGCACACGCACCACCGCACACGCACCACCGCGCACGCACTGGTGCTAATGTCTGGTCTCTGATGTGCCCGCAGGCTGGCCAAGCTGCATAAGCTTCTGAAGACGTTTCTGTCTGAGAACGACGAAGAGACGGAGAAGGAGTGGCGCGAGAAGCAGCGAGAGCGACGCAAGGCCAAGGAGCGCCTGAAGCGGAAGAAGGGCGGTCGAGCCCATAAGCGGTCCACCTCCGACAAGACCGAACCCAACACCAGCCCGATCGCCTATGCCGCGCACGCGACCGACGGCCACGGTGAGGCGACGCCGCACAACAACGGCGCCACCATCAACAACAAGAGCGCCGGCCTGGACGAGGCTGATGGCAACGCGAACGAAGACACGGTGAAGGAGAAGGAAGTGGAGAAGGAGAGCGGTGACAGTGGCGACGCGGAAGAGGAGGAAGGACACATGCCGGCGGTGGCACTCAAGCAGGTGGTCAAGGGCGGTCGTTTCCTCAAGATGGCGCTGGGCCGGCGGAGGTCGATGTCGTCCCACGCGAGCGGAGGCGGGTCGAGCGCGGCCAGCTCGAGCGGCGAAAGGGACCCGCAGCAGCAGCAAGAGCAGCACCCGCGGAAGGAGAAGGAGGAGTGCAGCAGCAGTAGCAGCTGTGCGAGCAGCGACAGCATCGAATCGATGATGGGCGAAGACGCGCAGCAGCCGCAGCAGCGCGTGCACCAACAATCGGTGCTGATGGCCAAAAAGAGCAAGAAGAGCCCGCGCAGCAAAAAGGAGAAGCAGGTAGGTTCCTCTACGCATGCGACGCACTGCGCCGCAGTGATTGCTGACCACCTCGCCCCGCCCCGCCCCACAGCAGGCGGTCACGTGGCAGGAGATGAACGCGCTGGTGCACCGCGGGAGGAGCGACAGCGACACCTCGCGCTCGCCCTCGTCCAACTCGCCGCCAGGTTCGTGCGTTCTCTCGTCATCGTCTTCGTCTCACAGCATTTCAGACGCTGAAACCGAAAACGAAGAGGTACGTGCGTTTGTCGTGTGCGTATGCATGTGCGGTGGTGTGTGCGGTGGTGCGTGTGCGTGTGCGTGTGCTGTGTTTGCTGATTGGCTCGTTTGTTAGGAGGAAGAGGAAGACAGGGAGGAGAAGAAAAAGAAGAAAGCGCTCATCCTCGTGGTCGACGACAACATGGTCAACCAGAAGGTCATCGGCCGATTCCTCGCCAAGATCGGGCTTGAGAACATCATCACCGCCTATGACGGCAAGCAAGCCATAGACATTGTCCTTGAGCGGTTAGTCTCCCCTTCGCGCGCGCGCACAGAGAACACACACCACACACACCACACGCACACGAACACACCGCACGCGACTCGCGCACGGCTAACTGGTACTTGCGCAGGCGAAACGAGATCAAGCTGATCTTCATGGACTGCCGTATGCCGATCCTCGATGGGTATGAGGCGACGCGCATCCTGCGACAGGAGAAGAAGGTGACCACCCCAATCGTGGCCGTGACCGCCAACAACCGAAACGAACAGAACGAGAAGCTATGCTTCGACAGCGGCATGAACGACTACGTGGAGAAGCCCATCAGGTGCCCTCCCTTCTTTCTTTGTCCTTCTTGTCTCTTTCTTTCTTTCTTTTCTTTCATCTCACACTTCATTTTGATAATTTATTTGTGATGTCGTAGATTCGCAGACATTTCGTTGATCGTGAGCAAGTACATTCTCAAGGGCAAGGGCGGGTCTGAAGCTTATGTACATTGATCGCCTCCACCCAAACACGAGCGACTCGCCTACATCTGTATATACACGGCAGAATCTCGCTTCTCAGATGAGAGAGCACTTCTTCGTCTTGCTGGACTTATGGGGAGGCGGGTCGAGCGCCACCCGGATGGCCTCGTGGAACAGGTGCTGCAGGCCCTCCTGGGTCTTGGCCGAGCACTCCAGGTACCTGCAGGCCCCGATCTCCTCCGCCAGCCGCTCGCCCTGCTCCGCCGGAATGTACCGCTGCTGCGTTGTGCGATCGCCTTCGTCGCTCCGCCGCAGATCGATCTTGGTGCCGACCAGGAGAACCGGAACCTTGGGGCAGTGGTGGGTGACTTCCGGGTGCCACTTGGTGCGCACGCTTTCGAAGGAAGAAGACGAGGCGACGGTGAAGCAGATGAGGAAGACGTCGGTCTGGGAGTAGGTCAGCGGCCGCAGCCGATTGCTGTAGTAGTCGTAGTCGTCGTGGCCGACGGTGTCCCAGAGCGAGAGGTCGATGGTCTTGTTGCCGAACATGACGGGGGTGGCGAAGTTGTCGAACAGAGTAGGGATGTACTCGGTAGGGAACTGGTTGGTGTAGCTCATGAGCAGGCACGTCTTGCCCACCGCATTGTCGCCCACCACCACGCACTTGAGTGCTTGCGTCGGCGTGTTCGCCATCACCTCCTTCTCTGTTTGTTGAGGCACAAAACAATAAAAGACAAACTTTCAAGAAAAGATGTCTGGGTGAATATAGTTCTGATTTAATTGGGAAAGGAGTGCGGCGAATTTGCCCGTTGGTCCTTCGGCTAAAGCACTCTTTGCAGTCAGCCAACAAGAACCCGCGCTTTTGGCGGTGCGCGTGAGAGTGTTGGCGGGTGCACGTCGGTGTTTTTGATTACATGAAGCCTAAATGTAGGTTTGTACAAGGTGTAGGGAGTCATTATCAGAAGAGAGAACACGTCTTCGTTTCTTTGTTGCCCAAGCCGGTCTTGCCGTTGTTGCAGGCCGGGTTGAGCGCCACTCGGATGGCCTCGTGGAACAGGTTCTGCAGGCCCTCCTGGGTCTTGGCTGCACACTCCGCGTACATGAAGGCCCCGATATCTTGGCCAGTTGCTCGCCCTGCTCCGCCCTTATGTGCAGCTGCGTTGTCCGACCGTCGTCGTCGTCGTCGTCGTCGTCGTCGTGGTCTTCGTCGCGCCGTAGATCGGTCTTGGTGCCGACCAGCAGCGTGGGCACGTTGGGCAGTGGTGGGTGAGCTCCGGGGTGCCACTTGGTGCGCACATTGGCGTAGGACGTGGGCGAGGTGACGGAGAAGCAGATGAGGAAGACGTCGGTCTCGGGGTAGGTCCAGCGGCCGCAGCCGGTCGTAGTCGTCCTGGCCGGCGGTGTCCCACAGCGCGAGGTCGATGGTCTTGTTGCCGAACACGGTCTTGACGGAGGGGGTGGGGTCAAACCCCCCCGAGACGTACTGATTGTCGGGGAAGCGGTTGGTGGCGTAGGTGGTAATGAGGGACGTCTTGCCCACGGCACCGTCACCCACCACCACACACTTGAGTGCGTGCGTCCTGCGCTCTCTCTTCGACATGTTGGTTAAAAATATAATAAAGAAGTAAAACACCAATAAAAACGACAACAGAACGTGGTGCGGCGAATGGCAGTCCTTCGGCTAAAGCACTCCTCACAACGTTTAGCTGCTTAGTCGTTCACCCAGCTCAGATGAGGAGGAGTGATGGGCAGTGACGTCGCCCACCATACCACTACTGAGCACCGAGTGATCCGTAGCTTATCATCGAGTGGGTTGTATGTGGTGATAAGGCCGGTTTGTGTTCCACCGAAGCCAGGATTGCTGGGGATTTCTCAACTTTGTTGTCTTCTGCGAAGAGGAACCTCATGCTTTGGAGTCAATCTTTCTTAGTCTCATTACAATGAACCTAGAATCAATCACATCGGCTTCCCTCCCCTCAGAAATCTGGGTTCACATCTTCGCATTTCTCGATCGCCCCGCAGAGTTAGCCCAATTGGCGCTGGTCTGCACACGATGGCGAACCATCAGCGAAGATGATATGCTGTGGAGTCCCTTTTTCGCCTCTTCGTCCATCGCCACCACTTGGCTTCGGGACCATCAACCAATTTCCCCAAATCTCACGCAAGCCGCCCCCTTGAAGCGCGCATGGGCCGAGCTGGCAAGGGTCGAGGCCAACTGGCTCCGGGGCACCTGCAAGCTCACCGTGGTGCAGCTGCCCTTGGGTCATGCTGTCCCCTGCTCCCTCCTCGACGAGCCTCGCCATCGCCTCATCTTAGGGTGCGCCTCAATCAATTTCCAATTGTAATTTGTGTAGCGGCACTGATGATTTTGTTGTGGAGCAGAACCATGGCCACCACGCTGGAGCTGGTGGACCTGCCTGGCAGCGAAGGCCAAGACACTGATTGCATCGATGAGCCACAGCTGCGCGAGCGGACCGCCGCACAGCCCCTGCACAAGGCGCACCGCGACGCTGTGCGTGCGCTCAAGATGTCGCCCGACCGCCGCCTCCTCGCATCGGCGTCCAACGACCACACGGTGCGCGTGTGGGACGCCGAGACGCTCGAGTGCCTACACACCCTCACCGGCCACACCGACAGCGTGCGCGTGCTGGCGTTCGCGGCCCACAACAGCGACACCACCTCCTCCGCCACCATCCTCCTCTCTGCCGGAAGAGATCACACAGTCAAGGTACACCGTGTGTCGTGTGTGTCGTGTGTGTCGTGTGTGTCGTGTGTGTCGTGTTGTGTTGCACGTCGCGTGTGTCGTGTGCGGTGTGCTAACTGCAGTTGCAATAGATCTGGGACGCAGATAAGGGCCAGCTGCTGCATTCGCTGCGTACGTGTAGCGCTCTGATCTCGCATCTCTGCTCTGGCCCGCGGTTGTGGTTAACGCAAACTGTGTGCGCACTCTACAGGACACACCATGGCCTCGGGCAACACTTGCATGGCGCACGCGATCGAGGCCAATGACACGACCGCTGCGGTGGGCTACGCCGACGGGTCCATCGCACTCGTGTGTCTGGAGACCGGCCAGGTGGTCCAGATGCTGTCGGGCCACACCCACTGGATCACCAGCCTCCATATGCGCCCGGGCTTGCTCGTCTCCGGCTCCTGTACAAATTACCCTTATTTATTTTTATTTATTTTATTGTTTTATTTTGTTTTATTGTTTTACTTGTTGAATTGTTTTCATTCTAAAAAACGCACATCACAGGCGATCGCAAGGTGATCGACTGGGACTTGCGCACGGGCCAGCCGGCGCATGTCTTCGTGGGGCACACGAGCGACGTCAACGCAGTTCTTGCATTCGGTCCAGAGAACGAGCGGATCGTCAGCTGCAGCAACGGTACCTCATTCTTATCGCACGACACGCACGACACGCACGACACGCACGACGCGCACGACGCGCACGACGCGCACGACACGCACGCACTGACTGACTGAGCCTTACGCGCTTCATAGATGGTACCGTGCGGGTGTGGTCTCGCGCGCAGGGCAGCTGTATCCAGACACTGGCCAAGCGAAGTGAAACCGGTCACGTGGTCGGTAGTCGTTCGAGGCCCGTCAACGAGGTCATCTCCATGCAAACGAAGCACTACGCCACTCGACCCGAAGTGACAACCCTCATTTCAGGTGAGGCTCGGCTACTGTGTGTCGTGTGTGGTGTGTCGTGTGTGTCGTGTGTGTCGTGTCGTGTGTCGTGTGAGGTTGGGCTGACGAACGACGTGTGGTACAGGGAACACGGGGAAGGTGAGCAGTGGTGTGCGGCTGTGGGGGCTGGACGCCCTGGGCGAGCGAGCGGCGAGCCTTCACAGTGAAGCCACCGAGGGCGTCAGGGGCATTCTCTCCCTGGCCGTGTCCGCCCGATACCTTGTCGCCACCACCGTACGCACTCCTCGCCCAACACACACCTCTCACCTGGTCGTCCCACATTCTCGAGTGCTCACATGACACACAACACCACACACCACACACCACACAACACCACACAACACACAACACCACACACCACACAACACACAACAGTGGGACTGCAAGGTGCTGGTGTGCGACTTTGGGCGAAGTGGTCAATCGATCCGGTGGGTGGAGGAGCAGGACAATGCAGAAGCCTCGCTGATGTCAATGACAAGCCAGGCCTACGTCCCTCCGTGGCAACGAAGACAGCAGCAAGCAGAACCGGACTGCGCGGAAGAGGATTACAGTGGCCCGGATGATTACACCCGTGAGGAGGAGGACTAAGAAGAACCAACTTCGTTGGGCTTCAGTTCCCACATTTAAAATTACAGAAGAAGGGCGACAAGGCCAGACAAGTGAGTGCCTAGTGTGGACGCGGCAGAGGCATCAGTGGAAGTGACAATAGTCGAGGCTGAGGCACCACTGCCGGCCGTGAGGCTGAAGCTCATGGTCGTGCTGGCCTGGTCGCTCGCTATCAGGCACGCCGCGCACGCCACCGCTCTGTCGATCGTGACGTTGACACCACTCAAGGCCTGCGTCGGGTCTGACACGGTGACCTTGAGCCGCGTTCCGTCGTCCACCTCCTGAACCAGCACCACGCACGGCTGGTCCACACGCACGCGCCACCCGCGCCGGCCCGGCGACTGCAGTGACTGATCGGCCTCGGTCGTCGACCAGAACGCGGCGCCCAGCAGGCGCAGCTTGGTGTGGAACACGGCCTGGACGTGGGGCGTGTTGGCCACCACTTCGACCGCCGCCAGTGTCGCGGCCGGGTCGAACGCCGCCGCCGACACGCCCGGCACCACCACGTAGGCCAGCGAGTCGTTGACCACCGGCGCGCTCTGCCGGGTGAGCCACGCGTTGAACGTGGGGAGCGCGATCGTGCCCGAGTCCTCACCAATCGTGCTCCACGACCCGCTCGACGCGCTCGCCGTCTCCAGATGCAGCGTCACAGAGCCATTGGCGGCGGCCACGCCGCGGTTCTCTGGGAAAACGTAGCCCACCGAGTCGTGGTGGAGCCACCAGGGCTGGGAGGTGCCGCTGCCGACGGCGATCGGTGCGCCGGCGACGCTCGACGTCACGGGGCCGTTGAGCACCTTGGCGTCGAGCACCGAGTGCACGGCGGCGGCCGGGTCGAGCGAGGTGATGTTGGCCGCCAGCACCACGACCTCGTCGTCGAACATGAACCACGCCTTCTGGAAGCTGAGGTTGCGGGTGAAGGGCGACACGAAGCGCATGGCGAAGGCGCCGTAGGTGCCATCGGACGCGCCGCCGACGAAGCCGCCGGCCTGGCCCTTGGCGTAGAGACTGGCGCAGGTCAGCGCGCCGACGCCGTAGTCGACGGTGATGCCGGGCACGTGGTTCCAGTCCCACAGGGGGAACACGGACCGGTCGGCCGTGTCGTTGACGCGGCCGTACTCGTTGCCCGACTGGTGCACGTACATCGCGCCGTCGCTCAAATGCAGTCCCTGTCCTTCACTTGTGAGCACGGACCGCACACGCACACACCGCACACACCCACCGCACACACCCGCCGCACACACGTACGAGTAAATTTTCTGAATTGACGCATTCGGAGTTGGCGATGCGGGTGGAGAAGCCCTTGACGCTGACGACGTAGTGGGCGCGGCGGTGGACCATGTAGTCAGAGGCCCAGTACATGCGGTTGCCCACCAGCCGCGACCCGTTGTTCGACGTGACCACCTCCACGAACGCCTCGAACTCCTTCTGGCGCGACCTGTTCACTCAATTAATCGCGTGTGTGCGGTGTGCGGTGCGTGCGGTCGCGCATGTGCGGTGTGCGGTGTGTGCGGTCGGGCGTGTGCGATGCGTACCAGCCGGCGGTGAGGTTGGTGAGCGAGTTGGTGTCGAGGGAGGCGACGAGGCCGACCTTGCGGGAGATGGCCCGGCCCACCACCGACGGGTCGTAGATGTTCTTGCCGGGCGAGTAGACCATCATCCACTGCAGTCCGTCGAGCACGAACCTGGCGAACACCTCGCGCTGCGCGGCGGTGGAGGCGAACGCGGTACCCACGGCCGACACGAACATGTCGACGTACGTCGCCATGAACGAGTCACTATGTTGCAACACGCCACAGAATATATAAATAAATTTGAATTTAAATAAATAACTCTATTAATTTCCATAATAGCATTTTAATGATAAATTTAAAAGTAATAAGTCGTAGAAAAGAATAAATCATACGAACCCATAGCCGCCGGTGTAGAGGAGGCCCCTGTGCTGCAGAAAGCTGCCGTCCGGCTTGATACCGTCCTAGAGGTCGTGCGGTCAGCCATTTACAGGAAACGTACGACGCGACACACACGACACACGCAGCACACGCAGCACACGCAACACACGCAACACACACGACACACGCAATACAACAAAACGTACATCGGAACCAGACGAGTAGTACAGCTCGTTGTTGCTGGCCGCGAAGGCTGCGGCGACTGCGGTGTCGTTCTGCGTGAGAAGACCCGCGTAGACGGCTCCCTGGGCGAGCCACAGCGTGTTGGCGCCCGTGAAGCCGGTCCAGTTGGCGCGACCCAGGATCTTGGCGCAGTGCGACTTGTGCTCGGCCGTGAAGACCGACGAGCTCGCCGAGCGCAGCAGCAGGCACGTTGGTCCCAGTTGGAGCTGCACGCCAATCATGTTCGCCCACCAGTTCGTGTTCCACAGCCCTGCACTCATTGTAAGCACACGCACTAACCGCACACACCGCACTAACCGCACACACCGCACGCACCGCACGCACGCACGAGTGGTGGGGGACACCAGACTGGGTACCAGGGGTGGAGCAGGGGCAGGCGGTGGTGTTCTTGCGGTTGGTGCAGAACTCGTTGGCGTAGTCGTTGTCGAGCCAATAGTCGAGCCCGAGCATGATCCCGCCGAGCACCGTCGCGTTGGAGCGCAGAGCCGGGACCGCATACCACGCCTGCGTTATCTCTGAATTTTAATATTACAAAAAATGCACCACAAAGTGAGGGTTAGCAATATGTAAATAAAAAATAAAAAATAAACAAAATAAATAAATGGAGCCAGCGCTTCGGTACTGAGAACGCGGGTCAGGTGAACCAGGGCAGGCCAGCTCGATGGGTCGGCGCTGCATCCGGCCGTGTAGTCGACGTCTACAAGATGTGTAGTTTGAGTAGAGAGACACGCGACCAGTGGTGGGCGAGGCAAAACAACGTACCAGACCAGGTCCCATCAGCTTGGATGCTGTTCAAGTACGTTCTCGCCCTACAGCGGACAATAGAAAACAATTTAATCAATAGATATATATAATATATATATATAGCGCTATCTATGGGAGGTGTGGAGTACTGGGTGATGGAGTAGCCGGTGACAAAGTTGGCAGTGAGGCGTGCGTCTACCGTCTGCGTGTCGGCCGAAGCGGCCACGCAGCTCACAGAGACGGCCACCACCGCCAGCAGAACCAGGAGCAGCCTTGTACCCTTACGACCCATGACGATGATGTTGGTAGTGTGCTGGGGCGCTTGTTCGGTGCCGAGGGCGGGATGCAGAATGTTCGTTCGGGTTGTGTGTTCGGGTTGTGTGTTCTGTTGTCTTGTTGTTGTTGTGCTCCCGATCGGGTGCCGAGGCGCCAATGGCGGGCATGCGTGTGCCGATGCGCCAATGGCGGGCATGCATGTGTTGCGCTTGTTCACCGTAATAAAACTCGGAAAAACAAGTTATTGGTTGGGACACTATGCTTCCTGTTGGCGGCGGCGCACCGTTTGGTTCACATACCCGAAATGCCGTGTTGCCCAAGCGCGAGCAGGAAATGCCCCTTCTGGAGATCTCCAGCTGGCCTGGGCCAGTCCAGCTACCGACACAGAAGCAGAAGAGGATGAGCACTGCGAGCAGTCTGAAGAATAAATTTGAGCAGCAAATTCAGGTACGCACCTTGTCAATCTTTGTCTAAATGATTAATGATTGGATTGTGCTGAAGGGCATTCAATTGTTTGTTTGTGGGGGGGGGCTTGCTGCAGGAGGTGAACGCTGTTCCTGAAAAGCCGAAGAAGCCCCAGAAGCAGAGGGAGTGGACCCCCACCAACAACGGCGCCACGGGCGCCCACAACGCCGTACGTCCCTCACCCTCGTCCGCCATCAAAAGGCCAAAAAAAAAACAAAAAACAAAAAACAAAAACAAAATTAAAAAAACGCCAATTAGAGAAAAAACACTAATTCATTGGTTCAACGCGACAGACCGGGTATTCGGCGCAGACAAAGAAGCAAACCAGGTACGCGGAAGGCCAGCTGCCACCCAAGAAGAGTCTCACCGATCTCCCGTAAAGAACAACAACAACAACAACAACAACAACAAACAACAACACACGACGGAGCCGTGATGCTGTGCGAGCGATGTAACTTAATCAGTAGTAAATAATTCCTTTGTACTGTAAATAGTGCCTGGGTGACGTCGTGCGAGTGGTCACGCTCTCCTGATGCCCGCATCCAACCTCTTCAGCGAGAGGTCTTGAGCGACCGCACACATGTAGGTAATTGGGCGACATGGTCGGGGCCGGGGCTGGCCCGCGGCTCTCACTTGCCCCAGCCGCCGAGGCCCAGGTAGGAGAGGAGGGCGTTGCCGGGTCGGACGGGCTGCGGCGCCGGCGGGTACCCGCAATCGGTCCCGATGTGCTGCGGCAGATCTGGTCACGCCCCAAAGAGGTGGTTGGAAGTGTGTCCACAGTCAGCGATAAAAAGTGGGAGAAGGTGAGAGATCGTGCATGAGCACAGAGGAGAAGAAGCGAACCTTTGTACATGATGCAGCGCCGACACTTTTCGCACTCCTCCGTGCGGGTCCCACAGTACTCCTAGAGATGTCGCATACGGGGGCAAACTGTGTGAGTGTGCAGCAAGGAGACGGATGCCCTCGTGGCGCGGGCGTGGCGGGCTTCCAGTCACCTGGTGCTCGTCGAGTTGGGTGGCCTTGGTCATCAGACCGCAATAGTGGCAGGGCACGCTTCGCTGCGGGCAATAACTGGAGATTGGGGCAATGGTCATACAGAAGCTGTCGGCTCAGAGATTGAGTGGTGCGTACTTCTCGAGGTGAGCGCCGAGCTCGGTCAACTCTACCGTGGCCCCACACTCGCCGCACTCGACCTTGGGGGGGGGGCACAGCACAGAAAAGTGTGAGACGTGCCCTTGGACAACCAACCAGTCAACCGGCGTACGGACCTGCGCATGGAACTCCTGGTCGTGCTTCTCCTTCTCCGACACCTTGACCGCTCGGCCGCATTTCATGCAACACACGTTGTTCCGCTGCAGGTGATGGCGCGCACAGAAAAAAAAAGACGTCAGCCTATGTGTCTTTGTGCTGTGTGTCGTGTCGTTGGTCGTGTCGTGTGAAAAAGGCACCTCACAGAAGGCCGAATGCATGGTAAACGCGGCAGTTGGCACTCTTCGCTGGCTGAAAGTGTCGACACAGGTGACGTGGCCAGTCAGCGCGCCAGTAACTGGAAAATTGGTCGACTATAGGGTTCCAGGTACCAGTTCTTGCAGAGGGTGGTGTCGGCTTGAGGAGCCGCGTCTTCGGTCTCTTCGTCCAGTCTCCTACCGAGTTGCTCCTTCTCCTTCCCCTTGTCCTTGACGCCCTCGCCGTCTGCGCCGTCAGTCTCTGCGGCCTCGCGCTCCCGCTTGATTCGTGCGATCTCGCGCAGCTGCTCCTCCTCGGTCAGCGTCCGCTGGAACTCGACCTCAATGTCCACGTTGTTGATGTCGATCGCCGTGTGCGGCTGCGTCTCCAGCACCTTGTTGTTGCCAATTTATGGTCAGTACTTGATGTCATCAGTACCGTCACGTCGTATGTGTCGTGTGCCGTGTATGTTGTGTGTGTTGTGTGCCGTGTGTCGTGCGCGGTACCTCGAAGTGGTAGGTGATGGCGTCAAAAGTGATGTCGATGTGATCACCCTGGCTCAGCGCGGCAAAGTTGCGAAGCACCGTCTCGAAACTACAAACCGGGCACACACACATAACGATACGATCGTTGAGTTCGAGCCAAACTTGCACGATATAACCCAAAGAAGAAGCAAAACAAACGTTGGACGTACATGGGTTTGGGATCGGGGTAGCGCACGAAGAAGTGGGAATCGTGGGCCTTGAACTTGACGAAGGTACCCTTGGGCAGCGTGACCAAGCGCACATTCACATCATCTCCCTATCAGATGATGATGATGGCGATGAAGAAAACATGGTCTATCAGCCTTCTTCTTTTGCTGTTGTTGGCGGTGAGGGGAGGCGAATAACCTCTGTGAGCTCGAGATGTTGCATAAGCCAGAATGGCGCATTGGCATGACCCTCTTCCGCCAGAAACTCCATCACACCTATGGGAAAAAGTGAGTGGCACACACACACACACACACACACACACACAACACGCAGCACCGCACACGCACACGCACACGCACACGCAAACTAGAGGTTGCATACCGGCGTAGGTCTTCTTGCCATTGGCCGGGTTTGAGAGCTCAAACACGAGCGGGGAGTCGGAAAGGAACTGCTTGCCTGCCACGTCCTTGCTCACGATCTCCTGGAGCGCCGACGCGGGCAGCAGGACTAAAACACACACACACACACACACACACACCGACGGCCGGTCCATCGCAGCTGTCAGTGGTCGTTCTCAGAATTGAATTTGGGGCAATGCGTGGACGTACTCTTGCCGCCGTAATTGAGTTCCGGGCGTCCAATGAACGCCGGCGTGTTGCAAACATATGTGGTGTAGAAGCTGATCAACGGTTTAGTAACATGCCTAAGCTTTGTGTGTGGTGTGTGGTGTGTGCGTGTGTTACCCGGTCGTTGCGGAGGCGACTTCTTCGTCGGTGTAGGGCAACGGGTTGGTCACGTAGATACGGGCGTTTGCTTCGACGAGCTTGTTCTTGAGGTGCGTGACGATAGACGACATCGTATTGACTAACGAAAGAACACGCACGCGCGCGTTACGTGCCGTCGTCAGCCAATGCAAGCACACTTAGACATCATCAATCGAAGTAGCGGAGCGCAAAGAGGGGACCACGCACTTGGGCTCCACTCTTGGTAGGTGAAGAGGGCGAGCTGCACCGTTCCGCCCGTGGACACGACGCCGCCAGTGCTCCTCGGCGCAAAACGAGGGTACAAGACGCGGACGGTGGGAGGCTTGAGCGGGTACTCGGTCGTGAAGCGGAAGGACACCAAGACATGATCCTGCGGGTGTGCGTAAGTTGCATGACCCGCACACGCACACGACCGCCCATGACCGCACACGCACATAATGTGCATTGGTGACAAAGAAGACGCACCACACCCTGCTGTTCTTTGAGGTGTGCCAGGTCTTTGGCCACCGTGCTGTCGCCGAAGAAGTCGTAGATCTTCACCTGCACCCCTGCCACGTCAGCAAGGGAAAGATTGAGAGATGCAAGTGGTGCCGAGATTGGTGAGCACGTACGTGCCAATGGTACGGGTCGCCTTCCACACAATCCGCTTCAAAGCCCTGAATATGGGCCAAAAAGAAGAGTTGGGGCACAGTAAGTGCATCTTATCTCATCTAATGCTTCTCTAGCAACAGTGGTGATTCCTATGTACCGAGGTCTGGCGGCATTTGGCCTTGTCTGCATAGCGCTTGCCCTCGTTGAGGAGCCGCTCCAGCGATTTGTCTGGCGTGCTGCTCGCCTCCATCTGTCTGATCTTTTGTTTTTTTTTGTTTTTTGTTTTTGTTTTTTTTGAATTATTTTTCTTTTGTTTTGGTTCCGTGGCCCACAAGGTGCAGCGGTTCTTAGTCAACTCGTTGGCTGACGTCATCGGAACTCGGCGATCGTGGCCACTTCAGCTTCGTCGCCATCATCATCATCTCGTTCGCCCACCTCATCTTCTTCTTCAGCATCATAGGCCTCCGGCAGGCCCTTGGCCGGGCGGTACGCGAGACGGAAGACGGCGAGGAGGGCGTAGTGATCGGAGGGGTACTGGCCCTCGGCGGTCGCGTCCGTACATACCATGGCGCACAGCGGCTCGACGGTGGTGGCGGGCGGCTGCTCCACCGCGTCTTCGGGTCGACGCTTGCCCTCAACGTCGCAGTCGACGACGATCGCGGCGGCGGCAGTGTCTCCCTGGTCGTCGCTCTTCTTCTCCCTCTTTCCCTCGGCTCGGCAGCGATCAGCAATCTCGCGTTCGTCGCTGTTCTCGCGTGGTTGGTCGTTCATGTACAGTATCCAGTCGACGTGGTACCGGCCGAAGTGGGGGAACCGACCAGCGTGCCAGCGAAAGCCTGAACGCGCAACGTTGGGTCAGGCTGAAGCGAAGGAAGAAGAAGAAGGAAGAAGAAAGGAGCTCACGTGTGCTGTACCTGCGTAGAGGGCCATGCTACAGTACCATGTCTCGAGCTTGGTGCCCATGTAGTGGTGAAAGGTCGTATGTGTTCGGTGCAGGATGGTGTCCATCTCGTTACACTTGCTCCACGCGTCCTCAAAACCTCCTAGACGCACTCGGGCAGCGCACCGCCCTCAGGGTGAGCCATCATCGTCATCTCAGCGTTCACGTTGTTCTTAAGCCAGCAGCTGTACCATCGCGCAGGACCTCATATGATCCTTGGCCGGGAGCGGCGTTGAAGTCGCCAGTGACGATCACCGCTCTGTTCTTCCTTCGCAGCTTTTCGATGGTCTTGAGCAGTACCTTGGCACCTGTGATGCACGTAACGTTCATGAACGTTTAACACCCATCCCACCAACTACACTCAATTCGAATTGCCAATTTAACAGAACATGGTACCCTCTACACGAGCCTGCTCGGAGACGTGGTCCATGTGCGTGTTCACTATGTAGAACAGGTGCCCGGTTGATAGCTGTTTAAATTTCTGCGTATGTGGTAGATACAGTGGTATAAGTGCACACACGGGCGACGAGTCGTGTGAGACCCTGAGCAATGGCACGTACCGCCCATGTGGCCATGCGAGGGAAGCAGGACCCCCAGGCGCTGCTGCCTGGCACGTCTGGCGTCGGCGAGAGCCAGAAATCGCCGCCTGTGCTTCACACACGAATGCGAGACCAAGCAAGCCATCATTAGCATCATTACCATCGTGATCACAATCATCAGCCAACACGTTCACCTAGTCAGGCCTGCTGCAATGCTCGACCACAGTACCTTTCCTGAATTCTACTTCGTCCGTGTTGTAGATGAGCGCCGAGTGCTCGTCGTCTTCGGATCTGTTGTTATTGAGAACAGAGGTTGTGGGAGTACGTAAGCAGCTACTAAGCTCCGGCCACTCGCAACTCGCATACGATCGCTATAGCGCTCTGGGAAGGGCTGGCCACACGTACTCGCCTCTACGGCTGCAGCCAAAGAGGCGCCACGACGGAGGCAGGAGGGACAGGAGGTCCAGCAGTTGGTCGCGAAGGCCCTCCTGTGTGCCGATGACGGCGGGCTGGTACTTGAGCACGGTGCCGGCTAGAACCTCGCGCCTGTGGTGCCACCACGTATTGACCTCCTTGTCGATGTGGCTTGCGCGCAGGTTGTAGCTCATGACGGTGAGGTTGGTCGGCGGCCCTCGCCACCCCAGATCGTCTCCAAATGACTCGTCGCGATGCAGACCGCGCTGCACTCGTCGCAGCTGGGCTAGTGCTTCGTCCTAACACGGCGTTGTTAAAAAAAAACAAGATTGATTGTTGTAAATCAAGGGGGGGAGTGTACCTCCATACGGTAGTTGAGAGCTCTGTGGTGAGAGTAAGTAGCGACAATGACGAGCAGAGCAAGAAGGAGCGGCACGAATAATCGGTGGCAATCGGTTTGTGGTTTGGATGTTTTGTTTGAGTTCATAAGGGTCATTGCCTTTCCGCTGGAGCATACCTCGTGGCAGCATAACCGAGTGCAGTCCCCGGACGAAGTAGCAGAAATTGCATCCTGGAAAGTAAGACTTGGGTCGTTCGGCAGAACACTCCCTTCTTCGGCTGTTTCTTTTGACTTTTCTTCGCACTTTTCCTGCAATCATTTCTTTTTTGCCTCTGATTTTCTGTTTTCTGCCGCAGGAGTGCTCCACCCGACGAGGGTGACGACGGAGGAGGCGTCGTGCAATCACTTCTACTAAAGTTGTGTATTCAAACGTTGCGTCACCACTGGGACAAGACCAACACGCGAGCAGAAGAAGGAGTCCGGTCGGTTACGAGGCGTCGATCGGGCAGCGCCGGAGAGTCCTTGGGTGCACGGCTTTGTCGAACGGAGGCCCCAGACTTTGAGGAGAGGATGCTTCTCGTCGAGGAAGGTATCGCGAAAGAGCTGGCGCCGCTTTACTGATCAGAAAATAAAAGCCATTTATCTTTCAGAGAGCCTCCCCATCATCATGATCATCATGATCGTCATCTGATTCGGTGGCATCATCTCCTTCGTCTTCGTCATTGTCTGCACTCATTCCGTCGTCATCGCCATCATCAGGATTGGCATCCTCGTCGTCATCGTCGAAGATGTCCAGAATGTCGTTGATGGTGTCAGGCTCACTCTCAACCCAACCGCACAGCTTGCGCTCCAGGTCGTGCATGGTATCGGCCAGGCGCAAGTAGTTGTCCTCGTGACAGTACTCCTCTGTCGTTATTCGCGATTCAGTGTGGGTGGTGCTTTTTTGCATGTGTCGTATGTGTGTCGTGTGTCGTGTGTCGTGTGTGTCGTTTCATGCCGTGTCGTGTCGTGTGGTCGTGTGGTCGTATGATCGTGTGGTCGTGTGGTCGTGTGCGGTGTGACGTGCACAAGTTTTTTGGCGTACCCAGCTTGGTGCGCAAATCGCCCAGGCGCTCGATCTGCTCGTCGACCGTCACTGTGTTGTGTCATGTGAGGCGGACGCGTCGTCAGTCAGTGCACTGCTTGTGTTGTACCAAATGATGGTCAGCACGGTGCCGCGGTGTGTACGTACTCGCGTTTGACATGCGGTTGCGGCCTGCCCGATACCAATAAGTGATCTTCATCACCGCAGTCTCAATGTCGGGCAGCTGTGTGTCATGTGTGTCGTGTGTGTCGTGTGTGTCGTGTGCGGTGCGGTGCGTATGAGATGAGAGTGTGATCCCGTGATGTTCGCTATAAATGAATCGAGGAACGCACCCCCGAGGGATGGAACAACAGAGCCGCCTGGTCACTGGAATAGTTCTCTGCGCTCAAGATGTCTGCGGTGAGCGCGGTGTCGTAGGCCACCAGTGTCCAGGCGTTCAGCCGTTCCTGCAGCGTCGTTGATAGCGTTAGCCCGCGCGCGGTGAACGACGATGGGGGGAATGCACACATACCTGGAGCCACATCAAGTTTGCGGTGGTCGCTTCGTCCAGGGGCTGCTTCTTGTAATCGAGCAGCCTCGAGATTTCGTGATAGAGCCTGCGTGGCGTTATTACAAGGTGTGAGTCATCTAATTTGTGGCTGTGCAGGTGACCACTACGTACTTGGCAAAGTCGCTTAAGTCGAACAGCTCAGGCTGCTGCAGCATCTCCTCTGCCCGATTGGGCTGTAAAGTCGTGTCGTGTCGAGTGCGGTCCAGGTGAGGTAGGATTACACCGGTGAAGAGTGGCAGGGGGGGGGGCGTATGTACCACAGTACCGACTCTTGACTTGCGCATCCTCTGGTCGATCATCGCCTGCATTCGCTCCCGTAGGTCGTCCACTTCCTTCTGACACGAAAGCCTGTGTGCCCACACAACAGGGGGAGCCAAAAGTTGAGGCCCGCTGACCGCATTTTTGTGGGCAGGCGAGGCGAGTCCGTACGTGCAGTTGATGGTGTAACGGTCGTGGCGATTCTTGAGTCGATCGCGGCTGAGCCGTTCGATGGCGTGGCGCGTTGGCGCATCCATGGCCCTAACATTTCATAATAATAGGGAATGATGAAAAACAAAATAAACTGTGGGGAGTGCAGTGCAGTGCACGTACTTGGCGTCAAGAACTGTGAGATAGGCCAGGAAATGCTGTCGGGTCAGCTGCTGCACTTGGCCATGCAGGTCGTCACTGTTGCTTGGCGACTGTCGCACACCAGCGCAGAAGAAGCCACAGTTGTGAGACAACACCAAAAGAGAGAGAGAGAGAGATTGGCTAAAAAAGGTCTCCACGAGCGTACCAGGCCGTAGAGTTGGAGTTTGGCCGAGCAGTCGCGCAGCCTGGCCAGCTGGTGGTACGCACTCTGCAGATCCGCCTGATTCACCAAGTGTCAGCTCGCACACACGACACACACGCGGCACACGCGACACACATGCGCACACACCTTGGGTTGGGCGTCGGCTCTGCCTGGTGCCCTCTGCTCCGAGACCCAGGTGGTGACTGCCTCGAGCTCGCTGGTGTACTGGGCCAACGCCTGCTCCTGGAGTTGCTTGATGGTCTGGCCGACCAGCTGCACGAAGGCCTCGATGCGCGTCACGATGGCCAGGTGGTGGCTCGTGGTGGTGGTCAGTGTGGCAAGATGGGTGAGCTCACGCAGCTTGGCCGTGTGCTTCTCACAATCCTGCGACAACACGCGCAGCCTGCGCCATCATAAAAAAACAACAATATTACTCAAAGCAAAGCAAAGCAAAGCAAAGCAAAGCAAAGCAAAGCAAAGCAAAGCAAAGCTAAGCTAAGCAAAGCAAAGCTAAGCAAAGCTAAGATAAGCAAAGCAAAGCAAAGCACGAACCAGTCAAGGGGTGGCGTCTGCTGCGGGTCGACCAAGAGCCGCCTGATCCGGGGCATGACTCCGCTCATCATCGCATCACTCCGCAGCGTCTGCACACAGGCCGCGGTTCACCGCGTATGAGATCACTGGTGAACGAACCTTACTCTTGGGTGAGGCGCGACGTACCAGCTGGACCAGTTCCACCAGGTCGTGGCAGCTCTCGCGCAGCCCGATGTGCTTCAGCAAGCTCTCGTATGCGCTCACCGACTGAACCAGCTCCGCCTTGGCTTCGTTCTTCTGCCTCTTGGTGGTGGCCTCAGCGTCGCGGTCCGCGTGATGAGGGTCGTGGACGCTGTCGAGGGCGTCGGCGGCTGCGGCGAACCGGTCGAGCTGGTCGACCGTGGCGGCCTCGAACTTGTCGGCGATGAGCGACCTGAGCTCGCCGTTTGCAAAGTCGTCCAGCCGACACCGCAGGTCGCCCGCCAGCCAGTGCGGCTCGTCGGCTCTGCAGCGGATGCTCGTGAAGCGTTCGTATTGGTCGAGCAGGTCTTCGAGTGGTAGCGCCGCCACCACTTCATGTGCGCGTTCCTGTTGTTTCGTGGTGGGCCATGCGAGTGTGAGTGCGTGTGCGGGTGTGTGTGTGTGTAGCAGAGGTGAGTGGCGTACGATGCGGGTGATCCAAGTCTGCGTGCGGACGTCGATAACAGCTTGCTTCAGGCGGTCGACTACATCGTCCATCTTCTTCAAGCCTCTCTCCTCGAGCTTGAACCACGCCTGCACCATGACATCGTCATCATCACCATCCTCATCGTCATTGCCATCAACCACTACAACAACCCAACCCAAACCTGGCCCCACACGCTGCACACAAGCCGGCGTACCGTCGATCGGGCTTTGTGGTGGGTCAAGTGGCGGATCTGCGCGCGAATTTGGCCGAGGGTCGCCTCGATCAGCTGCTCCACCGCCGCCGACGCCGCTTCATCGTGCACCGGTCGCTCCCTGGACTGTTGGAGCTCGGCCTCGGTCTGGGCCTTGGTCTCTGTCTCAGGCTGGTCAAAAACCGGCTGGCCTCCCGGGAGCAGGGCGTCGAGCTGCCTGCGCTGCTGGTCGAGCCACTCGTCGATGTGCTCCAGCTCCTGGTGGATCATCTCCAGTTCGTGCCGCCGCGCCTGGGCCAGGCTGTTGGCCAGAGCCTCCTTTCTGGCCGCCAGTCGTTTCCAGGTTGGCATCTCCTCTATGCGTGCGTGTGCGTGTGCGTGTGCGTGTGCGGTGATGTGGTGCGTGCGCGTTCAGTTAGTCATTGGAATGAAGGTCATCTGCGCGGTGGTTCTGGATGAGGTGTGGCTAATACGGTAGGCGTGGAGATTGTTGGTCAGCTGCCTTTCGAGCTCCTGGGCGCGCTGCAGGTTGGTTTCCACCTCGTAGACGCTCTGAGGCACCTCGGTCACCGCGAACACCCATTCTTCCGCCTCCCGAGCCGCCGCAATGAGCCTGGCCGGCACCAACACACACGGCACACGCGGCAAACATAAGTCTCAAATACGCTTTTAAAGGCTTCGCTGTACGGCGGGAAGGGACTTACTGCTCGATGTGGCTCGGTTGTTGGGAGGGCAGAACGTCTTTGCAGTGGTTGACGGCCGCGAGCAATGACTCAGCCAAGGTCGTCACCCTGCACACCAATCAGTCGCGTAGGTGTGAGCACCGCCCAATTATTGTTATTGTTATTATTATTATTATCTTACGCGCGCATTGCGTTGGGTCGGAGCGGTACTGTTCGGGCGAAGAGAAGGCGGGGTCGCGTGTGATCTGCTGCCAGCACTGGATGCTGCGCAGCGCGACGTGCTGCTCCAACCGCGTGCTGACCTCCTGGATCACCTTCTCTAGGATCGCCATATCCGACTGCTGGAGCCTGCGTCGTATTGGTCGAATGTTAAACACAACTGCATGTGTTGTATCGTGTTGCGTGTGCCGTGTTGTGCGTGCGTGCGCGCCTGTTCCCGTGTGTCGTGCGCGGTGTTGCGGGAGTGGTTGGTTGGTACCCGCGGTAGGTGTCCTGGAGGTTGTGATAGTTCTTGAGCTCGACCAGCTTGTCGTGCGTTGCCTCGAGCGAGTCGAGCAGAGCGGGCTCGTAGGCGATCTTGAGACACAGCTGCTTGCGCTGGTAGGCGATCAGCTCAGCGCGCATGTTGTCCTCGGCTTGTTTGAGAGCAACCTCCACGTGCGCGCGACCTAACCACGACTGCACAGCCTCATCAGACAAAATGATGCGTTGCGTGTGTGTCGTGTGTCGTGTGTCGTGTGTCGTGTGTCGTGTGTCGTGTGTCGTGTGTCGTGTGTCGTGTGTCGTGTGTCGTGTGTCGTGTGTCGTGTGTCGTGTGTCGTGTGTCGTGTGTCGCGTGTCGTGTGTCGTGTGTCTCAGTACGGAGTGTTTCTGAGCGTTGCGAAGCTGGCGCTGGAGGATGCTGCCCAGCGACTGCGCGCAGATGGCCGTCGCGTCGGTCCACTCGTGCTGCGGATGCTGCCTGCTCCACCTGGCCTGATCGCCAATCAAATCCAGCAGCGCCGTCTCCAGCTGCGCCGTGATACGCTTCTCCAGTTCGCCCACCGTCTCGACCAAGTCGCAGCTCTGCGCCTCTGATCAAAGAAGAGGGGTCGAACGAAAGGGCCGTTAGAACTCCACCACCAACCACTGTTTCGATGGAAAGCGAGGGCTTACCGAGAATCGAAGACGAACTCGCGGCTTTCGACGCTTGGGCGATTTTTTCGTTCACGGCGCGACTGAGTGCGATGATGCGCTCGCCGGCGGCCCACATCTCATCGATCCTGTTCGACTGGCGGACCGTCCGCAAGATCCCTCCGTGACCCTCTTCCGCTTCTTCTTCTTCTTTGTCGTCATCATCATCGTCGTCGTCTTCATCTGCATGTGCGCGTGTGCGGTGGTGGCGGTGAGTCCCAGAGGCAGCGCTCCCGCCAGCTTGAAGCGGCTGTGAGGTCGACTTGCTGTGCGTACATGCAGAAGGCAGAGCCGCATCGATCTCGCGCACTTGGTTGCACATTGCCGTGATGGTCTGGTCGGCCTCCAGAAGTGCCTTGAGCTTGCTGCAAAAACATGAATCAATCTTGTGGGTAGATACACATCAATAAAAGTACAGAGTGGAGGGGAGAACCTGTAGAGGATGTGGACGGTGTTGAGCGTGACCTGGTTGTTGATATAGCCCAGCGCCCTGTCCGCTGTCTCGATCGCTATAACATCCCACACCACACACACACACACACACACACACACACACACACACACACACACAAAATGAGGTAACGCAACACGGTCCGCAGTGATGTGTATCAGGTCTGATTGCCACCACCACTACCCGAGCCACTACGACAGCCAAAGGATGAAGGGACGCATTACCTTCGGAGACGATGACATTCAGGGACTTGCGTGCTGCGGCCAGTGCCTCCTTGTTGGTGTTGCTGGAGGCCAGCTGCAAGCTCTTTTCCAGTTCGTCGACTCTGTGCTTGGCCTTGCGCAGCAAGTCGACCAGGAAGAGCGTGCAGTCGTCCCTCACCTGCGCACCCTCCAATGCAATCAACGCACCGATGCCTGATGGATTCATGTCAGCCCGCGACACGACACACGACCGCACACGCACACGACACACGACACACGACCGCACACGACACACGACCGCACACGACACACGACACACGACACACGACACAACCACACGGCGTGTTGGCTGAGCAAGGGTTGACATGGCGAGGAAAGTGGGGGCTGGGATTTAAACCTCGTTTGGGTGCGCGCTCGAGTCTCTGTTGGAAGCGCTCGATTTGGTGCGCCATGGCCGCGTCGGATGGCGCGCAGTCGACCAACCGAACGACGCCGTCCTCGGTGAGCAGTAGCAAACGAGCTGCAGAGCGCGGTGCGGCGTCAGAGTATGAGCGTCGAGCAAGTGGGGCCATGGCCTCATGAGCAAATGTGTAGCAAGAATCGGTCGGCGTACACTTGTAGAAGCGGGCCATCGAGTACTTGGTGCGTAAACGCAGATCAGGCTCCACCAGGGCGGGCACGGCTGGCGGCTGGGGAACGTAGAAGTCGTCCACGCTCAGCACCAGCTCCGTCCTCCTGGTGCTGTGCAGCACTGTTGCAGACGATCAACGCCGTCAAGGCGGTCAATAACACATCGCGGCAATAAATGTATCGAAAAAGAGAGGTGAAGTCGGACCGATCAAGCCGTTTCGGGTCATTTCCAGGAGCTTGCCGCCTTCGAAGGCCGACGTCAGGCTGTGGTGTTGGGTTCGTTGTGAAGTGAAATAGTGAGGTGGTGGTTGATGATGAATGCAAGTCAGCGTACACACAAAATAGGACACTGGAATTGTTTAAATGAAACTGACCTGGGGCTGGTGTAGTCCAGCGTTGATTGGATGACTTGGAAGAAGCCCGCATTGTCCAGATTCACCACGTACTGCACATCGTGACAACCATCAAAAAATCAGATGAACCATTGATCAAGCCTTCAATGAATGCAATCACTCAAGACCTGGTGGGTGGAGAGATGTGTACAGTCTTGGTGAGTCCCAGCAGCGCCACCACGTTGCCCGACACCTTGACCTCTCGCGGATCCATGCCCACCTGCTATTAGTATTTTTATTAGTATTATATTAGTATTATTGGGATTGTTAATCCACCAAAACATAACAATTTCCTGATACTGAAAGAAATAAAAATAATTGAGAAAAAAGAATGCTGAACTGAGGGTCGTACGCCGACCAAGGGCACGACGCGGTGAACAGGCGGCTTGAGCAGGTCGGGCATGTGGAAGACGTGCAGGTTGCGGGTCTGCTTCATGAACATGACCACGCGCACCACCTCCCGCTGACCCCGGAACTCGACGGCGTCCAGGTGGAACAGCACCTCGTTGGCCGCGTTGTTGCCTGTGGTGTGTGAGTGTCGTGTCAGCCGTGCGTGCGTGGCGGGTGTGTCTCGCAGAGGTGAGCAGCGCTTGCGAGCGCGAAAGGCGGCCGGTACCGAGGAGGATGCGCGTGACCGCCGCCTCGCCCGTCTCAGGGTTGATGGTCTCGTTGAACAGGAACAAAAACTTGGCGTTGCTGTGCAAACACGCCACCGCAGACTGTGCGTGAAAAACGTTCGTTTCGTTAATAAAAACGATCCACAATCTGTCACAGTATCATGTGTGTGTGTGTGTGTGTTGCATTGTGTGTCCGTACCGAGCAGGCGGACATGGCGAGGGTCTCATCGAACAAGGGCAGGGTCTCCTTGGCCTTGTATCCCGACGCGTCTGGTCCACGTGATGTCGCACGCACGGTCAAAATGCCGAACCAGAAAAGGGAAAATAGGGTGGAGTGGGTGGAGGCGTACAGCAGAAATAGGATGTTGTCTCGATCTCGTACGGGAGGGCAAACGGCTTCCTGGAGTCCTTGACCACAGCATGCACCACAACCCTGTTTTGTGCGTGTGCGTGTGCGTGTGCGTGTGCGTGTGCGTGTGCGTGTGCGGGTGCGTGTGCGTGTGCGTGTGCGCGTTAGTGATGCGCATGAATGCCCACAAAAGGCGAGAAGAGTACCCGTTCGAAAAGCCCGTCACGACTTTGTACTTGCGGATCAGCATCTTTTGGATGGGACCACCACTCATATTCCTGCATGAGCGCACGCGCGTCACAATGTGAGCCTTGAACACAACTAATTGTTGTTGTTGTTCTCAGCAACACCCGTCGTCCGTTATGTGACGTGGCGCACCTTGGCATCATGAGATACCGCGTAGCGAGGCACGATGCCGTGTGCATGTCCCTGCACCAGTTCGGCCACCACCATCACCACCCGCACCAGATCAACCAGTCAGCAACATTCACCACAATGAGTCCAGTCTCAGCGCGGTACCAAATCTCGATGTAGCCGGCCTGGTAGCCAAGGATGACCACATGGTCCTCTTCGATGTACTCCATGGCGGCGATACCCGAACCGCCGCCAATGTCTTCGGTGGACTCGCCGAACGAGCGTAGAGCGTACCGACCGAACACCCAGTCGCCCAGGTGCGTGTGCCTACATCACGTAAGAGACTTAGCAGCCCGTGTCATGTGTTGCGTGTCGTGTGTTGTGTGTATGTTGACCGCCCTGTCAAATGATGTTGTAAAGACCCGCACCTGAGCTTGTAGCGCGCTTGCTTGTCGCTGATGGCGTTCCACTCGCGCACCAAATCTGGTGACGCCAAGCGAAGAGTGGGTCAGGAGTTGAAGGCGATGGCAGAGTGGAGCACTAAGGGGAGGGAGGGGGGGCTGTAATACCATCATTGGCAATGCCGTGCGAGAGCTGGTCCACGGAGTCTCCCCACCGACGAGCTGCGAGCGTACTCCACAGCAACGGTTCCTGGTGGTCGGAGACGTAGTTGCAGCACCCCCCCCCCAGCCAGCCGGTTCGCCATCAATTCCAGGAATGTAGTGAAGCCAAGTGTGTGTTGGTGTTGGTGGTGTGCGCACCTTGGTGAGGGCGTGCATGTCGTGGCTGACACTGGCGCACGCGCCCACATCACGCAACGGCAGCCACGACAGAACGGCCACCTGCCCCCCCCCCAAAAGAGGGTAAAAAGGGAATAAAAAGCAATAACAGAAAATACGTATAATAACTGAATTGAAAAATTGAGCGTAGCCGAAAGAGTGGGCGATGCCTTAATTTCGTTGGGCAGGTGGGGCCACGGGTCGAAGCCTCTGGCTGCCTGTTGGGTTGCCCACCACGCTCCATGGCGTGGGCATGAAGCGCGCGGCGGGAGGCACGCGGCCCACAGGCGGCGAAGCTTGGTCCTGGCCCTGTGACTTCCAGCACGGGGCGCTGCTGCTGCTACTCTTCTTCGGCGGTATTGGTGGTGCGGCCCACCTTGCATGGCGCGAGCGAGGTGAGTTGGGTGGGGCAAGACAAACACACCAAGAAGTAGTTGGCAAGGGCAACAGTACTCGCAAACGGCGCATTGGCGTGTGCCAAAGGCATTGATGAAGGTGCACTTATCGCACGCCCACCCCATGGTTGTGGCATCTTCTTCCCACGCCTCCTCTTCCATTGTCGGGGTATGTTTGTTTGTTGGTCTGGACTTCTGTTTGTCTGTTTGGGCTTTGGTTCGTTCGAAGTTGCTTCATTTTGTCGTCAGAAATGGGAGCTGGAAAATGAATTTCTCTTTTGTCCAGGTCATTTTGATTGGTTTGGGCTGGCTCGAGTGGGGTATCTTCTTTCAGATTGTGTTAGGGAGCAGCCTTTACTCCACTGACCCTTGGGCAGACTGGGCAAACCTCTTGATGTATCTGTTGAACCTCCATAACAAGCTCTCACCTCAACCCATCTTGGAACTTCAAGTTGTGTACCTGTATGCAACACAAAAACTATAAAACTGGACACTTACTTTATTGTGAACTACACATTTGACCCACCATACTCAGTTTAAAACTCTAAAACCTGACCCTTACTTTATCCCATACACATACACAATGACTACATGTTTGACCTACCAATATCACTTGGCAGTCTATGTCAATACCACAGATGCAGTTCCAAATCTTCAAAACTGCCAGCCATCAAGAAATCACATTTTAGCACAACAAAATTTCCATGGTCATATGTGACCTCTCATTTCAAATTAGTGCAAGTTAGAGGTTGGTGTTCACAGATTGTAGAGATGCAAGTCATTCCAGGCCAAGGGTTGAGGCACCAGGAGAAGTAGAATGACATCAGTCAAACTGTCCATTATAAACAACAAGGAAGGTGTCAGTAACAGCCTCCTGCTGGTGGAGGTGATAAGCTTGCCAAGGTTGTGGAGCAGTGTAGGTGCTTATGCATTACCTCCATACAGACAACAGGGGCAAGATGACTCAATGGCCAGAGAGAGCAGATGCAAACTCAAAGCCATGGCTCTCATGCTGTTAGATGGAATGAGGACTGACAGACAGGGTACTGGCAATAGAGCCAAAGCAAGCGTGTAGGGGCCAATCACAGCGCAAGAAGCTGGCGGAGTCTTGCTGCGCAAGTCCTGACCGATCCTGAACACAACCACCTGCACAGCTTTAAGCTAATTACCTGCTGTCGAGGTGGTGCATGTGAGCCTTCCGTCGCTGGTGGCTTTGGGTGGCAATGTTTGTTTTTGGTTTACTGTACAGATGTGCACCTGCGCTCATCTAGAGCGGGCTGAGCACGACCCTGCCCTCAAGCTTGCCCTTCTTCATCTTCTCAAAGATGGCATTGATGTTATCGAGCGGCTGGGTCTCGATGCGCGCCCTGATCTTGCCCCTGGCCGCGATGTCCAGGCACTCCTGCAGATCCAGCCTGGTGCCCACGATGGAGCCCCGAACAGTGATCCTGTTGAGCACGACGTTGAAGATGTCGAGCGGGAAGGTCGAAGGCGGCAGTCCCACCAGCGCCACCGTGCCTCCACGTCGCACAGTCGACACTGCTTGCTACTCGCAACAAACAATAAACAAGTTAATTAAACAATTCACCAAGAATTTTAAAAAAGGTTGAGCGTACCTGGAAGGCCTTGGGTGCGACGGCGGTGACCAGGCAGCCGTGGGCGCCGCCAACTTCCTTCCACACGACCTGGCCCGGGTCCTGCTTGGCGGCGTTGATGGTCATGTCGGCGCCGAGTTCCTTGGCGAGCGCGAGCGCCTGGTCGCTGATGTCGATCGCGATCGTGTTGAAGCCCATGGCCTTGGCGTACTGCAGGCCCACGTGCCCCAGGCCGCCGGCGCCAAACACAACGCACCACTGCCCAGGCCGCGTGCCCGTCTCCTTGAGTCCTGGTTGTCATTCCATACATTCCATTGAGTCAGGAATTCCAGGTGGGTCGCTGTTGCTGTTGGTGGGTACCTTTGTAGGTGGTGACGCCGGCGCAGAGGATGGGCGCGGCCTCGACGTAGGACAGCGCATCGGGAAGGACGCCCACGTAGTTGGCCGGCGCGACGGTGTACTCGGCGTAGGCGCCGTGGACCGAGTAGCCGGTGTTCTGCTGGGAGTGGCACAGGGTCTCCCAGCCGCCGAGGCAGTGCTCGCAGTAGCCGCAGGCGCTGTGGAGCCACGGCACGCCCACGCGGTCGCCCACCTTCAGGCGCTCCACGCCGGAGCCGACGGCCACCACCTCACCCACGCCCTCGTGGCCGGGAATGAGCGGCAGAATGGGCTTCACTGGCCAATCGCCGTCGGCCGCATGGAGGTCCGTGTGGCACACACCGCACGCATGCACCTGCACGCACGCTGCGTCAGGTTGCACAACACACGAAACGCAACACGACACGTGACGTGTCGCACCTTGATGAGAACTTCGTCCTTGCCAGGTGTGGGGACTGGGACGTTCTTGATGACGAGAGGCGCGCCGAACTTCTCCACCACGGCAGCCCGCATGGTGGTGGGAATGCTGGGCCTTGAGGTGCTGGTGGCCAAGTAGCGCTGCGGCTGCTGTTGCAGGGCGGGCATGGCGCACTTCAACGAGCGCGAGGCCACCTGTCCTGTCGCTCCTGCGGCCCTGCTCATGACTGCTGTGAGCCCAACCCCCCACAACTACTGTGAGCACCAATGATGCGCAGGCACTGGGCAGCGGTGGCATACCATGCTGGCTGGTGACTGTTCTGCGCATGTTGAGGCTGCTGCTGTGATGTTGTTTGGGTTGTGGACTGTTGGGTGTATGTGGGGGAACTGTTGGCTTTTGTTGTTGGCGCACAGATGGCCTGCATTGCATTCGCGGAGGAGTGCGGGAGAAATCAGCCAAATGCATAAAGGCTTGCCCAATGGGAGGCCCTTCGGCTGTTGCCGTGTGGAAGATGTCTCCAGTCCGCTCATCTTCCTCGCCTGCCAAGTGCAGCAGGCCACTACTCCAGGAGCTTGAGCTTGAAGTTGGAGAACACTTCACCGGGCCATTGGTATGAGCAGAATGTGGTTCAGGCTTCTGCACCAATCCTGTGGCGCGAAATCAAAAATCGAGATTCAGAAGTGAATGTCGATTGGTCTAGAGGCTGAACCACATTCTGCTAATGCCTGTGTATCCTTGGATACCGGTGAAGTGAGGGGGTCCCGTCTTGTTACGAGTCGACAAATACTCGGGCGATCAAGGAATTCCATTACTGCGGCAAAAGAGAAAAGAAAAGCGCCCCGAAAAAAGTCTGCCATCTTGTCAAGACCCACGACGTGCAAGATGAGCTACGCGTACCTGTTCAAGTACATCATTATTGGCGGTACTAAATTCGATCAAATTGTGGCTTAAATCAATGCAATCGATGGAAACAAACGTGCATCTCAAATTAGCTCACACATCAAACTGGTTACTCTTGAATTGACTGGCAGACACGAGCGTGGGCAAATCCTGCATTCTGCTCCAATTCACCGACAAGCGATTCCAGTCAGTCCACGACATCGTACGCCATTTTGCTCCTAAATTATTGTTATTATATTACCAACGTACTCACACGCCCTCTCTTCGTGTGGCAATCTGCAGACGATTGGTGTGGAGTTTGGGGTACGTGCCCTCACCCAGGCCTGTATGTTGTGGCGGAATGACTGTGATGCTCCGTGCATGATTCACCTGTGTGCTGACACACATGTCTTGCTCTGGGCCACCGCAGGCCAGGGTGGTCAAAATCGGTGGTGAGGACGTCAAGCTGCAAATTTGGTACCATGCCCTGCTGCCTGTTACCATTAGACAGAACTGCCATGGCCCCGCGACCGCGCTGACTTACTCACGTTGACTCCTACGCCAACAGGGACACTGCCGGACAGGGTACTCACGACTGATGACGCGGCCGTGTCCGGCGCACTGTTAGCATGTATGTGCATGTGTTGATTTTTCTTTGTTGGGCTATGCGTGCAGAGTCGTTCCGGAGCATCACCAGGAGCTACTACCGGGGAGCGGCTGGCGCTCTTTTGGTCTATGACATCACACGCCGAGGTACGCGCCTCACCAATGCCCCCACGTCTCCGTGCTCTGCCCCATTAACGTTCCCGGCTGCCACACACACACACACACACACACACACACGCACATGCAGAAACGTTTGACCATTTGCTGGTGTGGCTGGAGGACGCACGCCAGCACTCCTCGCAGAACATGGTGATCATTCTGTGCGGCAACAAGGCCGATCTCGAACACAAGCGTGCCGTCTCGCGGAAGGAGGGCGAGCGATTCGCCGCCGAGCACGGTCTGCTCTTCCTCGAGACCTCTGCCAAGGTCCGCCCCAAGTCCCAACCCCCCTCCCTCTGCCACTCCACCTGCGCGCGAGCCTCACTTCTGTCGTGTCGTGTCGTGTCGTGTGCAGACTGCGGAGAATGTGGAGGAGGCCTTCTTCCGCTCCGCCAACATCATCAACGACAACATCCAGAAGGGAATCTTCATTCCCAACGAGGTGCGTGATTGATTGATGGACATGTGCGCGTAGTGGAGCGTGTGTTGATATTTTGTGTTCATGTCTGGGACAGACCTACGGAATCAAGCTGGGACCGGCCCAGGGCAATACCTCCGAGGTCGGCAGAGGCGACGGCCGCGGCGGCACCATCACCACGCCCGGCGAGGGCGGCGGCTGCTGCTGAGCGCCGTCCTGGCCGTCGTGCACGTCCCTGTGTTCTCTCTTCGTCTTCTTCTAGCTTCCCACGTGTAGATAGCACTATTCTCTTTCACCTTCTGTTGGAGTTGTGTCCTGGTGATCACAATTGTAATAGGAGAGTTTGCACCCAGACCAATTCCCTCCTTCCCTTCGCGCCAATCCATCAACAGGCCTGGCGTAGAACTCACACGTGCACGTCTCTGCAGACGCAGCCAGGCCCAGCCCAACGCCACCACCGCCCACTCACTCACCCTGCCCTGGTATGTGCTCGCACCATCATTCACACGAGACGAGTCTCTCCTTCGACATTGAGGGTTTCCGAGACTTTTACCCAAAAACTTTCACCAATCCCATACCCTGACACCATCAACGACATCCTCCTGGACATCTTCAACGATGACGACGAGGATGTCAATCCTGATGATGATGCTGATGGTGGGATTGCAGACAATGACGAAGACGAAGGAGACGGATGAGGCCACCCAACCAGACAACAATCATAAAATTGTGAACATGATGGGGAGAAAGTGAAGGCTCCAGTCAGGAAGATGCAAGTGAACCGGTGGGACGAGGCTTACCGCCTCAGTGCGGGCGACAGAGCTTTGTTTCGGTTGTCGAGGAGCCCGCAACGCCCATTTTGTTATTTGTAGTTTGTTTTCTTTTACGCATTCAAAAAAGATGTTTGCGCCCAAGGGAGGGCATGGGGCGGGAGAGGACAAGGAGGAGGTGGCGAAACTGTTGCGGAAGCGCTACGGTCCGTTCGTAAAAGATGCGGATGAGATGGATCGGCTCCTCCAACTCCTGACCGACGCGGGCCTATTCACGTACACCCCTTACCTTCCTCAATCAAAATAAATCCTGTATTATTGAATATTTTTTAACAAAAGGAGGACTATTATTATTCAATAATAGTTTCCCCATTTATATTATTTATTTATGCTTGCTCCACTGCAGGATGGTGGACGTGGCCACGCGGCTCCGCAAGAGTCAGCTCTACACGCTGTCCCCGCCCGTGCCCATGGCCGTGCTCACCCTCCTCCACGAGTGCTACGGCCAACAGGTCATGCGCTCCCCCATATACGGTAACCCTCCACACATCCGTGTGTGCGGTGTGTGCGGTGTGTGCGACATGTGTGGCGTGTACGCTGTGTGCGGTGTGTGCGGTGTGCGGTGTTCGACTGATGAGGAACGTTGTACGTTGTGGTGGTGCGAACGTGGTCAGGGGAGGTGGCGGGCAAGTTCACGGATGAGCCGCTGCCGGTGTGGACCGCCTCCAAGCGACTGCTCGCCGACGTCTTCTTTTTCTTTGAGTACATGTTCGAGGACGGCGACGGAGACCACACAATGTGGCCCCACCTCACACGAATGGTACGTACACCACCGCCCGTGTGCGTGTGCGTGTGCGTGTGCGGTGCGGTGCGTGTGTTTATGATGTGGCTGTGCGTTGCAGAATAGGGCCAGCTTCAAGCACAGCAACAACCCGCGGCTGCCCGCCAAGGACAAGAAGGACTACTACGGACGCATCGCCATCCGGGACAGCAACAAGTGCGCGGGCACCTCATTTTCCTATTATTCTATTTCTATTCATATAATTTTTACTATTATTATTAATTATTCTTTTATTTTGGCTGCTGACGTGTGCTCAAACGCAGCATCGTCCGAGTGGAGATTCTCAAGGTACGCACTACATGCGCATCACGGCACATGCGACACACGTACGGCGTGTACTGATGTAGCTGCTTTGGTGGATGAACGCGTCAGACGGCGAAGATGGACAAGGCTGTCGGAGGCACCACCGACGAGATGATCCGGAAGACGTCGTCCCACCTCACCCAGTCCCAGGCGCACTTCGTCAAGCGCAACATCTTCGAGGAAGAGATCAAAGAGCTCCGGTACACGCGACACGACACGACACACACCGCACACGCACACACACCACCGCACACGACACACGATTTGCGCTGACGATGGCGGCGGCGGCGGCGGCGGAGTGTAGGAGACAGTACGAGCTGGGGGTGCTGGACTCGCAGGGCTTCGAGCCGGTCGAGGGGCACCAGCGCTCACCACCGCAGCCGGCCAGCAGCGACGAGGACCAGCGACGCGAAAGCGAAAGCGAAGACGAACGCGAACGAGAGAGCGAAGACGAACGCCAACGCGAAAGCGAAAGCGATGACAATAATGAAAGCCTGCACCGCGCGCGGTCGGTGGCGCTTGGCGGCCGGCGCCAACGTAGCCTCTCCGCCTCGGCCACCGAAGAAGTCGGCGAGAAGGAAAGCGAAAGCGAGAACGAAAACGACAACGACAACCATAAAGAGAAGGAAAGCGAAAACGAAAGCGAGAGCGAGAAGCGATCAGTCACGCTGGCAACGGCGGTGGAGGCGACCGAGAAGCGAAGGAAGCTAAAGAAGGCCGTGCGGACGCTGCCCGCGCGGAGGCCGCCCACAACGCGGGCCGGCATCGGATCGACGCTCGCCGGCGACCACAACTACGAGGCCCGCATGCAGCGACGCAAGACCCGCTCCAAGTCGCTCGACATGGTCCTGCGACACATCTCTCTCACCCACCATCACCATCATCAGACATCGTCTTCTTCATCATCATCTTCTTCATCTTCTTCTTCATCATCGTCATCGTCGTCAACTTCATCGTCTTCTCCATCGTCGTCGTCGTCGTCATGGACGCTGATGGCGGCGGTGGACCACATGCTGGCGCATCACGACCGCCACGCCAGCGGCGACGGGAACGGCAACGAGGCGGGCTCGTCGGTGGTGGCGACGATGATGAAGAAGAACCGGCGGAAGAAGGAGAAGCTCGAGAAGACCCAGAAGCGGGCCCGCTCGTTCTCCATGATCGGCGTCCAGGCCGACTCTCTGCCCCTACAGCCCGAGCTCGACGATGGGTACCGAGCCGCCGCCACCACCACTTTTCCCCCTCCTGGGTCGCTCCCCTAAGCTTACGACGGTCACGCGTGTGTGCGGTGCGTGCGGTGGGCTGCAGCGAGCTGGTGGTGCGGTTCTTCGGGATGAAGGACAACGATATGATTCTCAAGGTGGCCGCCAATCTCAGCAGAGGTTCGGCCATCCTCCCTGGAAACGGCTGGGCTGGGACTGGGACGCTGGGGCTGACGCGGGTGGTGGTGCGGGGCATTGCGCAGCGGAGATGGAGGTGGGACCGTGGGAGGCGGCGTACTTCAAGCGGGGCAGTAGCCTGCTGGGCATCGCCAAGGGCTTCGTGCCCCAGAACATGATCGGCGGCATGAAGGTGCACGGCGGCTTCTGGCAGATGTACAAGGTACACACGACCCACTCACGACACACGCGCGCGCGCACACACATACACGCACAAACGAAGGAGGGGGGGAAACAGGCCATCAGCAAGGGGTGCTGGAAGCAGCACGGCTGCGACCTGGTGGAGCGCATCGTGCAGCGACTCGGCGAGGCCGCTATGGCCGGCGACAGCAACAAGCGAATCGTCTTTACTGGTCACAGCATGGTGCGCGACGGCACCCTGCCTCCCCCCCCCCGTGTCCCCCCCAAACACGCACTCACGACACGACACGACACGACACGCAGGGAGCGGCGCTGGCGGCGATGGCGGCGTTTCAGCTGATCCACCGATATCCGCAGCTGCGGCGACGGCTCTTCCTGATTCAGTTCGGGGCACCGCGCTACGCGCGCAAGACCTTCGCCCGCTGGCTCAACCAACAGCTCAACGGCCGCATCCTCCAGATCCACCTCGAGGGCGACCAGACCCCCAAATCGCCGCCATCGCCACCCTTCGTACGCCACACACGCACGCATGCACGACCGCACACACTCTGGCACAAAGCCGCATACGACACGACACGACACGACACGACACGACACACGCTGACTTTGGCGGGCGCAGTTTGGGTGGTATGCGCCGGGGCCGGTGGTGGAGATCACGAGCAAGCAACTCTACGCGAAGAGCGGCGGCCGCGACGAGTTCGGCCACGAGGCCCACTTCCAGTACTGGACCGTACTGCGCACCATCCTCGCCTACTCCTGACGAGCTCCCACGCTTGCGTTGCGGCGGGCTGTACAATACATCATTCGCAGAACTCGTGCGGTCGTGTCGTGTGAGATGGTCGTGGCATATCGTGTCGTGCGGTGCTGAGCGTTTTAATAAATAATGAAAAGTGGCTATGTAACAGGTGGGCGTCTGTGTTGTGTGTTTTAGGTGGTTCACTTGGAGGAACCGGATTGGATGCCCGCCACCAGCCAGTCCAGAGCATCGTACAGACCTGCGCCTCAGCAACACGCACACGACATCGAACGTCAGACAGGTACGAGGAAGGCAGTGCAAAGAGGGAGCTTGCTGAGAGGGAGCTTTGCCTTCGCCGGTTGTGGCGCAGGTGGCTTCGATGTGCCATTTCTTGCTGAGCGACGACAGCTCCAGCGCCTCCGCGATCTCCTCCTTCGACAAGGCCTTGGGCATGTCTGCGCGCGTGCCCACCTCAGTCAGCACACGACACACACCACACGACACGACACGACACACACCTTGTTTGTTGGCGAGGACGAGCACGAGGGTGTTTTCGAGGGAGTCCTCCTTCATTATTCGGTGGAGCTCGTCCCTCGCCTCTGACAGTCGATCGTGGTCCGTGCTGTCGATCACGAATATCACGCCCTGTCGCGCCCGCACCGCACACACAGCACGCACCGCACACACGAGTCAGCGTCATGCGTGTCGTGTGGCGTGTGCGGTTGGTGTGTGTCGTGTGTGTGTGTGGTTACCTGCGAGTTCTGGCAGTAGTGGTGCCACAATCGTCGGAACTTGGCCTGACCGCCAGCGTCCCAACAATCAAATCGCAGATTCTTGTACTTGACCGTTTCCACGTTGAAGCCTGCGCTCAAGTCCAGTGATGGCCGCAGATGAGAAGGAATTACCTCTCTTTAACGGGCACCCGAGGTAATCCTCTTTTTTTGACTTCATTGAAAAGGATGTGGATTGGGGCAGTACCGATGGTAGGAATTGTTTGTACAAATTCGCCCAACTTCAACTTGTAGAGGACCGTTGTTTTGCCCGCTGCATCGAGACCTTGGTGAAGGGCGGTTAATGCACACAAATTAGAATCTTTGTACGCTGTTGAGGGGGGGGGTAAATCGATCGGTACCAAGCATGAGCAGGCGGACGGGCTTTTTGCCCAATTTGGAGAATAATTTGGAGAAGGCGCTTCCCATCTCCCCAATTGCAAAGTGTTTTCTGTCCTTGTGTCCCGCGCCGCTCTCCCCTCTGCGTCTTCTTCTTCTTGGGGGTGGCGATCAGATCCAGCCAAACAACAATAACGGTCTCTCTTGTTTTTCAGATATTTGTTGTAATTACAGCAGTTCTTATTTGTCGACCAGTGTTACACCAGTGCTGCTCCGCAGCTGTGGAGTGGACCCACGAGTCAGATTACATTGCAACAGACTTGCTTCCCACTCGGGCAGGCCTTTTCTCACTTCTGTTCTCTTTCTTTTTTCGTTGATCGTGCCTCTCTCGCATCGACGGAGACCCTGACCCATGATGCTGCGCGGCCTCTCCCTGTTCGCTCTCCTGTGCGCCGTCGCCCTTGCCGCGGCCGTCCCGGTCAGCATCCCCACCGGGTTCACGGTGGTGACCCGCTCGTCGGTGTGGACCTTCAGCAATCAGAGCACCCTGACCACCTTCGAGCCGCAGCTCAAGCTGGACCTGCCCTTCGCCGCGCTCAATCAGAGCGCCGTGTCGGGGGCCGCCGGCGGCCTCAAGGTGGGCGGCTTCCTGGTGATTTCCAACTCCACGGTCGCGCTGGGCAGGCCCAAGGCCTCGATCCACGGCAGCCCATCGTTCGGGTACGACGTGATCCACAACTTTGGGGCTAACAAGTACTCCCTGGTCGATATCTTCTTCATCAACAACACTGAGGTATGTACATCTTGATCGACCCCCCCCCCAGTGTTTACACCACTTCTTCATCTTTCTCTTTCAAGTTACCTGTTAATAGATCCTTTTAAGGTGATGCTACTTATATAAAAAAAGAAATGAACTTGTAACTAGAAATTGCTTGTTCCATATCCCAAGATATATATCATTATGAATTAGTTTGGTATAATCCTGAAGTTAACTCTTCTGGCCATTGCAGCAAGTGTCGGCTGTGGGTCTGTCGATGGGCGAGCAGCGCAACGTCACCTTCTTCCACTCGGCAAACGCCGGCAAGACTTGGAGCGTGACCGACTATGGTCCTGCTGGACTGTTTCACAGCGCTTCGCTCGCGTTCAAGTATGAACACGGAATCGCCGGTGCGTACCTCACTCCACCACTTTCAACTATTTTTCTTTCTATGCCTGCTTATATACAATACAATGTAGTGGAGGGCGGCCGCATCTTCAGGACACTCGACTATGGCAGGGTTTGGGCCCAGACCGCCGCCAACTCCACCGAGTTCTTCACTAAGGCGGCGATCCACGACCACCACCTCTCCGTCGTGTTCGGCCGCTCGCCCCAGCTGGCCTTGACCTTCATGCTCAAGTCCCACGACTCGGGCCACCACTGGCAGGCCGGCCCGGCGCTGCCCGACTTCACCCCGGCCTCGGCCGATGTGACTGGCTTTGTCTTCCTCGACGCCGACACCTGGGTGCTCACCACTTCGGGCGGCGAGATCTGGCGCTCTGTCAACTCGGGCGAGGCGTGGAACCGCACCTTTGCGCCGCTCGACGTCAACGGCAACGACACCGACAACTACTGGAACGACATCGCCCACCAGTCCCACTGGGGCGTGCTGATGGCCGTGGGCCGCAGCACGATCGCCGTGTCGACCGACGACGGGCTCAACTGGACCGAATCGCCGGTGCAGGAGTCTGTTGACGGGTTTGTGAAGGTGGTGCCGGACATTGCCCGCGCTCTGCGCCCCAAGCCCCACCCCCACAAGAAGGAAGACGGCGATGCCGTGGGCGTGGCTCTGGGCCTCGTGTTCGGCCTGGGTGGCGGTCTGCTGCTGATCGGCGGACTGGTGGGCTTCTACGTCTACCGGCGCTACTACCAGCCCCGCTTCTCCTACAGCACCATCAACTCTTGATGAGCTTGTTGGCAGCACATCCCACCTACTTTGCATTTACTTAGTATTCTAAACTCCAGTGAGGGGTCGCAAGAAGACAGTGACACGCAACATAATGTGCGCCCGCAGGTTCTGGAGCGGCGTGGGAGGACTTGAGATTAGCGGTGTAACTTTCAGCTGGCAAAAAAAATAAGCGACAGGCCTGTGGCCCAATGGAAAGGCGTCTGACTACGAATCAGGAGATTCTGGGTTCGACCCCCAGCAGGCCTGGACCACTCATCTTATTGTTCTTCCTCTGAAGTAGTGCTTCAGGAAATAAAAGATACACCTGCCGGATCAGGAGGTTCTAGGTTCATCCTCAGGCTGGGCTGGATATCTCTTCTGCACTTTTCTTTTTCTCACTTTTCTTGTCTCCCTGTTTCTGAAGGCCCTTCCCTTGGCTGAGCCCCTCATCTAGAGCTTTCAGTGGGGCTATGCTGTGTTGTGGCCAAACAAACCCAACCAACAAAGAAGATGCAGCCCATCTGGCAACACTTGGTGATCACCAAAAGGTAACCAAAATGGATTACTGACTTCCTGGAAAAATAGAAATAAACATGGAAACCAAAGTGACTTAGGTGGGTAGTTCCACCACACCACCCATCCCCAGAGGGGACCAGGTTTAGCCGGCGGCGCGAGTCAGCGGCGACGCGGCGCGAGGAGGACACGCTCGGCTCCTCTTTGGTGCCGGTCCCGCGTGGGCGCGACACAGCGCCAAGAAGTGCAGGTAGGTGTTTGCTGCATGAGCCTCAGTCGCCGCGCGCACGCGGCCAGACCCAACTCGACACTGGAGCTGCGCACTCCCTTCTGGCCTGCACTGAGTGGGGCGAGAGGCTGCAGCGGTTCTTGGCGCTGGAGGTCGGTGCGCGCAGGCGAGACGAGGGGAGCGGCGGTGGCGATGTAACGTCTGCGCAAGCAGAATAGGGAGGCGGTGGTGCTGGCGGTCGAAGCTGGGCGCATGCCTGGTCTGCGGGCAGAAGCGACGGGGGCCGGGGTCGGGCCGCGTTCGAGGCGGGGGCAAGTTTTGCTGGTGTAGGCAGGTTTGCATTTTTCGTTTTGAACCAGCCACACTGAAACCAGAAAGAGCAGCGCGTAAGTGGGACCGAGAACCTCGCCAGCCCAAGGCGCGCGACTGTCCTAGCACAACATTCTGCCGACATCGAGAGCAGCGTGCGCCGACAACTGCGAAAGCGATAGCGACGGCAGCAAGCGCCAACACCAAGCACGACGCTCGCTGACAGCACGCCATCATCAAGGCAGCGGGACATGCGGTAGCGACGCCAACGCTGAGAACAACGCTCGCCGCAACAAGGTCCATCATTATAAAGGGGTGTCCGGATTTATTGGCCTATATTGAACTTAACTCCTGATATGCTGCTGCTTGCGCGCTGTGTGCTGAGGGCAAGAAGGGAGCGGCAGGGGGAAGGTGGTGGACTTATTAGAGCTGGGACTCGATCTTGTTGCCGGTCTGGTTGACGTTGACCCAGGGCTTCTCCTGGTGGATGGTCACCAAGAGGACTCCCTCGGGGAAGGAGGTCTCGCCGGGGCAGTAGGCAGGACCCTCGCTGGTGACGACAAACTTGATCTTCTTGGCCGTGATCTTTTCGACGAAGGCCTCCTTGTACATCTCGTCCTTCTTGCACAGCTTGATGATGTTGTCCACCAGGCCGGACAGGGTCTGGTTGATCACCCTGCCAACGAGGTTGCCGTCGTTCTTCAGGGCCTCGTGGATGGCCGCTCCATCGGCCTCGAAGGTCCAGCCGGTGGTGCCAGTGGCAGCCTCCAGCTTCTTGATGGCTTCGGCGTTCTGGGGCTCAGCATCCTTGAGGCTCTTCCTGGCGGTGAGGGGCAGTTGGGTGGCCATGGTTGGGTGTTGTTGGTGGTGGTGGGTGATGGTGGTGACTGTCCGGGTGGCGACCTTTTTATATGTGGCAGGCTGGGCGAGGACTTCACTGAATCCACCACAAGGAGTCCTATTCCTGGAGAGGACATTTTTCTTGTTGGCTACTTTATCCCCTGAAACCAAATTTCTCCGGTGGCTTTTTTCACTTCAGTCCACCGAGCCCGCCACTCAAAAGGAGAATTAGGAAAGGTTGTGTCAATCATCGAGCGTCGGCCTGTGGGCGTCTGGCCGTCGTCACCGCTGAGTGTCTGCGCAGGTGAGCGCACGCCACCGAGCGTGAGCGCGAGCGCTTATGCCGCCGCCTACTCGACGCCGACGCCAGCGGGGCTGGCTCCGCGCTAACGTAGCTTCGCGCTATGCGAGCGACCGGGAGCGCGTACGCCGCCAAGTCGACCCCGTGTTCTGGTCGTCGTCTTTGCCTGCGCTGCTGCTGCTGCTCACGCTCGCTGTCGGCCGCGGGCGTCTGCGCCTATGCCGCCTTCCGATCCACCACGCGCGAGCATGCAACAAGACACGACAGCGCCGGGCTTGGCGGCAGCAGTAAACCGCCAGAATCTCTTGGCCCAACGCCTCTGGTAGCGCTAGCGTCAGCAGCGAGAGTCAGCAAGCTCTCCCCTGTATCCTACGCGCTCGTCCCTTCACTAGCCATGCCGGGTCGTCGCCGTTGCAAACCGACCAGCCCTGTCGTCTATTGTCGTGTGCGCTCTGCTGCGCTTTCCAAAATAAACACACTGCCAAATGCCAGCGGCACACGCGCGTGGCTTCTCGACCATCCCTCGCGCTGCTGTCTCTACAACCGCCGCCGCCTCTCGGTCGCCCACTTGCATCGCATCTCTTGGTGCGCGTATTGGGTCGGGCCAAATTTTGCGTCGGGCCAAATTTTGTGTCGAGCCAAGGTTTGTGTCGGCTCCGAGTAGGCAATGAGCATCGAACTCGCGCCGAGCTGGGTTCGTGATCTTGTCAGCGGTGGGAAGTGGCGCGACGCACTCTTGCCCTGCCTGCCGACGCATCATGGAGTCGTGCCAACGTTAACCGGCGGCGCACTCGGCGCGGCGTGCCCTGGGACATCACGGCGGCCATCCCCAGTCTTGTGCGCAGTCGCGAACGTTGCCTGGCGTTTCGCGCTGCGGCTTGCTCGCTCTGCACAGCGCGTCTCTGTTTCGCTTTTTGGGATTCGCAGCAACACCACGCCAGCAACGAAGACAGAGACGTTGGCGCGCAGGCTGCCCAGTCAACCCGGACCCGCGCCCTCATTCGCCGCTAGTCGCTCGCTGTCGCGCAATCAGCTGAGCACGGGCCACCGCAGTGTCTCGCGTCTGCAACGAGGTCCATCATTATAAAGGGGTGTCCGGATTTATTGACCTATGTTGAACTTAACTCCTGATATATGCTGCTGCTTGCGCGCTGTGTGCTGAGGGCAAGAAGGGAGCTGCAAGGGGGGGGGGAAGGTGGTGGATTTATTAGAGCTGGGACTCAATCTTGTTGCCGGTCTGGTTGACGTTGACCCAGGGCTTCTCCTGGTGGATGGTCACCAGGAGGACTCCCTCGGGGAAGGAGGTCTCGCCGGGGCAGTAGGCAGGACCCTCGCTGGTGACGACAAACTTGATCTTCTTGGCCGTGATCTTTTCGACGAAGGCCTCCTTGTACATCTCGTCCTTCTTGCACAGCTTGATGATGTTGTCCACCAGGCCGGACAGGGTCTGGTTGATCACCCTGCCGACGAGGTTGCCGTCGTTCTTCAGGGCCTCGTGGATGGCCGCTCCGTCGGCCTCGAAGGTCCAGCCGGTGGTGCCAGTGGCAGCCTCCAGCTTCTTGATGGCTTCGGCGTTCTGGGGCTCAGCATCCTTGAGGCTCTTCCTGGCGGTGAGGGGCAGTTGGCGGCCATTGTTGGGTGTTGTTGGTGGTGGTGGTGGTGGGTGATGGTGGTGACTGTCCGGGTGGCGACCTTTTTATATGTGGCAGGCTGGGGCGAGGACTTCACTGAACCCTGAACCACCAACACTGCCGGGAGAATAGAATCCTATTCCTGACAGGAAATTTTTCTTGTTGGCTACTTTGTCTCCTGAAACCACCCCACATTTCTCCGGCATACACCACCGACACAATGTGCAATGTGGCGGGCTGGGGGGAGAGGACTTCACTTAACACTGAAACCTAACCACCAACCTACTAGGAGAATAGAACACTATTCCTGAGGCAGGCGTTGGCTACTTTATCCCCTTAAACCACCCCACATTTCTCCGGTACCTGCTTTAACTTAAGAGTCTGACCAGAGGAAATTGCGATGCACTGGTGCTCCTTGACAGTGGGGATGCAAGACGAGAGCTACAAGGCGAAGGCGGATTCTGCGCGTGACCGACGCCAAGCAGGCGCTATGGGGCATCGTCAACGACTCGCCGCTGCCGCATTCGCCTCAAAGCCAGCTCAAGACTAGTTCCGGGACTTCGTGTGTGCCAGGGCAACCTCACTGCGCTGAGCCAGTACAACGACGGCAACTACTACCCCGAGCTGATGGGCAAGGAGGTGCTCGCTCTTCTGCATTCTTCATTCTTCTTCGTTCTTCAGCTGATGCGTGTACACGACAATCATCAATCAGGAGCTGATCGTAGGCAAGATCAGCGCGTACTGGCAGAAGGTCAAGCACCAGGTCAAGTACCAGGCCTGCATCGTCGACTTTGTGCTCGTCAACAACATGCAGGACGTCTATATCGTCGAGATCAACCCCTTTGTACACCTGCCGCCGCTGATTCCATCCCGTCCCGGCCGTTCATGTACGTTCCTTGTGTGTGGCGCTGACGGTGGTGATTCGACGCTACACACAGGGTCCGGCGGCGCCTTGTTCGATTGGGGCACCGAGCGGCCACTCCTGCAGGGCGACTACGATGTGTGGGGCGACCTTAACGAGTACCAGCGCAAGCAGAAGTCGCTTTACGGGCTGGGCGAAGCCGATGATGGAGAAGACGGAGAACGCGAAGAGAACGAGGCGCCGGTGCGAGGTCAGCTGCGATACCACAGGAGTACCACCACCGCCACCACGACGACCACGACGGAGAGCCACGGCCGCCAGTGCTGCGGCTGGTGCACCACGTGCCGTCGTATCCGACCGACGACTACCTCATGACATTCCATTCTCGACCTCATCGGCAAGTGGCAGCAGCCGGCACCTCGAGCGCCGGCGCATAGGCGATGAAGCGGGACCAGAACAAGAACACGACCAAGACGTGCTCGCTCCAGTAATCGGCTGACGCTTGGTGTGGGCTTGACAGGCGCCGACCTCTACGGAACGCTGGGGAGCAACTCCGTAGAATTTGTGTGGTCAAGGTGAAGGGGTGCTGTGTTGTCTGCAACAAGCATAAACCATGGTTCATCTGCGCTGGGTGCACCACTGACATCTCTTGCCCTGTCTACATCCATGAACAGTGCTTTGCCCACAAGCACAGTGCCTGTCTCATTTCACAGCACTGCAATGAAATGAAACCTGTTTCCATAACAGCTTCTGGCAGTATTACTACCATTTTCTAAGGGATATCTCTCATTATGATGGTATTTTAATCTGCCATTTCTCAAGATACTCCCAATTTTGTCTTGCTATTTTTAAATTAAAACCATTTTTGTCAAAACCATTTATGTGGGCTTAAACTCACAAACAAAATCACTTTTCAAAATGACTGGACCTCTCATGTCATATGGCTGCAAGTTATTGGCTTGTTGGGTGTTGTTGTTTGGTTGGCTGTCTCTGTGTTTGTGAGCCCATTTGGCATGTTTGTGTGTAGTGGAGCACTAAGGGTGTGGTTGCAGGGTAACCACTTGGTGCAGTTACATATGATACTGAGCCAATGCTTATCATGATTTTGACAGTTTTAGAAAAAGAGAAAGGGGTAAAGAAAGGGTCAAGAAAACACCTGATTGGAATAGTGTTTTCTTTGCCCTTTTCCCTGGCTGCAACTGTTTCATCAACTGTCAAAAAACATGTCTCCCTGGATAATCCAAAAATATCTGCACTGAGTGGCGATATTCCTATTGGTGCTTCTCTGGGGCAGGACAGGGCTAAAATATAGGACAACAAACAGGTATTCTTCTAGGAGAGGAGAGGGAAGTGTGTGTGCAGTGAAGAGGCTTGTTGCTGGTTTTGTGGTAGCTGTAAACACACAAATGCCAAAACAAAACACAAGGACAGGGAAAAGTAAGGATAAAACATTGAATACCCTGTCCCAACTTTGTTTTAGTGTTTGTGTGGTTGCAGCTACCACAGAACCAGGAATACCAAGAATTTTATGGGGTGTAGAGTATAAAAACACACAGACACCAATGTATCCTGCTGCCTGGTTCACACCTTCAAGAGATGGTGGAAACAGACCAGAAGCCTCTGTTGTGGTGCTGGACAGTGTGTGCTCCTCTTGCTCCAATGTCCCATTGTCAACCTGGACACTTTGTGGTTCACAAACTAGACACCTGTTTTTATCAATCGCCCTCTTAGCTCAGCTGGTAGAGCGCACGACTGAAGATCGTGAGGTCGCTGGTTCAAACCCGGCAGAGGGCAATTCCAGCTTAATGCTATTGACATACTTTTTGTGTGGTGTGCACATCTTTTCCCACACAGAAACCACCACTATAAATACCATGAATTCCATGCCTGCCATGGCTTTCACCCCAAGCCAGGGACAGTTTCACCATTGAAAACCAACATATGAAAAAAATTACCATTAAGTGGGGTTAATTCATATCTGTGCCCCAGAGCAGTGGGCATGAAACCACTTGGGAATGTCTGGCATGCAGGAGGAGAGGGCAAAACTGCAGAACACTGAGACCTGTGTCAAATGCAAAGAGACCAAAGACTCACAAGTCCTGGACAAACTGCTTTTGGTCTCATGAGTTTTGGGAAACCCTTTTTCTGGGGAGGCTCAACTATTGGTAAAAGCAAAGGCTAAAAAATCTTCTGCTCCTTTATTCATCTTGGGTCCCAGGTAAGCAGCAAGCACCAAAAGAAGGATGACAAGAAAGTAGCAGAGTTTGGGGCAGAAAACGTGCAAAAGGCATGATATATCAGTGATAGGCCTGTGGTGCCACCTGGGTGTGGGGAGAAGAAAAAGGAATGGTCCGGCTGCCCGGACTCGAACCAGGAACCGATAGATGACTACCGAGGTGATCAATCAAGACTACAGTCTACCGCGCTACCAATTGCGCCACAGCCGGTTTCGTGCTACATCACCTCCTCCTCTTGTTTGGCATAAGTGTGAGCAGTGGGGGTGCGACACTTTGTTTTTTCAAGCGCTGTCGTTGGCAGTGTGGGACAATGTACATGAAAGGAAAGGAGAGAAGATGAAGGGTGGGTGGGTCCACGCATGTTGATCTGTGGCTGGAGGTCTAGTTGGAGGCGAGGGGTGCGAGGAGGTCGTGGAGGGTGACCACGCCCACGGGAGGGTAGGACGAGGTCTTCTCCAGCTCCTCGTGCGGCATGTCGGTGAGGTACATCGTGTGCACGCCCTGTAGACAACGATATATCAGTAAATCATGATCGCGTGTCGCTAATAGTTTGCTTGCGCCAGTTGGTTGTCGCAGCAGGCGTACCGTGGCGGCAAAACGGCCGTAGGTCCTGCCGACTGTGTCGGTGTTGTTGGCGTGCATGTAGGGGTGGACGGCCTTCATGTTCTGCTGGCGGATGTAGGCCACGAACTCGCCCACGGGCTGGATCAGTCTCTCGAACTCGTCCGCCGCCTTGATGTCCTTCACCGACAGATTGCCTACACACACACACACACATACACATACACACACACACGTCCGTCAGCAAAGCTGAGCAATAAGAGCGAATGAAAGGGATAACGGCCGACGCACCTTGGGACTTGCCGTGCGAGGTGAGCGGGAGGTGCGAGGTCTTGTGGGAATCGAGCTTGGCGAAGCAGGCGATGGTGCTCTCCTCCATGTCGGAGGCATCGAGGAGCGGCGAGTGCTTCAGCGCGGCGGACAGCGGCGCCTCGGCAAAGTCGCCAAACTGGTCAATGTGGGCGGCCAGGTAGCGCACGATCGCCGACTCAGACACGATGGCCGTCACATGTCCCTCCTACAATGATATGACCAACCAATTGCCCGACCGTTAGCGCCGTCGGCCACTCCATGCTCGCCGGCGACCGGAAGGGGCTACGTACGGCGTTGACGAGAGGCACGCGGGACAGCTTCTCCTTGGTGAGTACGTCGATCACCTCCTGGAGCGAGGCGGCGTCGCTGACGGGGTTCCAGCCGTTGGTGGTCGACACGTCTACAGCGGAAAGTAGGCAATGACGTGGTTAGACGGTCGGTCGTGGCAAGGGCGAGTGTAGGGGCTCGAGCTACGTACTGACGAGGTCGGCGAGCGGGTGGTTGAAGACCTTGTGGTGAATGTTCTCGGCGTCGGTCTGGTTGAAGGTGGAGGCGGACAAGAGCTTGTGGACGTCCTTGGCCAGGTCGGGGTGGGCCAGCTTGGCCTTGGCCACGAAGAAGCGCACGATCTGGTGCACGATGTCGCTCAGCCCCAGGAAGCCCGTGAACGAGTCGCTGGCCTTGTCGAAGACCGGGACCGCGTAGACGTTCTTCTCCGCCATTTTCTACGCGACATCGATTGATATCAATGGGAATTGGGATGAAGAATTAGATTGTTGTAGCGGGTAGATGGGAGTGGAGCGCGGGGCGTATGTACGTGGAAAGCGGCGCCCACGGTGTCCGTGGAGTTGACGTGGAGGAGGTCCCATGTCTGCGGAAGAACCTGACGAGCCTTGGTCTCCTTGAGCAGCGTGCGCAGCTGCTCGGGCACGGAGGTGGTGGTAGTGGTGGACATGTCTTCTGCAGCTGTGGATTGATTGAGTGATTTGGAAGAGAGGACTCATACGGCAAAAGAAAAACAGTTCGAGTGCAGCCAGGGGCGTTCGCTCCCTCCAAAGAGGTGGGGGAGTGGGCGGAAGACGTACGAGTAGGGGTATGAGTGTTCGGGTGGGTGAGGTGGAAGAATAGCGAGCAGCACAGCGAATGCAGATTTTATTGTCGTTGGGCAAATGAAGTTTCGCGCATTTCTGACGGAAATTTAAAGCAATGCCAAGCGGCATGTGATGGTTGCCCTTGACGATGCTGATTATTGGCCAAACGGTTTGTGCACTTACAGACACTGTGGCATCAACACCTCCTACAACTGTGTGCAAGATAGTGTGTTCTAGATACATGTATGTGTTGTTTGGCATCTGTTATTAATGGTGCAGCTATTCACAGAGAAAATGCTTCAAAGTGAATACAGCACCAATGGCAGGGCTTTGTAGGAGGACCAGCTTGTGTGTTGCCCAAGTTGCCCACTGCAGTCTGGGGGCGAAAGACAAAAACAGGAGTTGTGCGACCGGACTTGGGCGTGGAGATTTCTAAATCACAAAGGAAGGAAATAACCGGGCGTGAAGCCGCCACGTTGGCAACACCTTTACCGGCCGCAGCTTGGCAGACATCTCGCCTGATCATTTGACGCCCTGATACAGAGAAGATGGCCCGAGTCATCTTGTTGCGAGCCGTGCTGATCGTGCTGGCCCTTGCTTGCTATGCGCACGCTTTCTATCTTCCGGGCGTAGCCCCCATCGAATACAACACGGGCGATCGCGTGTACCTCTCGGTCAATCAGCTCACCTCCGTCCACACCCAGCTCCCCATGCGTTACTACACCCTCCCCTTCTGTCGGCCCGAGACGATCGAGGATGACAGAGAGAACCTGGGCGAACTTCTCCTCGGTGATCGCATTGAGAACTCCCCCTATCTGGTACTGATTTGTTTCCCCCTCCTCGTTTTGCGCTTCCACTCGAGAAATTCTCCTAATCTCTTCTCATCTGGTTACATGCATCATTGGGTTCCTTAGCTGGCGGCCAAGCAGTCCGAATCGTGCAAGGTGCTGTGCCCCGTTACTCTCACCAAGGATGAGGCGAACGCATTCATCGAAGCCATCGAGCAGGAGTACCGCGTTCACTGGTAAGACTCTTCGCCTTTCCATTCCTACTAGGATGAGCAATTGACTTCAACCCCCCTTTGCAGGATCGTGGATGGCTTGCCTTCGGCTACCAAGAAGTCGATGACCGACGCCAATGGCGAACCCAAGTCCTTGTACGAGGCTGGCCACCCTGTTGGTGAGACGGTTCTCGCTGCGGTAAAACCCCCTGAAGAGCCACCAATCTTAAGATGAACGCAGCCAGAGGGGAGCGCAATTAATCTAATCCACAATCTTTTGTGCTACAGGGCAAGCCCACGAGCATCTTGAACAATCACGTGGACATCACGATCCTCTACCACGAGGAGCCCGTGGACTACACCGGCGCTCGTGTGGTCGGCTTTGAAGTGCGCGCTCACAGCGTGGCTCATAACCTCGACTACCCCAAGGACGGCACTCCTTCCACCTGCCCTCCTCAGGTATCTCCCGCGCATGGGCATTGGTGTATGCGCAGTTGTGCTCACCTCCCGTTTCCCCGTGCCATGTTTCATTTCAGTCTGGCGCCGCCCCCCTGGTCCTGGAGAAGGACAAGGAGGGCCAGAAGGTGCTCTTCACCTACTCTGTCAAGTGGGAGCAGTCCGAGCACAAGTGGGCCTCGCGTTGGGACTCGTACCTCCTGATGACCGACGACCAGATCCACTGGTTCTCGATCATCAACTCTCTGATGATCGTCCTCTTCCTCACCGGTATGGTGGCCATGATCATGATGAGGACCCTGCACGCCGACGTCAGGCGTTACCGTGAGATGGCCGAGAACGCCGAGGAGGCGCAGGAGGAGACTGGCTGGAAGCTTGTGCACGGCGACGTGTTCCGCGCTCCCTCGCACCCGATGCTGCTGGCCGTCTCGGTGGGCAATGGCGTCCAGGTGTTCGCCATGACCGTCGTCACCATGATCTTCGCCGTCCTCGGCTTCCTGTCCCCCGCCAACCGTGGCGCCCTCATGACCGCCATGGTGCGTCTCCCTCACTCACTCCCCTCGTCATCATGCCGTCCTACGATGGATCTCGTGGTGGCTGACGTCTTCGTTTGTCGGTGCAAACAGGTGGTGCTCCTCGTGGTGATGGGCATCTGCTCCGGCTACTACTCGGCGCGCATCTACAAGATGTTCAAGGGCAAGAACCTGACGAGGAACACCCTCGCCACCGCCATGCTCTACCCCTCCATCGTCTTCACCATCTTCTTCGTCCTCAACACTATCATCATGGGCCAGAAGACCTATGGCGCCGTGCCCTTCCTCACTCTCCTTGAGGTACGCCGTTGTGTGTGTGTTGTGTGTGTTGTGTGTGTTGTGTGTGTTGTGTGGTGTGTGGTGTGTGGTGTGTGTGTGTGTGTGTGTGTTTTGCGCACACGACACGGACATTGATCGCCGTGTGCTTGCGCAGGTTCTCGGCTTGTGGCTCTGCATTTCGGTCCCGCTCGCCTTCCTCGGCGCCTACTTCGGCTGGAAGAAGCCCGTCGACGAGCCCCCCGTGCGCGTCAACCAGATCCCCCGCCAGATTCCCGAGCAGGTGTGGTACATGAAGCCCATCGTGTCCATCCTCATGGGCGGCATCCTCCCCTTCGGCGCCATCTTCATCGAGCTCTTCTTCATCCTCTCCTCGATCTGGCTGCACAAGTTCTACTACCTCTTTGGCTTCCTGTTCATCGTGTTCGTCATCCTGATCCTCACCTGCGCCGAGATCACCATCGTGATGTGCTACTTCCAGCTCTGCTCTGAGGTACGTGCATCGCTCACTTGCAGCCCCGGCTAGACAAGAATCAAACCGACCTTTCTTCTTGCTCTTCCTCTTCTTCTTCGCAGGACTACCACTGGTGGTGGAGGGCTTTCCTCACCTCGGGCGCGTCGGCCCTTTACGTGTTCCTCTACTCGGTCTTCTATTTCTTCTCGAGGCTTCAGATTACCAAGTTTGTGTCGGCCATGCTCTACATGGGCTACACTGCCATCATGGCCCTCGAGTTCTTCCTCCTCACCGGTACTGACAGCACAACACACAACAACTGCGCCTACTTGTGGGCATTCTTACCTACAGAGCTGACGCCTGTTTCTCGCACCGTCCAGGAACGATCGGTTTCTTCGCTTGCTACTACTTCGTGAGGCAGATCTATTCGTCGATCAAGGTCGACTAAAGGCTCTGAAGGCCGAAGATATACTCGCTGTCCTTCTTCTCCTTCCATTCCGTCCTCCTCTCCCTCCACCTCTTGCCACTCTTTTCTCCAGCGCTATTATTACATGTATCATCTGCAGCCACCTTCTTCTCAACCGCAGCCTTTAGACATCTCTTTTTGATTACGCGACCCAATAAAGGCCTCACCCACAACCTCCCCTGACTGCCCAGCCCTCAGCCCACACTATTCCTAACAAGAGGAGGAGGTGATGTAGCACGAAACCGGCTGTGGCGCAATTGGTAGCGCGGTAGACTGTAGTCTTGATTGATCACCTCGGTAGTCATCTATCGGTTCCTGGTTCGAGTCCGGGCAGCCGGACCATTCCTTTTTCTTCTCCTTCTTTTAGCGATCGAGCACATGAAGATCCAGTGAGTACATTGACCCCCGCCGTGGCTTGGGCAACTTTCGTTGTCCAAAGCGGCGCAAGCAATGTCATCTTTGTCCGAAAACGTTGGTCCAACGTCTCTCATGCAGCCCGCAAAGCCCGGGCTGATGTCTCCGGTCAGCCCCGCCGCAGCCAGCGGGGCAACCTCTCCGGAGGTTGTTTGAGAGGCTCGTCACACGGACGAGGTGGTGCCGCACGCCGCACACTCCTCCGCGGCAACTGTCCGCAACAATGCGGGGCAAACCACAAAAAGGCGCTGCGCACACCACTTCGCCCCATTGCCAACACGAGCCACTACAACGACAAGAACATCAACTACAAGATGAAGACCACTTTGTTCTTCGCGATCGCACTCGCTCTCTTCGCCCTCGTGGCCTTGGCCGCGGCCGACGAGAAGACGGCCTCGAACGGCGACGTGGCGGTGAACGTGCAGGGCACGTCGGGCAAGATCACCTTCTGGATCCCAGAACGATCGGACAAGAAGTACACCCTCACCTTCGATTCGCTATGCGAGACCGGCGGCGGCGACTGCCTCAACACGTTCGCCAACCAGGAGTTCACCTTCTCCACGCCCGCGACGGTGAGCTTCAACAACATCAGCTCCAAGCTGGTGAGCTTCGACTCGACCATCGCCACCGGCTCCCAGTCGGGCGTCAAGCTCACGGCCGACCTCTACGTGTTCCTTGAGTCGGGCAACTACACCGTGGGCGACCAGACCTTCTACGCGGTTGAGAACGCCTTCAAGTGGTCCGTCAACGTGTCCGGCTGGGTGTTTGCCAACGCGGCCAACAAGCTGGAGCTAACCATGGGCCTCCAGCACCCGAGCTACAAGGCCTCGTGGGACGCCACCAACTACACCCTCTCCTACACCAACGTACATCTCCTTTTTCATCTGCGCGCGCCTGTCTCTTTGATTTGTTTTGTTTGAGCTGACCGACCAATCATCAAACAAACAGGAGGCCGCTGTGCTGCAGTTTGCCAAGACGGCGACGTACGACAACTCGCAGGAGAAGGCGGTCGAGGTGACCACCAAGGTCATGGGCTCCAACGTGGCCATTGTGATGGCCTTCAGCGCGGCCGAGTCGAGCATCTGGTATGACCCGCAGGTGACCGTGGCCACCGCTGCCGCCTCGTCGGCCTCGAGCTTCCTGTTCTCGCTCGCCGCCCACCTCGTCTCCCTCCTGTGGTAGATTGACCAAGCCCCACTGTGCACATAATAAACACTTGATTTAGTCTCCCACAACCGCTCTCCCATTTGTCCCCATCTGGACCATCAGGTTGCGGTACCTTGTCAGTAGACGTTTGTTGGGCGAGTGCGATTAAGACTTGCGCTGTACTAGGGCAGTGCACCGGGATTGCCCAGGGGAGAGGAGCAAAACAACAGTAGATCGCACCTGTCAGCAAACCGGCTGTGGCGCAATTGGTAGCGCGGTAGACTGTAGTCTTGATTGATCACCTCGGTAGTCATCTATCGGTTCCTGGTTCGAGTCCGGGCAGCCGGATTTCTTTTTTATTTTCCTTCACTTGGGCAGCGGACCACACCAGGCCTGCGAATTGGGGACGAAATATCAGCGACAGGCCTGTGGCCCAATGGAAAGGCGTCTGACTACGAATCAGGAGATTCTGGGTTCGACCCCCAGCAGGCCTGGAATCCAGCATCATTCACCTTTTGCACTTTCTTGCTTGATTTCTTTTTGGCTCGAGCCCAGAGGATTCTTAGCCCCAGTATTGTGCACTTTGAATGACAACAAAGTAACTTGCACTTTTTTCAACCGCCCTCTTAGCTCAGCTGGTAGAGCGCACGACTGAAGATCGTGAGGTCGCTGGTTCAAACCCGGCAGAGGGCAAGAAGAATCATAAAATCGATCTTTTTACTGTCCCATCCTGATTTTTGGTGTGGCTGTAGTACCAGAAACAAATCTGACTGGGAGCCATGCTTGTGGTAAATGCCCTGCTTGCCCACTGGGCAGTACATGAAGGTGTAAATCATGGGCACTCTGGTGGGGCCTCATCCAGCCTCATCATCAGTGCATAGGCCACCTTCCTGGATTTCTTCTCTTTGGGATGGGCACATGGTCAGCCTTATGCTTCTTCAGCTCATTGAGTTCACACCACATTTCTTCTTCCCTCCCCATGATGAGTCTAAACACTCTTGGCACTGAGCAATAAGGGCAGTAAGCTGGAAAGTGTGAAAAGGACTGAGGCTGTGCATCACAATCTGCACCACTCACTGACAATGGGCACCAATCTGTGCTTCTCTTGATTGGATCTTCTGTTTGAAAGTGTTACTGTTTTTACCTGTTACCTTGGTTGCTCAGTGGGGTTGGGATGGTGTTGGATGCGAAAAAAAGACCCACTCTATTTAACCAATCCGCTGTGGTGTAGTCGGTAACATTTATGGTTCTCACCCATGCGCCCCGGGTTCGATTCCCGGCAGCGGAATATCTTTTTCTTGTGTCGTGGTTGTTGCCGGCCAGGCATCATTTTGGCTTGTTGGGTGTTGCAGAGGGAGAAGATAAACTGTTACAGGGCGGAGGCCTTGGCGGGCTTGCCAAAGAGGCGGAGGCGGGAGATGCCACCGCAGGGGTAGATCTTGAGGAGGACGTGCGTCACGCGCCCCTCGTGCTCCGCATCAAACGGGTGCTCCAGGTGCGGCTGGAGCGCCTTCGGCTTGACCAGGCTCGTCCACCTATTCCACGCAAAAACTATTAGACACCGCACCACACACACATGCACGCACGCACACACAGTGCATTGGGTGTACTTGATGCCGCGAGAGTGGTAGTTGTCCTTGGTGAGGCCGGGTTCGTAGCAGCCCTCGAGCGAGAAGGCGATGGGGTTGTTGTGCTTGAAGTGGAGCGTGTCGACGCCGATCTTCTTGATCACGCACTCCTGGCTGAGCTTGAAGAGGGTCCAGTTGTAGTCGCTCAGCACGGGACCCTCGAGGTGGAACACACCGTAGTCGGGCTGTCCACGCATGCGCGCCGTCTCCCAGCCGTCGCCCATGTTCAGCGCGCGCGGCGCCTTGAGCATGTTGCTCGGCACACTGTAGTGCGCGCTGCTGCTCGCCACCACCTTACCGCCACCGCCGGGCGCGTCCACGCTCACCACGTCCACCAGCCCGTCGCCTGCATCACAACACACAACACGCACGGCACGTGTGAGGGTGGGCATTCGCTGGGATCGCACACGTGTGTATGTGTTACCCTTGCCCCAGGCGAAGGAAGACGGCAGGGCCTCCTTGAGCTGTCGCTCGGTCACGGGGGCCGGCGGAGCGACGTCGAGCGCCGAGTTCTCTGTTGTGGCGGCCAAGAAGGGGCGAGTCAGCCCGGCCGGGAGACTTGCGTTGGAGGGGCGGGGACGGGGAGTAGTGTACCGGGCGGCTGGAAGTGGGCGGGGAAGCCGGTGGTGGGCTGCAGCTTGCCGATCCATTCGTGGGCCACCAGGTGTGTCCACTCCGCGTTGGACATGTCCGCCACCTTTTCGTCCGTCTTGGCGCCAAAGAGTTGAAGCCTACATCCACACACGACGACGACCACCGACCACCGACACGACAGTGAGTGCACGACGCAGTGTGGTTGGCCGTAAGTGCGAGTGAATGAAGGGCACGGTACCGTGCGATACCACCGTCGGGGAAGTTGTTGAGCTTGACGCTCACCACGGGCACGGTAGTGGCGATGCTGGCGAAGTAGTTGCGCGAGTTGCCCTTCAGCAGGGAATGAGGAACGAGCGTCACCCACTTCTGCAGCAATCTGCGGAGAGAGCGGAACGAACGACGACAACAACAACGCTTAGAGACCGCACACGCACTTAAGACACGACACACGCCGCACACGCGCTCACAAAGGAGTGAGGGACTGAGAGAAAAAGTCGGTACCGCTTGTTTCTCTCCACAAGCACGAGACCCTCGACCGAACCACCGGGGGCATAGTTGCCGTCGAAGTGGGCCGTGTCGATGTTGACGCCGTGAACAAACGAGGGCGCATCCAGCTTCAGAATCACGAAATCTTGCGTTTGCCGCACACACACAACGCACACAACGCACGCAGCACACGGCACACCACGCGCGCGCACAAACAACGAGGAAAGCTCAGCAAAATGCACGTGTTTTTCTATGTAACAGGGTGCCAGGGAGGTTTACCAGGAGGATACATGTTGTGTCGCACTGTCTCCCAGCCGTCGTAGATCTGTCCCTCCGATCCGAACGAGTGAGGCACGAAGATCGGGTACCTGTGTCGAGACAGGAATGCGTGTGGAATGCGTGTGAGTGAGTGAACGCCTCCTTAACTCTACACAGCCATGCAGACGTACGTTTCCTTGAGGAGGTTGGAGGCGGGGGCGAAGGACTCGTTGGAGATGAAGAGCAGCTCGGCGCCCTTCATGAGGTTGTCCATGCGCAGGAAGGGGAAGCGGTCGACGTTGCCCAGACGCTCCACCTCCATGAGGTCGAGCTTGAACGGCGCGAGTAGGTAGCGCGTGGCGAACACGGTGAAGTAGTCGGCCGGCTGGGGCGACGTGACGAGCTGGTACACGATGTGCACGGCGACGTCGAGCGGGATCTTGGTGTGGGCATTGAACGGCACGTCGAGCTTGTTGGCCTTCACCTTCTGCACCACGCGCTTCACCAGCTTGTCCAGCAGCTCCCTCGACAGCTGCATATTCGTCGTATCATTCGTGTGTGTGTGTGGTGTGTCGTGAGCAATCATGTGAATTGAAACAATTAAACTACGACGGTACCGGAACTTTCTGGCCGTTGGCCAGGAGCACTTCCTTACCGTAGCGAAGCATGCTCCACAGCTCCCTGCGAGAACGCTCCTGTTCGCACATTCACCCAGTCGACACAAAGATGACGTCAGCCCCTGGTGGAATGCGCGGAATGTTTGTGGTATGCATACCAGGGTGGCGGCGTCCTCCACGAGCGTGACGGGCACGCCGTCGGGGAAGGTCTTGGTGATGGGCACGTAGCCGTTGCCCGCGAGGTAGGAGGTGAGGTACTGGATAGCGTCCGACAGGTTGCGCTCGCAGTCCTCCTCCTTGGACACCTCGTAATCCAGACCCGACACCAACATCTTCTCGTGCGTGATTTGCCTGTTAACAAACGTGTGTGTTAGTGGAGCGCGTCGACGAGTTGCTCACTGTGCGGAGCATCGGGAAAGCAACGGCGCACGCACCTGATCCTCTCGACGATCTTCATGTGCTCGGCCTTCCTTTGCTCGGGCGACTGCTTCCGCTTGCGCTCCTCCATGTCGGCGATCAGCTTCAAGATCACCGGCGCCAGCTTGGGCATAGCCAACCAGCAGCCCTCGAGCTGTCGGGAGCCCACGCGACTGGTCAGCATATCGGTCGTGGTCGTGTCGTGTGTCGTGTCGTCCAACGTACCCCGCGGTCAACTTGGACGTTGAAGTCCTGGGCGAAGGCCGGCACGATCCTCTCCCACGAGGCCTTGGCGTGCGGGCCGCGTGGCGGCACCATACCGTTCATTCCGCCGATGGGGATCGCACTGCGCCTCTTGCACGCGTCCACCACGCCCATCTGGTAGGCCTCCAGGTGCTCCACCACGATTCTGTTGTACATAATACGAACATAATACGAACATATTATGTACAATATGCCCAGTCAGCACATGAAAAACGATGAAGAAGATGAAAGTGAAAGTGAAGGTGAAGGTGATGATGACGATGTAGTGGGATGAAGACCTGAGGTTGGACTTGGGGGCCATGGTGAAGGAGGGCAGGTTCTGGTGGACGGCGCCGATGGAGGCCATGTAGTCGTGCCAGCCGCAGTTGAGGCCCACGATGTAGTCGCGCAGGGCGAACAGGATCTCCTCCTTCTGGTAGGCCGCGAACACGTTCTCGACGATGGCCAGGCAGCGGAGGGCACCCGGCCTGTAGGCGCCGCGCGACGCGGTGCTCAGCTGCGCCTCGGCCGCCCGGAAGAGCTCCGCCAGGTAGGCCGCCTCTTCGAAGGTCTCCAGCTTCGGAATGTAGAACGCCGGCGTCTTGCCAATGCGCTGTGTTGTGTGCGTGTCGTGTCGTGTCGTGTCGTGTCGTGTCGTGTCGTGTCGTGTCGTGTCGTGTCGTGTCGTGTCGTGTCGTGTCGTGTCGTGTCGTGTCGTGTCGTGTGTGGTTAGCAAAGCGCGGACTCGAGAGGGAAACAGCAGTTGCTTGCGCACCTGGAGCGGCTGCCAGTTGTGGTAGAGGTAGAGCGCGATGGTGACGATGTGGGCCGGCATGGGGAAGCCGTCTACCAGGAAGTGGGCGTTGGGGAGGTGCAGGCCCTCGAAGCGCAGCAGCATCTCGGTCGAGATAGGCTTGCCGTCGTCAGTGACCGCGTAGCGCTTGCCCTTGGGGCTGGTCGCGACCAACTGACGGCGGTTGGCCAGGGTGCAGGCGTGGAGGCCGGCCAGTAGGCTCTCGTAGGCGACGGTGGACGAGTCCTCGAAGTCGACCATGAGGAAGTGCACCCCGCAGCCGAGGGCCTTGGCGATGGGCAGGGCGGCAGGCGGGGCCGTGATGGTGTCGTGGAAGCGCGCGAACGAGGCCGGAATGGGGGCCACCTTCCACGAGAGGTCGTCGCGGAGCCCTTTGGTGTCGGGCCGGTAGCCCAGCGCCACCGTACCATCGTCCAACCGCACATCTTGCAGCGCCACCTTGGCCTGCGTTTTAAAAAGAATGATAAATATTAAATATTTATTATGGTCACATTGAAGATAAAATTTTGCAATAATAAAATCAAATCAACAAAAACGTAAAATTAAATCTCATAATTGTAAAATCCGGATTTACCTGATTCTTGTGCTGTGATGATGCCTCGGCGAGGGCAGAAGCGGCACGATTGAGGCAGTTCCTCTTCATCTTGCGGTGGGCCAGGGCCGGCTGTAGGGCATGCTGGAAGGTGAGAGATCGGCGGTAGAGATCGACAGCGAAATTGAGGGCCTGAGGCGACAGCAAATCCGCATAGGCCTCGGGGGCCGTGGCGAGCTGCAGACCCTCCACGCCGCCCACAGTAACCATCGATGGGTGGCTCCGCAACGCGGCGAGGTACGCCGGCGGCACGTACTCATCGAATGCCGGGATGGGACCCTCTCTGCTGACCTGCGCTGCTGCTGCCATCCTTATATCTCCTTCTCCTACGTGTGTTTGTGCGTGGCTCTGGTGTGGGTGGTGGTTATGCTTGTGCTCCTCCCGCAGCTGCTGTGGTGGGTCTTGAAAGGAAACAGCAACCGCTGTTGCTGTGGCGTGTGAGATAGCGCAGGATGTTGTTCTCCAACGATGATTGGTGTTTATGAAAAAAATTGAGAGCTCTGAAACGCATTTCAAAAACTGTTTGAACTACGGCCACAGAGATGGAGGAAGAAGGGGCGGAGGGGTCCAGCATCGAAGCCCTGCTGGTGGACAAGGAGCTTCTAGAATTGGTGTTCTTATCGCCAGCATGCCTCAACGACAGCCACCTCCGCATCCTGCCCCTCGTTTGTCGGTAACCCCCCCCCCTCTTTCCTCCTCTCCAGTTAACGAAACCACATCTCTGACCTGGTGGAGGCACTATATGGGGCAACATGGCCTTAGGCGGTGGCGGGAGGTGTGCAAGAGCGAGGCCGTGCGGCGGGCCATGCTCGCCGGCATCGTGTTCTCCTGCGGTGGCCAACAAGAGACTTCACCGCTTGGCCACCCCCGCGATGTCGCTGTACTCCCCACCTGCCCGCCCTTCTCTGCATGCGTGTGCGTGGTGCGTGTGCTTGTGCAGTGACCGGCACTGAGAGGGCATTAAAGCACCGCAGGTCGCGAGATGCAGCACACCTACGCGCATTAAAGCGTTTCAGGGCATACGGGTCGTGAGCGTGGCTGCCGGTTGGCACCACTCGGTGTTCCTTACCGCCTGCGGTGAGGTACTCCAGTTAGCCATGTGGCCTGGGTTGCGCGTGTGGCCTGTGTTGCATGTGTTGCGTGTGCAGCTTGTGGCGTGTGCCACAGGTCTCATTTATGCACGTGCAGGTGTTCGCGTGTGGCAACAGTAAAGAGGGAAAGCTGGGTCAGGGCGAGGACAAGCCGGACGCCAGCCTCCACGAGCCGCGGAGGGTGGTGGGCTTGGAAGACGTGACTGCCATACGAGTCGTGGCGGGCGCATTCCACACGCTGGTGCTCACCAGCACCGGCACCGTACGCGCCTCTTCACGATCCTCCACTCCTTCGCTGCGCACTCGTCGCCTCGCTGCTGATGCTTACCAATACAATTCAGCTCTATTCGTTCGGGTACGGTCGCAACGGGCGGCTGGGTTTAGGCGACGCCAATGACCGCTCGGTTGCCACTCTGATCACTGGCCTTTGTGGTTCACTCCCCGCCGCTCTCTTTCTTTTCTTTGGCCGTGCACCGCACACGACCAACGGCACATGATGCAGGGGAGGAAGTGGTGCAAATGAGCGGAGGTAACATGCACAGCCTGGCGGTGACCAAGACCGGCCGGGCCTATGCCTGGGGCGACGGATCGTACGGCATACTGGGCCTACCCGCCGTGAACGAGGACGTGACCACGCCCATGCTCATTGGCGGCGCGTTCGAGGCCAAGCGCGTCGTGGCCGCATCGGCCGGCGACTTCCACAACCTGTTCCTCACCGACGACGGTCAAGTCTTCTCCTGCGGGCGAGATTCGTATGTTTCCTCCTTTACGGCCATGTCACGTCAAGCGCAACACTCAACACCCTCCAAACCAGAGATGGGAACGGTCGATTGGGTTATGCGGTGACCGCCGACGCGCAGTGCGAGCCCAAGCTGATCCCAGCGCTTGCTGACAAAGTGGCAACTGTCATTGCTGCCGGTAAGGCCAAACCTCTGGTTTGTTTCGGTCGTGGCAACGACGTGCAGTCCAAAAACAACAACGAATGTCGTGTGTGCACCACCAGGAGAAGCACACAGTCTGGTGGCCACGGAGGATGGCTGTGTGTTCACCTTTGGTATGAACTCACGCAGCCAGCTGGGCTTTGAACCCGATGCTGAGCCAGCATCATCAACTCAGCGGGTTGGGAACCTACTCACAGACATCAGCAAGGTACTTACGCCAGATGAGCATGGCGATGGTACACTCACACATGTTGATGGTAGTGTCTGTGTGACGGCGGTAAGGTGAAAGGCCTGGTGGCAGCCGCGCAGCACAGTTTCGTGGTGATGGAAGATGGCTCCGTTTATAGCTTTGGCTGTGGTGATCACTACCGGTGCGTCTATCTTTCTAAACTATTCATGTTTGAAATTGGAGAGGAATCCAGAAATTTATTCAAGCACTGTTTGGGGAGGGCTGCAGGTTGGGCCATGGCACCACAGACACAGTCACCACGCCGAAGAAGATCGAGAAGTTGGCTCCGTTTGCCATTCAGAGTGTTTCATCCAATGGCAGGCACACCCTCGCCTTGACCTAGAAGAAGAAACGCCGCGGGTAATATCTCCAAAAGGTAATTATTACCAAATACTAAAGCAATGGCCCGCCGCCGACGCCCCGGCGTTTCACAATCCTACTCGACGATCGGCGTTTATGTATTTCCTCTCGCCGCTTTCATTGGGGAAGGAACAAAAACCAAGCGGCCAGTCATGATTCCAACAACATAACAACAACTTGATCACCAACAACTGCACCACACACAACAACCAACATGACCACCACCACTGTGACCAAGCCCACCCTCACTTACTTCAACCTTTTCGGCCGGGCCGAGGTGCCGCGCCTCCTGCTCGAGGACGCGGGCGTCGACTACGACTTCGTGCCCGTCACCAACTGGCCCGAGCTCAAGTCCCAGCTGACCGCCTCCGGCAAGCTCGCCTTCGGCCAGACCCCGCTCTACGAGGAGCCCGACGGCCTCACGCTGGTCCAGTCAGCGGCCATCGCCCGCCACCTTGCTCGCAAGTACGGCTACAACGGCAGCAACGCCCACGAGGAGGCCCTCATCGACCAGGCCAAGGAGGGCGTGACCGACGTGTACACGGCCATCGCCAAGGTCATCTTCGGCACACCGGCCGACCAGCAGGCCGAGGCCAAGGCCAAGCTGGTCAAGGAGACCATGCCTCCGCAGCTGGCTCACTTCGAGAAGCTGCTCCAGCGGAACGGAAGCAACGGGTATCTGGTGGGCTCGAAGCTGAGCTACGCCGATCTGAGTCTGTGGGTGGCGCTGCAGCTGGTGTTCGCCCGGGTCGAGGGCAGCAAGGACTCGCTGCTGGGGCCCTTCCCCGCGGTGCAGAAGCTGGTCGACGTGGTGGCGCAGCGCGAGCGGGTCAAGGCTTACCTGGCACGCGATGTCTACAACAGCAACAAGAACTAGAGTGCCGTGTTTCTCAATTAAAATAAAAACGGCACCACTTGCTGATTTATGATCGACGACTTTAGCGAGCAGTACGCCCAGAGGTGTGTCTCACGTGAACGCAGAGAGAAGGGAATGTGGGGTATGCACCGGAGTTAGTAGAAAATTAATAACGAAGAAATACAACACAAAACAAGACAAACCACAGAAGACGAGGAAGCCCTTTGGTTTCATCTCGTACATGATTGTAGATTACTTGAGACGCCTTAGAGTGCTAGGGAACTAAACAAACATTTGGACTCGATCGTAAAAACCTCACGGTCTTCATGTCGGTGGGCAAGTTGGTGCCCAAGGGCAAGACCACAATCAAAGGCCTGGTGCGAGGCAAGGAAGATGCTCCCATCTTCCTTCACATCACCTCCTCCGAACAAGTCGGTGCGTCCCCCCCTTCTCTTTTCGTTCTTCCGCGACTTGATTTATTTATTATTTCCCATCGGTACGATCTCGAAAAGGAAAAATAATAATCAAAAAAAAAAAAACAACAAATGCACATTTCCAACTTCTCATTTCAGTGGCTGCCCAGCTCCTTCTCTTTATCCCTCCTCTTTGCATATCTGCAATCTCAACGGCCTCGATTTATTTTAATCAATGCAACATTACGATGATCGTTGTAATCCCTTTGACTGCAGTCAATCTGTTCGAGGACAAGCCGCCCGGGTACTGCATCCTTCGGCTTGACCCGGTCTTCATCGAAAAGTGGTCACGCTCGCCGTACGTCCACTTCTCCCGCACAGCACACCCCCACATAGGGTATTCCGTCTTGTTCTTGGCTCATCTACGGCCGCCGGGCTGCAATGGCTCGCAACCAGGTTGCTGCTGACCTACAAGTTTGGTGCGCTGCTGTTCACCCAAATACTGCGAGTGCCGCATCTGCGGGTCAAGGCCTCCAAGAAGGAGATCCTCCTGTGCCAATGCGACAAGAACTCCTACTCGTACGCTCTTCTACATCTCCCTCTCTCCTTTTCATGTACAACAGCTGACGTGGGTGAACTATCATCATCACCATTGTCGTCGTTTTCGTCGCCGATCAGACACATCCGATCCACGGCCGAGTTCCTGCCCAAGCTGCAGTCGTTTATCGCCGAGTTCGTGTCCAACAAGAACTTTGTTGGTACGTCACATTTCTATAGACCTTTCTTAATAATAGAAATATATATATATGAATGTTCTACATAGCGTTCATAAGCTTACATTTTTTTGTGTGGATTGCAGAGAAACCATTGGATTCGTACAGCCCCGACTTGAAGAACGAGCTCTACTATAAGAAGTACCTCATCTTCCCTGCCAACGGCACTCGCCTGGTCCTGAAAAAGAAGAAAGAGGTACCGACCGAGTCCCGGCCCCAACGTGAGCTGATAGACCTGGCGAGAGCGAGAATCCTCACACCTCTCCTCTCTCGTGTTGGCCACCACCAGGATGAGGTGGAGACGGCAGAGGCGGGCATCGTCTTCTCCAATCTCTCCTTCTTCGGCAAGAAGGGCGAGGACATCAAATCCATCAACACCTTCAACGAGTTCCTTCTCGGTATGTGTCTTTTTTGATCACACGCACACGCACACGCACACGCACACGCACACGCACACGCACACGCACACGCACCACCGCACACGCACCACCGCACACGCACACGCACACGCACACAACCGCACGAGTGCATTGCGCTAATATGCGACTTCAGAATTCCTGGGAATGGAGGAGGCGACAGAGCCGCAGATGAAGGCCCTGGGCGTGTCCATTCAGTCGTCGAGCCGGCCCGCCAACCTGTCCGATTCGTCGGGGGCCAATCCCTCGCGACTTCACATCCCCTCGCCTCGCCTGCTGCCCATGCACGGCAAGGCCGGGAAGAAGGTGCGTCAGCCGTATTTCGCACACGGGCCTTGATGCCCCTGAGGGACCGAAGCTGACTCGAACGCGTACGGTCTTTGCAGGGCCAGTTTGACGTGCTCGCGTTCACCGGTAAAGAGAAGTCGGCGGTGATCGAGCGGCTGAAGAAAGGTGCGGGTCCCCTAAGAAGCACATACGCTCGGGCCTCTCAACTTACCACATGTTATTATTATATTATCAGCCGGCGAGCAAACAATCGACATCGCGGATTCGGGCAGCAGTTCGACTCGATCGGTAATTGCACTGTTTCACTGTGTCGCCTGTATGTAAAATGGTTTCCTCCTTCAACTTATTTTTTTCTCTATCTCTCTTTGGCAACACAGCAACGCAAGTACACGGATCCGCGCGAAGGCCTCAACACGTTCCTCAAGGAGCTCTTCGATGCTGTCAAAGTGGGCCAGTTGGCCAACGAGAAGATGGACTGGATCCGGCGCGGCCTGTTCGACGCCCTGGTCGCCAGGTGCGCTTCATAGCCCTCTTACCCACAATCATAGTGCCGTCATACTAAAGCTAGTGTCTGTCTCGTATGCGTGCGTGCGTGCGTGCGTGCGTGCGTGCGTGTGCGTGTCGTGTTGTGTGTGTCGCATCGTGTGTGTGTGTTTGTCGTGTGTGTCGTGTGCACAGTGGGCTGATCGCCGAGTTTACGTCCGATCTGCAGCTGGATGGACCCACGACCACCCTCTCGCCGCCGCAGAAGAGGGACATGCTCGTGGGCAAGATCCTGCGGCATCTGCTGAGCAACAACGCCGAGGGTTGTCGCGAGTTCGTGAAGCTCATGGGCGAAATGCTGAAGAAGGCGCGCGAGGAAGACTCAGAGTTCCCGTGGGGTGAGTGCGTGGGCCTCTTCACCCTCCTTTCCGTCCTCATCCGCTCCACCGACATTGAACCCTTCCCGACGGTACACCCACCCACACGCCGCACGCCGCACACGCACCACCACACGCGCGCACACGCATGCGAGCTGATGTGTGTGCGGGGTGTGTAGATATTCGTGCAAGAGTTGGGCGTGAATCGGATGCTGGAGGTGTATAATGATGCGGCAAATCGAATTGAAGCCGATAGTGCCGCCGAAGCCGAGTTCCAAAAGGCCCTCTTCAAGCGGGTACTCGCATCTATCCATGCGTGTCGTGTCGTATGTTGTGTGCGTGTGGTGCGCGTCGTGCGCGTTGTGGCGTGTGTTGTGTGCGTGTGCGTTGTAAATCTAAACGTTTTGTGTTTAATTTTGGAAACAGATGGAGGAAGGAGCACATCGAACGGCGGGCGGACCTGGCGCCTCGTCGGGGCTCTTCGATTCGGGAGGCGGCAGTGCGGCGTTGGCGGCGCCGGCCAACTACCACATCCCGGTGCCGCCCCCGCCCCCGCCGCCGCTGGTCATCAAGCGGGGCAAGATCAGGAAGATGAAGAAGCGGTTCAAGACGCACAACAAGAAGGAGTACAAGAAGGACCAGCACAGCGACATCAAGGAGACGCCCCCCACCGACACGAAAGGAGAAGGAGAAGGAGAAGGAAAGGAGAAGGAGAAGGAGAAGGAAGACGCGGAGGGGGAGAAGAACAAGGGCAAGGGTGTAAAGCTGAACACATCCGTGGAATTCTCCACGCCCCGCACCTCTGTCGACAGTACGCATCCTTTGCATTCCTCCTCCATTCTTTTTCTTTTTTTTTCGTTCTTTTTCACCTTCGTGTTCTCTTCGTCGTTTTTCGTTCTTTGTACTTTTTGTTGGGCAGGCTCGTCGCCGCGTCCCGTCATTCCGGCGCTCTCGCTCAGCTCCGCGGCCACCAAGACGAAGGACGACGGGCTCGCGTCGGCCCAGTCCCGCTTTTCTCGGCGCCGGTACCGCATTTCTCACCGCACACAACGCATCATCGAAAAAGAACGATTCAAGTACTCACTGCCTCTCGTCATACACGGCAGAGGAATCAACGACGAAACGCCGCGCACACCGACGAGTGGACGTGGATCGTTTGGCAAGGAGCTCGGGCGCAACACGTCCTTCTACATCACGCCCTCCATCCAGCTCACCAAGCTGGCCTTCAATCTCGGCGAGACGGTGCCGTGTCCACACACACCGCAACTCTCTGGCTTACGGCGCGGGAGCCCTGACCTTGTTCCTGGGTTTGTGTGCGATGGGGCGTGTGCGGTGTTGCGTGTCGTGCGTACAGGCGGTGGCGGCCGATCTGACAGCGCTGATGCGGTACAAGACGGGCGTGGGGAATCCCGACGAGCCCACCGATCTTTCTGCCGAGGCCCGCAACAAGCGGCGATCCAAGCGCCTCTCCACCTCGCTGTCCAATCTTCACAACTCTCTCGTACAGTCTGCGTCGTGTGTGTGGTGTGTTGTGTGTGTCGTGCGTGTCGTGCGGTTCGACGGCTGTTCTCACGCACGACATTCGCGCAGGCCATTTTCAAACCGGGCCAGCTCAAGCCGGAGGCGTCGTCCTTCCGGTCGACGGCGCCCTATAAAATCAAGACGATGATCCTCAAGGCACTGGCCAAGATCATCGCCCTGCCGCACCTCTACGCCTACGTGCGCAGCCCGGTCAACCTCATCTTCACCGAACTCAACAAGGCGCTCGCCAACGGCCTGCTCAAGATCGACCAACCCTTCCGCGCCCTGTACGCGCCCCATTCGCCCGCAATGCGAATCAGCGCACTCTTTCTTGGGTGCTGACCTTGTGGAATGTGGGTGGAATGCATTCAAACGTACAGGCTCTTCAGTGTGCTGCAGCCCGTGTCTGACCGTGTGGAGTACTGCCATCGGATCGCGTGGCAGCACGAAACGCGGCCTATGTCTGTACAAAGGTTCGCACTCGCATTACATCACCGCACACGCGCGACGCACACGCGCGCGACGTACACGGCGCACACATGACGCGCTACTAAAACCGAACAAACATAGAAAAATGGATTTCAGGCGCGGCTTGGACAAATTCCTATGCCGCGTGCACTCGCAGCTGTGTGATGCCTTGTCCCGCCAGAACTTGGCCGATCTCGAGCTGTGCCTGGTCATGCTGGGCGACTATCTCCACTTCTGCCCCACGCGCGTCATGGCCTCGCAGGTCATCGACGTCGCCATGGAGACGCTCCTGCACGTCAAGGTACAAACTCTCTGAATAATAATAATATAATAATAATAATGGCATGCATATTATGGCTGACCACATAAATCGCAGTTCCTGGTGTTCAACATGGTGCCCGAGTCCCTGTCCGAAGATATGAGAATTCAGCACATCCGTTTGGTACGATCGGCCTGCGCGCGTGCACACATCTGCTCTTTTGCTCACATAGGCCTTCGGCGTGTGAGACAGACCCATTCCCTGGTGCGAGTGTTCCAAGAGCTGTGCGCCCAGACCAAGCACGAGGGCACTCTAGTGTTCCTTCTTCAGTTGCTGTTGGGCACCAACGAGACCGTCCTCTTCTTCCGGTACATACCTCACCTCGTTCATTGTGCTCTGTGCCACACATCTCACCGACTCACATTGTTGCGTGTTGCGTGTTGCGTGTTGCGTGTTGCGTGTCATGTACGATAGGGGCTATGCCAAGCGCATACTGTTCAGTGATCAGACCATACAAGAGATCACCTCCCACGAGAGCAAAGAGACCCTCACCGAATACCGCCTGCAGGTGCGCCTCTAACAACACTCCAGCGTTTTCCCTTTTCAAATTGAACACCAACGCCACCCAACTCATCTTAATTGTGTGACAGATCATCAAGCTGTTCTCTTCGCTGGTGTCGCTGGTGGGTGCCAAGCTCAAGTACATCGAGGAGCGCAAGTTCCCCACGTCTCCGCTTCATCTGTCCGGCTCTGCCGCGCTCAGCCTGCCGCAGCTCACCCGCATCAACAGCGCCGAGGAGGACGTCGCCCAGAGCAACAAGGAGGAGGACAAGTACGCCATGCCCCCCTTCGCAGCGAAAAACATGGGCTGCGTTGCTGACACCAATCCCAGTGATACGGCGTGGTGCGTCTGCCTGCTGGAGCAGCTGGGCTTCCTCATCAGCCCGCAGACCGGCTACTTCATGCGGTTCCTCGGCCAGGGCAACCACTTCACCAATTTTGAGGTAAAATCCCAATGTATTGTTTTTATTGTTTATTATTGAAATGTGATGTTCGCTGTGCTTTCTGTTGCTTTCTGTTATTTGTTCTTTAAATGAAATATATGGTGGCTGGAATGGGTGGAATGCAGGTCAAGAAGGTTATGCTGCAGCTGTTCGGGCAGATCCTGATGACGCCGTGCAACCCGTTCGCCTGCAACAAGGCCTACACGGAGTTCTTCATCAGCCACCACTACCTCACCTTCCTCAAACTGTACAATAGCGACGGCTTCGACTCGTCCACCCTCTCCCTGTGCGCCCTTCACCTGCAGGTTCGTACATCTCGCTACTGCGTCTCTTGCGCCTACTCTATTCCTATGCGTGTGCAGTGCGCGTTCGTGGATATGCGTGCGTGTGCGATTTGTATTGACTGGTTGAATGTAATTACTTCAGATTCTGTTGTGCTTCGCCGAGCACAAGACGGAGAAGATCAAGCGCAAGTTCTACCAGCTGCGCATTATGGACTTCCTCGCGCGCCAGATCTCCCTCGAGTACGAGATCATCCTCAAGAACGCACAGTACATCGAGGTACAGCGGCAGCCGACCGTGCTCCCTTTGCGCTGCACGATCGATACACTCACACCGCACGACACGCACAACCGCACACGCACACGTACCACCGCGCACGGGACAGTCGCACGCACGTAGCCCTGAGCCGCAGCCAGCGACGAGCCAGTCTTCGCCCAATCTGGGCGGACAGGTCGACCTGCGCGCGCAGGGCATCTTGCAGATGCAGCAGTCGAGCTCGCTGCCCACGATCCCGCTGCCGCGGAAGATCACCGGCGAGCTGCCCCCATCGTCGTCGCTGGCCACCACCTCGACGTCGGTCGACCCCAAGCGGGTGGCCAGCACGCCCGCCTTGTCTCCGCGCAAGGAGCCCATCAAAAAGGCCGCCAAACGGAAGGCGCGCGCCCAGTCCATGAGCTTCACAGGTACACACGAACGCACACGACCGCACACGGCACACACGACCGCACACGACACACACTAAACGCACGCACGGTATGCCCAGATTCGCCACTCAAGCTGTCGCTGTCGTCGGTGACGGGTAATCCGGAAGAGGGCAACGCCAAGCGGTCCGAGCTGGTGTCGTCCTCGCGGGCGGTGCTGTCGCAGAACCGGGACGATCCCATCATCGTCAGCGATCGCGCGCAAAAGGAGGAGAAGAAGCGCAACCGCACGAGCGGCTCTTACATCCGCACCAGCAACCGCCGCATCCCCGCTCAAAGCTCGGGTGAAAAGTACGTACTTTGCTTCCTGTATGCGTGCGCGTGCTATGTGTGCGGTGGTGCGTGTGTGTTGTGCGGTGGGGGCGCGTGCGCTTGTGTTTTCTTAGCTAATTCTGAATGACTTGCGCCTAGGGGTGATTGGGGAATGCGGAGCATGCCCAGCTGGTCGCGTACCAAGGATTCCGCAGTGACGTCTGCCACTTCGTCGGCTTCGGCTTCGGCTTCGGCGTCGCCCGCCTGGACGCCCGAAGCGCCCGAGCCCGAGAAGAAGACCTTCGGCCAACTGAAGAGCAGCATCAACATGGGCAGCATCGGCAAGAAGGTGGGCAAGGCCATCACCCTGCCCGGCCTCAAGCTGGGCACCTCCCTCACCAGGGAAAGCTCCGCTGCTCTCGGTATGTTTCTTTTTATTTGTTTCTTAATTAATTTTATTTTGTTTCATTTTTTTGTTTTGATTATTATTTTATGTCATTTTTGAAAGAAATTGGCTGATGGATGTGGGCGGGAGCAGTCAAGGAGCTGGCGGCCGCCGAATACCAGTGTTCGGGGGCCGAGAGCAGCTCTGACGACGAGGACATGATGAAGCCGCGGGTGAGCATCGGGTCGATCGTGACCATGATCCCTCCGCTGCGTCTGTCGGACACCAGCAGCATCAGCGGTCCCCACAGCGGCCAGCAGCTCATTGTCGAGATGACGTCCTCGTCGACCTTCCAGACTACGGAGCTTACCTCCGACGGCAGCCGCACAGAAACAGAGCGTACTCTCCCTCCGTTCATTCTTTTCGCTTTCGCTTTCGCGTTCGCTTTTTGATTTTTGGCGTTTTGCAGTGACAGAAGACGATGAGAGCGATGACGACGCTACGCAGTCGCGAGGCTCGGTGTCGTCCATGTCGTCAATGTCGTCATCGTCAGGCAAGCTCCTCATCCCGGGCCTCAAGCTCAGCGGAGCCGAGACCAAGGACGGCTCCGCGGCCATAGGCAAGGGCAACGTCGTCATCATGAAGTCGCCAACCGCCGTTTCCGAGGTGCGGGAAACGTCTCCACCCCTCTGTATTGGCCGAAAAGTACTAATTTCGGGTCGTGTGCGTTGTGTGCGGTCTGGTAGCCCAAGAAAATGATCGCGATTCCGGGCCTGAAGCTGACTGGAGCTGACACAAAGGACGGCTCGACGGCGGTGGGCAAGGGCACCACGCTCCTCAAGTCGCCCACCACCACTTCGACCTTCGTGTCGGGCCGCGGCCATCGTGAACGCGCCGACTCGGACGACGAGACAGGAGAGGGCACCGACGCCGATGGCGACGACGAAGGCACCGACAAGTCCGAGAGCGATCGCGAAATGGAGAGCGAAAGCGAAAGCGAAAGCGAAAGAGAAAGCGATGATGGGGTACCACATATTTTCGCGCCTCGTCGTTCGCTTTTTTGAGTGTCACTTCGTTAATCAATTTCTTCCGTCGTTTCCAGGGCTCGCCGGTGAAGCCGCTGGCCAAGCTGGCCATTCCGGGCCTGAAGCTGACCGGAGCCGACACCAAGGACGGCACCGCGGCAGTGGGCAAGGGCACGGTGCTCGTCAAGGCCGCGTCGAGCGACAGTAGCGAGAGCGAGAGCGAAGACGAAGCTCCACCGGTACGCAGTCACCCGGCCTGAGTGCCGCGCAACACTACCCACACTCACATGCACCGCACGCGCACGCACGACACACAGCCGGTGGTGGCCAAGATCGCGATTCCAGGGCTCAAGCTGACCGGCGCCGACACCAAGGACGGCTCCACAGCGGTGGGCCGCGGCACCGTACTGCTCAAGACCACAGCCAACACGTCCCAGAACAGCAGCCTCGAAGACTTGCGCTCGCCGCTCGCCGCCAGAAGCAGCAGTGAAAGCGAAAGCGAAAGCGAAAGCGAAGACGAGCCTCCTAGGCCGCCGCCTCCCGCGGTGACCAAGCTGGCCATCCCGGGGCTCAAGCTCACCGGCGCCGACACCAAGGACGGCTCGTCGGCCGTGGGCAAGGGTACGGTCCTCACCCTCAAGACCGCCAGCAAAGAGGACATCCAGGCCGTGGACAGCACGAGCAGCGAAAGCGAGAGCGACGAGGATGAAGAAATCAAGGTTCGTGTGGCCGCGCGTGTGCGTGTGCGACGGAGTGCGCGTGTGCGATGGCGTGCGCATAGAAACTGATGAACGTTCTCCCACCACAACAGCCGGCGCCGGTGACAGCAAAGATTGCGATTCCGGGCTTGAAGTTGACGGGCGCCGACACGAAGGACGGCTCGTCGGCGGTGGGCAAGGGCACCACGCTCATGGTACTCAAGGTAGGCTCGTTGGAGAACTTCTCTGACTCCGCCGCCTACTCGGACGCCTCGTCCTCGGATGGCAGCGACAGCGAGGGCGACGACGAGCCCCGGCCTGTCCAGCCCAAGGTGATGGCCAAGCTGGCGATTCCGGGCCTGAAGTTGACGGGCGCCGACACCAAGGACGGGTCGTCGGCGGTGGGCAAGGGCACCACGCTGGTTGTCAGCACCACCGCCGTCGCCACCACTGCCGCCGCCGCCGCCGCTCGTCCGATGTCGCCCCGCAGCAAAGAGGCGCACCACAGCTCGAGCGAAAGCGAAAGCGACGACAACGACGAGGGCCGGCTCGCCACCGGAACCGACCACAGCGACTCCGAGCGCAGCGACCGCGACGAGAGCCCGCACCCGTCGCCGAGCGTGCGACGGCCGTTCGCCATTCCAGGCCTGAAGCTGACGGCCAACGAGACCAAGGACGGAACGGCTTCGGTGGGCAAGGGCACCAACCTCGGTGGCGGCGGCAGCTCCGACGACGACCCGCACTCGCAAGAGGTACGCTCATGCGAAACTATTTACTTCTTTTGTTGGGCATTCCTCACATTCATATGTATCAAGGATCTCGCCAAGTCTGCGAGCCCGCGACCGAGCGTGTCGGGTTCGCCGTCGCGCGCGTCGCCGCGGCTGTCTCCCGGCTCGCCGAGCGCGCGTCCAGCGATTCCCTCGCTCAAGTTCCCGGCCACCAACGCCGAGTCGACGCCCATGCCGAGCTCGCCCACGCGCGGCGGCGCCAACAGCTCCAAGGAGGGCAAGGAGGGCCGCAAGCTCATCGAGATCCAAGAGCGCCGACGGTACGCACGACACACAACATACGACGCACAACATACGACACACACACACACACACACACACACAGCACACACACACACACACACACACACACACACACACACACACACACACACACACACACACACAACACAACACACACACACCACACTGCACAATGCTAATGATTCTCTGTAAAGGATCACGCCGCGCACGCCGAAGAAGCCGATCATGACGACGCACCCGCCGACGCCCAAGCGGCCGATGGGCGGGAGCGACGGGGCGGCACTGCCGTCGCCCAAGCTCAAGGTCACCTTTGGCGGGCCGGACGGCAGCGGCAGCAACGATCTCTCCGCCTCGTCATCGCCCCGCGCTACCGCCACCGTCACCACGTCGAGCCCGCTCTCGCCCAACCGCTCCGCTCCGCTGACCATTCCCAGTGGTACGCCAACCATTCTCTCCCTGCGGCTTGCTACGTGTTGACAACATGTGGTTGACTGTGTGTGTCGTCGTGTGTCGTTGTGTGTCGTCGTGTGTCGTGTGTGGCCGCACACCAGGTACGGGCGGGTTGGAGAAGAGCAACTCGGCGAGCCTCATTCCCAAGTTGCGCTTCACGGAGGACCTGCGCCAGCACAATTTCAAGCAGGAGGAGTTCCTCAAAGAGGTACGTTCACACCATCACCGCCACCACCACGCTAGTACTGTTGCCTTCAAGGCAGCGCCCAGGCATTGATTTAACCACACCTTTCCCCCCAGGCGCTCGGCGAGAAGCCCCAGAAGTTCCCGCAGCTGGTGGTCCCCGCAGGCGGCAAAACGCTGTCCGACATCGGTACCTACCGGCCAACGCCGCCGGTTGCTATGTTGACCCACCCGAACTGACGTCAACGCACCACAACAGAGCACCGGATCTTGCAGAGCGATCCCTCGCTTCGGTTCGTCAAGCAGTCCACCAACCGACGCATTCTCGAAGACATCGAGAACCTCACCGGTACGAATTCCATACCAGTGATCTTTGTGTGGAATGGTGAAGAATGCTGAAGTCTCACTGGGGTTCTGTTGGGCCGCGAGCAGGTATGCTGGATGATATCGAGGAGCTGAGCCCGGAGGACATCATCGAGCGGAACCAGCTCTATCTCTCGGAAAGAAACGAGCGCAAGATCTACATGGACAAGGCCCTCCACATCACCTTCCTCCAGCTCATCTTCTCACTGCTTCTCACGCCCATGTACTCTTCCTCCCTTCTCCCTCTCTTCGCTTTCGTTCTTTTTCGTTTTCTTTTTCTTTTCTTTTTCGTTCTTTGTTCCCATCACGGTTTAAACCGCACATGTTAATCGTGGTACTTTATAGGGGCACGTTGCAACCGCTGTACACGGATCAGTTCCCGGTCAACAACAAGAAGCTCAACATTCCCTTCCTTCTCCACTCACGTGCGCCAATTCAATTCTCTTTCGACCGTAGCAGTTCTCTTTTCCTTTTTATATTCACTTTTTGTCGCGGCACAACACAGACATCAACCACCCGGCCAACGGACCCATCATCCCGGAGCTCGTCGAGCGCAGCCTGGAGATGAAGGTACGCTACTCGTCTGCCGGCCCAACGTCCTTCGCTGACAATGGCCATCATCGTGACACAGGAGGGCGCCTATCGCATGCTCAAGCTGCTGACCAATCGCCTGTTCTCGCCCGAGCAATACCAACACATGAAGCGCATCGCTATCGGCGTACGCTCTTGCTTCTATGACCCGTCATAGCCCTGCACGACTCTGTTAACTCTTTAGTGCACACGCGCGTTCTGTGCCATTAGGCCTACGGTACGGTGTACAAGTGCACGGTGGGCAGCGAGAACTTGAACGTCGCAGTCAAGCTCATGGAATTGCCCAAGTCCATCTGGGGTGCGTCGCTTCTTTGCATTCCACCATTCTTCTGCGCTTCCTTACTTAACGCGACGCACGCACGCACACGCACGCAACACAACACAACCACAGATCGGTGCGTGCTGCACGACATCTTCACGGAGATTCTGGTGCTGGACGCCTACAAGGACGACAAGCGCATATGCAAGCTCTACGACTACGGCGTGAGCGAGGAGCACTACTGGGTCATCATGCGGTTCTACCGCTGCTCGCTCAAGGAGTGGCGATTGCGCCAGACCAGGCCCCTGTCCGAGAATCTCGTGCTCTACCTCAACATCTTCTCGCGGGTGCTCGAGACCATGAAGATCTGCATCAAGGGCGACAAGTTCAAGATCAACCACTTCGATCTCAAGTGCGACAACGTGCTCATCGACCCCATCGACCCCAACATCGAAGAAGTACGCGCCCACGCACCACCGCACACGCCGCACATGCATCACCGCACACGCACTGACGCGCGGTTATGTTTTGGCGGTCGATGATCAGGAGGAGCTGCTGAACCCGCGGAGCGACAAGCCGCCGTTCAATGTGTGCCTCGCCGACTTTGGCGAATCCACGGTCTACCAGAGCGAGGACGACGGCTACACCACCCGCTCGCGCGGCACTGAGTTCAACAAGAGTGCGTCGATGATTACCACATCTCTATTTTTTATCTTTTTTATCTTTTTTCATGAGCGCCTGTTGACGTCATCCGCTCGTCGGGCGGCAGGTCCCGAGATGCTGAACGCGGCCTACGCCAACAAGAAGGACGATCTCCAGAAGTACGATCGGCGCAAGAAGGTGCGTCTCACGAGCGCTTCCCAGTCTTTGGTTTCTATGCCGACGTGGCACCAACTTTTTTTAACCGTTTTTTGTAATATACGCCAATAGACGGGCTGCAACAAGGCGTCGGACGTGTGGGCCCTGGGCTGTCTCCTCTACGAACTCCTCACCGGCGAGTTCCTCTTCTACGGTACCCCCACCCTCCCCCACAAGCCGCGGCATTACCTTTTCTTCTTCTAATGACTGTTGACGGTTATTGACCCACCCGGCCGGCGGCCTTTCTTTCTGAGCAGACAACGATTGGGTGCGCTTCTTCATTCGCGTGACCTATCTGGGCCAGGAGCTGATCACGGCCGAGAAGCGGGCAAAGATCGACAACAACCCGCACCTCCTGCGGTTCTTCCAGTGGATCTTCATGCGCAACCCTCTCATGCGGTACGCCACCGCAGCCCGGCCCGACACGCACCACCGCACATGCATGTAATGATGGACCTCAACCCTGGCTTTGCGCACGCAACACAACACGACAGGCCGACGCTGGAGGACGTGATCGTCAAGTTCCAGGAGATGCTCAACGTGATGATGCCCCAGCTCCAGGAGTCCGCCCTTTCGGCCTCCATGAACCACTCTCCCACCAACTCCTCCAACTTTGCCGCTGCCGCCGATCCTCGCGCCTCGATGAGTACGTCATATCCCGCTGTGTGCGTGTGCGTGTGCGTGTGCGTGTGCGTGTGCGTGTGCGTGTGCGTGTGCGTGTGCGTGTGCGTGTGCGTGTGCGTGTGCGTGTGCGTGTGCGTGTGCGGCGATTGACAGGTGATTGGTGAGAGCAGGCATGAGTGGTCCGATGATCTTCAACAACAACAATGAGGAGTTCCTGTTCAGTCCCACGTCGCGCTACCATCGCCACACGCTCGCGCACTCGCTGAAGACCGGCGACCAGCGGCCGGGCCAGGCCACGGAGACGGACCACTACCACGAGATCATGAACAAGCTCACGCCGCACATCTTCCTCGGCAACGAGGCCAACCACGAAATCAACCAGCTCAAGTTCCACTACAGTACGCAACACGCAACACACGCAACGCACGCAACGCACGCAACGCACGCAACGCGCAGCACACGACGCACCAAACTAACAAACTTGTGTGTCGCCTTAGGCATCACGCACATCATCAACTGCAGCGAGGTGGCCAACGCGCACCCACAGCAGTTCGAGTACCTCCAGATCGCTTCCCTGAAGGACGTCAAGCTGATGGTTCGTTTTTTATTCTTTTTTCTTTATTTTATTTTATTAAAATTGTATTTTCTGGATTTAGTCAGAATAATTTGTTATTTTTGACAATTTTGGATATTTGATGTTGTCGAGCAGGAGGTGATCCAGTTCATCCGCGCGGCGACCGAGGAGCACGGCAAGGTGCTGGTGTCCTACCACGGACGCAGCAGCGAGTTCGCCGTAGGCATCATCCTCGCCTACCTCATCGAACAGCACAACCTCACCTACTTCGAGGTACACCGCACACACCGCACACACCGCACACGGTGCGCACCGTACGTGGCACTCATGTGATGTGTACACGCAGGCGTTCAATCTGGTGAAGAACCGGCGGTACATTATCAAGCCCAACCCGCAGCTGGTGGCCAAGGTGCGGGCGTCGATGAGCTCCACGGTCAAGCAGCCCGACTCGGCCATCACGGCCGACGGCACGCCGGAGCTCTACATCTGGGACGACAAGCGCAAGAAGGAGCGCAAGAAGAAGGAAAAGGAAAAGGAAAAGCGGACCGAGAAGGCCAAGGACCCCGTCAACCCCGACGAGGTCGAGCACACCGCCTTCAACCCGCTCGTCTTCAACCGACAGATCCAAGAGGTTCGTTTCCTCAGCCGTGTGTGTCGTGTGTGTCGTGCGTGTGTGCTGACGTGTGTGCTGATGTGTGTGCGTTGTGCAGCGTATTCGACGAAACAAGGAGGCGGGCCTCGATCCGCTGCATGTGCCAGTGCGGAAGGAGCACAAGCCCACTAGGTCTCGCCTGCGACGTTCGTCGTCTGCCGACGACATCGCTGCCGTGGCTGCCAAGGACCAGGCCAGCCGCGGACTCCTCCCGGAGCGCCAGAGCCCCGGGCGCAAGCTCTCCAAGGAGCTCTAGAGCAGCTAATTGTTAATAGATTAAAAAAATAGTTATTTTTTCTATATTTACAACCTCACCTTTTTGCTTACTTGGGCGTAACGCCTCCTTCGCCGTTGTGCTGTTGTACGTGTTATCGTGGTGATGATGTCCTGGCGAAGCTCTGGCTTAGAGGGCCATGTTGATGAGGAGGCCGGTGATGACGCCGTAGGGGCATTTGTCCATCTCACCATCAGAAGACACTCTCTCAGTACACATGCACTCTTCCCAATTGATGCTTCCCCACTCAGCCACCACTTCTCAGGGAGCTGTGTGAGGACTCTACCCTACATGTCCAACAGTTCGTCTGCTGTTTCAGACTCAGCGCAACCAGTGCTGTGGTTTGACACCACCAACACACTCCAGATCGTGCCCAAGGCCATGTTGGCCCTAAATCCCAACCACTTCACCATGGTTGAAGAGGCTATGGTGGGCCTCGCCTCCATCACGGACACTGACACTGACTGCCCTTGGCCTCCCTCACCTGGCCAGCAATTATGTACCAAGGTCTTGTTGTGGAGCGCACTGATGGCCAAGGTGCCCTGCTGAATGAATGCACCACCTTGCTCCACCTGCCCTCCACAGGTTGGCCACAAGCAACCAGGTGCGCCGGGTTGCCAGTCTTGGCAGGCAAAATGCACCAATGCCCCTTGGAGGCACCAGGTGCGACACAGAGGTGTACGACATACTGCTCCGCCTAGGAGGCAGAGAAGCGAGAGAAGTACAAGCAGAACCCCTCCCGCCAGCAACGCTTTCATAACATGCACGCGCAGTTTCAAAACACAAACACAATCTCCTTCCACTCCTGGTCCGGGTCGGCCCAGAGGTCGAGTTGGTCCACCAGTCGCTGTCTGGGGTCGTCCCTATTCATACCTGAGTTAAGGTGCCAGTTGAGGTCCCACTCCTCCTCGTGCCAAACCTGGGACAAAAGATCAGCAAACAATCTCACAAGAGAATAATAATAACAAAAACAAAGACACAGAGGTGCGCACCAAACAGTTTTCAAAAAAAGTTGGGTTGAATGCGTAGACGTTGGCCGGTGCGAGGCAGCACAGGGCAAGGAAGTAGGCCACTCGCTTCGAGTCCCACATACTTCCCTTTTGCATCGGCTCCACCACCGACGCCATTTCCTCCTCGTCGTCCTGGCCTTGGCTTGTCGCATCGCCAGTGTCGATGTCGGACTTGTGGGAAGCGCCGTTGAAGCGAGGGTTCTCGTTGGGCTCGTGGTGCAGGTCGAGCGCGCGCCCGATCAGCTCCAGCAGCGCCGCATGCTGCTTGACAACCGGTCCCCGGGGCTGCGGCTCCTCCCCAATCACCTGGAACTGTGAGAGTTGGGTGTCCGGCACGCAGAACTGGTGAAAGATGGTTTGCTTGTCCGTCGGCGATCGGGTGCCCAACCTGATGAGACATAGTGGAGTCACCAAAAATGAAAAACGGAAAAAAAAAGAAACGAGAAGAGGAGCGCCAAACCACTTCATGGCGAGGTCGTTGCATCCACGAGCGACAAGGACAAGACGCCTGTGGGCATAGGTGACAGAGAACTCGCACTCCACTTCGATCTCGATGGTCTCCTCTGCGCCTCCGGTGTCGGCTGTGCCATCATCCATTCACACCCATCCCATCAGCCACACGACACACGACACACACACAACACGACACACACAACACGCACAACCGAACAACTGCAGCAGGCGCA